ATTTTCCTGAACAAACAAATAATTATATACAACAAATACATGTTTGTTTATAAGGTTATTAATGCTAAAGTTGGTATATGGCAAATTTCATAAAGTACAATAATGGACAATATATTATTATTATATTAAGTTTTATTTCTGTCCTCTTTTTGTATGCGTCTCAGTCAGTGACGAAGATCAGGAATCAGGAAACATTTATTTGCCAAAATATGTCAAACATACAAGGAATTTGTCTTGGCGGTTAGTGCGCGACAGTAGACAGACAAGACAACAGTGCACAAGTAATAAAATAAAGTAGAATAAAATGCTAATGCAATGGGTTAGTTAGATGAGCCGTAAGACATTGATTCTGAAAAAAAAGATGAGCATTAACAAGCTTCTGTATTCTGTAAAGATTGAGATTCAAAACAAAAGCAATAATAAAGTACTGTAGTGCACATAACCTAATGGTTAAGCTATTTAACCCAGGAGCCATCAAACTTACTTTATCTCGTCAATGTGGCCATTATATACTCGACATTATCCGTCACAAATAATAGGCAGTAACCCAGCATTGGTATTTTATGAAGTTAACTCAAACATCTTTGATAGAGCGCTCCATAGAAGGAGTTGGAACACACTGGACAGACGGTCAATTTAGTCTAATTATAGTCGCTGATGTGGACAATAAAGCCTTTCTGACGGAGCCGACTGTGCGACACCGAGGGGAATTCTCCTTTTCGCTGCAACAAAGACTCTGATTTTGTCGAAGACAGAAACAGGATGAGGAGAACATCAAGAAGACCACATCATTCACAAAGTGTCATATCCTTTATTATCACTCTCTGTAGATTCATATTTCTGCTGCCTTCCAGTCTGTCCCTTTCATTAAAAATGCATTTGCTCCTTAATATTAAAATAAAATAATAAAGAATGGATTTTTTAAATGATTTCCTCAATTTCATGTGTTCAATACCTGGAGCGTCCAATTGCATTATTGATCAATTCATTTGTATCCTGCTTTCACGTAATATCCTTCCAGTTTAGCCATTTTAACCACCAACATCGTATTTGTTACACATGGAAAATCTACGATTTGTATACTACTATCATCGGTGCTGAAAGCTGTAAAAGTAATTTCATCTCTATACAAGGCGCCTCTACTTCGGCCCTATTCTCCATCACAGCTCCAATAATATGAAAGGGAGGGTGGGTTTACGAGCCTTGTTGTGTGTCTGGCGACGCAATCAGGAGCCTCAGTCATTATTTGGGTTAAGGCCCTGATGTGAGCCTCCCTGTCCACCGCTGCATGAATACTGATATGACAAAGTGAAACAAAGAAGCCTCGTGGCGGCGTAGGGGAGAGAATACAGACACAGAAAAGGGTAAAAGGAAACATGCATTACTTTGGTTGAAAGGTTTGCTCAAGGTGTCTAAAGAGAGAGAACAGGACTCCTTATGTGACAACGAACAAGGTGGTTCAGAGGAACGTCCGTGGCCGTCCTCTTCCGCTTTGTCTCATCTCACATAGCAGCCCGTGCCTTTTCACCTCTGTACCATCCTGCCACCTTTTTAAAATCAATCCTTTTCCATCTTTTGGTTTTCCTCCCTGCCTACTTCACTTCACCTCCGCAAATGTTATCCTCCCTGTTCCCTCCTCCTCAATTCGCTAATCACTTACCCGGGTCTGGCCTGTCAATCCATCTGACCCTTGGCTCCCTAAAATCGCCTCAATGTATTCTCCACCAAAACCTGACAGCATGTCGACACGACCCCCCCCCCCAAAAAATAACCACCGCCGGGGGGACTCCCCTCACCGCAAATTCAAAAAAAAACGGCCCCCGAGCCCCACCCGGGGGGGGGGGGGGGGGTTGAGTCTCCATCTTGACAGCATCCTGAAGGTGCACGTGCAACCTCTGCTGCGCGCACATGCACAGCTTTAGAAAGGCGTGCGCACACTGGGAGATGAGTTGAGGGAGTTCGCTCACAAGCCTTTGAAACTTTTTATTTTTTCTTCTGTTTTTCCCAGAGTTTGTAACTTTACAGCTATTATTCTCAAAGGAGGATGAAAAGGAAACCAGAGATGAAACGTGTATTGTTGACACTTCAATCTGTAAGATGGTTCTCTCTCTTAACCCTTATTTTACCCCGTCGCTCCTTTAAATGGCGGAATCCCCAAAAGTGGAAAGTGCGCTCTTTGATCAGTAGCAGGCGCTTAAGTAATCAGGCCAGGGAGGCAACATTACAGAAGCTTTCATTTGGCGCAGTGCAAGATTTCTGTGGCATGTTTTTATAGTTTTTTTTTTTGTGCAAGTTGCAGAAATTGTGCCTTTTCAGATGTGGCAATGTGTGTGCTGATATATCGGTGTCTGGCGAGGAGGATGGGTGGCGAAGGCGCCCGGAGGCCATAACAGGAGCCCTGGAGCAAAGGGCTGGCGTCGCACTGCTCTTACCCAGAGTAGCTCCTAACAGATGGAGAGCACATCACTCCTCTCCTCCTACACAACTGCAGGACTAAAGGCATTTGGAAACAGGCCAGACTCTCACATTATCATCCCCTAAAGATGTATAGAGAGAAGGTATAAGGCATTGGCTGGGCTTCGTCCATCAGAACCCTCCTATCGCGTCCATGGTTATCTCTTCTGCTACATCCCATTCTCCCTTGTGACCTTCCCCTTTCTTATACTCCACGTGATCCCTCCTCTCTACAATACCTACAGCAGTGAACATGCATTAAAGGCTGCAGAGTGATTTGCATTTCAAAAGAAAGTCCAGCTTCTTCTCTCCCGTACGTTGCTTACAGCGTCCTCCGCTGCCTTTTCCCCTTCTCCTTCCATTGATGAGCCCTGTTTGTCTCTCCACACACAAATCCCCGTTGCCATCAAATGTCTTTTGACAGAGCAGCTCAATTAAGCAGCCCGCGTCCAGTGGGAGATGACATTCTGCACCGCACTGTAGCGACAGTAATCATAGACTCCGCGTCTAGCCAGCTACTCCGACAACAACATCCCTGCCACACCAGCAGCACCCAACGCAGCGCCGAGATCGGGCTGCCACTGCCCCACACACACACACACACACACACACACACACACACACACACACACACCCTACTGCATTAAATAGTATGATAATGTGACCAGCAGTGGGGCTCTGGGGCTCTGCTGCCATGGAGAGGATGCACACACACACACACACACACACACACACACACACACACACACACACACACACACACACACACACACACACACACACACACATCGACGGCAACACGCCCTCTTCAGGAGCCGCTGTATCTCGGTCTATTGTGTGAATGTGTGCAGTGCAGTCTATGGATGTTGTAAAGATGGTAACACTTCATTGTCAGACACAGTGGCTTCTCTCCCCTCCAGTCCCCCGACTGGGTTCATCTGGGACAAGCTGCAGGCTGTTGAGGCATGAAGGGAGCAGGAGTGGGGGAGGGAGGTGGGGGGGGGCGTAGGTTGAGTACATAGCACACCCATGCACTCACCCTGCATGAGAAGACATACTGGGGTTTACTGTCATATTAGGAGAGGGGCGCATCTAATGAGCAGATGCACAAAGCATCAGATATGCATAAAGAACCCACAGACAAAATAAGCCTGCAGTCTCCAGCAGCTGCTTTCGGCACTAGTTTTCTACATCACTAACACAACGGGTGGAACATTGTCTATTATCTGCTGTTGAGGAGAACAGATGTGCAGCAGGCCGAAGACGGTGACAGCAGCCAGCTGCATGGCACGGAGCCAGGTGAGGGCCTCCTTTTTACGGGCACACCTCCACATAGTCGGCTGCCATCACTGCCCCACCCTTATTTTCACTTCCCCCGATATCTCCTCCCGTATAAATATCTCCGTCATTCTGACTCCTGTTGATGTGTGAATTTATCCTCCTTTCTTTCCCTCCTCCAGTTCTTTTTTGTCTTTCCTCTAAAGTCTTTAGTTCTGGTTTCTCCGCTTTGGTAAAACCGGCCCAGTGCAGCTGCAGCAGATAAGATCGGTGGACGATTGTTGTGCGTTTGTCGCGATACAGCCGAGTTACTTTCTCCCCCATAAACGAGTCGTAGCAGCACATTACAATCATGGGCAGTACTTAACATTAAGCCACTGACATATTAGCAGGGGGAGGGGAATTCATAGTGAAAATGATTTACCATTTACCAAGTACCATGGCCGGGGAAGAGGCAAAGAAAATGATTTGCCTGAGATGTTATAACCTGTTTGCAGAATAATGCACAATGTAGTAATAATTGCGAAGGAGCGGGTTGAGTGCAATAAATATTTATTGAAATTGTAAAGGAGGGCTATGTGAAGATTTCAGGATCAACCATATGGAACGGATTTAACGTGTGATTCAATACACTAAATAAACTAAAAATACATTTTTAAGACAACTAATCCAATCACATATATTTTTCTATAAACACAAATGTCAATTTAAGATTGATCAGATGACAACAAATTGTTAATTTAATTTTATAATCCAGCCAATGAAGTGTTTTAGGCCCAACTATATATTCAATACTAATGTCAGAGGAGACCCTGTTGCATGTTCACCCACCACGATAAATACAAAGTCCAAAAGGAAAAACCTCTCTAAAAGTGCCCCGTACCAACAGGTTGATACACCTGGCTTCAAGGCACACGATTTCTTTTCACAGTTCAAAGTGATCCCGTGTGTAGTATAAGTGATCACAACCCGGGCTTCCACGTAAAAAAAGAAAATGTCTCCTTTGAAATCAGCGTAATTCTTTTGCCAAACTCATTCCGTAGTTTGAGACCATTTGCCAAAGAGGAGACGTTTGAAAATACCAATTTGCGTCATTTACATGAAAAAGGCGGTGATCCTTTACGCTTAGCGGTAAATGAGGCAGGAGGTGCAATTCCATAACAAGCCACCTCCACCTCACAGCCTAATTAATCCTCTTACCGGCTCTCTGACGCTCTCGTTCTGTTTAATGACGAACTGTGCGTCTCGTCACAAAAAGATCCTCTTACCTCCTGTCGCGGCTCCTCTTTCCTCCCTCTGCCTGATCTACTTGTGCCTTTTCTTCTCTTCTCTCTATGAAATTGATTGCGTCCCTCTTCTCTCTGCTGATGCTGCAGTGATAGAAAAACACACCCTCCTCCGGCCGCTCTCCTTCTCCCTCCCTGACTCTCATTGGCTGCCTGTTAGAGGTGACATCACCCTTCTCTGCCTGCCTGCTTCCCTCCCTCCCTCCTTCCTATGCTCACTCTCTCTCTCTCTCTCTCTCTCGCTCCCTGTGGATTCTGACCATTCCTTTATTGCAACCCCCCCATCCTCTCTCCTGTCCTCTTTTCCCTCAGTCGTCGCCTCCCTCCCTACATACAGTGTGGACTGGAGATGCATACAGTGCCCAGCGTAATAATGCATCCTGTACATTAGCATGGAGCACACAGCCTTTGGCCCAACCAACCTTTTCCTTCCCGCTCCCTCCCTCTCTCTCTCTCTCTCTGCACCATCCAGGAACTAATAGACCACAGAGGTTTTTGTGTTGGTAATCTCTGCACCCCGCTGACCTCAACCTCCATAAGCGCTTTTAATTCATTCTGCCACCAAGACGTTAACTGGGCTTTAGTTCATTACAGCGTAATCGAAGGTGTGATTGAATGTTACGTAACAGTGGTTAGTAAAAATAAGTGAGAAACTGCCATCTCTGACTTCAGGGTAGCGACAGGCCGAGTAACCCAGGGGACGTCTGTTTGTGTTCGCCGCTCAAATCCATGTCATCAGGCGACTGCGATCCAGAACGCTGATCTGTTATGCATTGTGATAAAGGTTATTTATTTTTTACGTGCCTTTAGCTCTTTAGAACTTGTTTACTGTGAACAGATGTGTCAGTCATTTGGCCTTTTTTTCTCCTCCAGCTCATCCAAATCCAGCCATACAACAGTGAATCTTCCTTTACTTGAACACATGGCCCCAGTTTATATCCTCCCACTCCGCCTCCAAAGCAATGTCCTTTAAACAACTTCTCAATTGCATCTCTTTTCAGATAATTTTGAGATACATATTAAATAATGTCTTATCGGTAAGCTTTTCTTCTTTTAATGCTTCTATATTTGTATCTACGTATTTAATAGACACAAGTAGGCTTTGTCATTTGTTCGCCATGGTTGCCTGCTCGGTTGATAAAGATTTAAGAGATCCCTGACCAACACACGGTGGACATTATGGCTTTGAACTAAATGTCTTCACAACTCTTTGGTTTAGACATTCATGTTCATGCCATTGTTTAATCTGTACAATATATCTGCTTCAGAGTTTGTACCTAAGCGATGGAGGTATTCATAGTAGACCAGGCAGCACTGACCCCTCCAGGAAATACACAAATACTCATTTAAAAATGCGTTTTGCGCTGTGGCTGAAGGTCACTTTATAAACGATGATTGCGATTCTCACAACACTTTAGGTAATTATCCGCGGTACCCATCTGCCCCCGGTGCAAGACGATACGCCAGGCAGGAGCAGATATCACGGGAATAGTGATTGAATGAAGCCAGTTTAGATGGATGAGAACCTCAGCCTGCGAGTTCAGGGTCAAAACAGTGGCTGGACGGGGGGGGGGGGGAGGATGGAGAACATGCGGTGAACATGACAACATTAAATAGTCAGTTGAACCCTAAAGAAAGGAAGAAAGGAAAATATGAGACATCTAGTGAGGCATCTAACAGCAAGAAAACCGATTTTTACTCAGGAAGTTATTCGGTTTTAACGGAGAATTAGATTTATGTTGGGAACCAATGGGTCATTTTATAGCCACAGCCTCTACTCTGGGCAACTAAAACATAAACCAACTCTGTATTATTTAGTAGGAAGGTGGAAGTGGAAAGTAAATAAGTGTCCCGCTTAAAGGAAGTCTTACTCAAACCAATCAATAGCGATAATGTCTTTCCCTCTTATCGTTTGAACTAATTGTTCTTTAACATAAAACTCTGGCAAAGTTGAATAGAAACTCTCTTAATTGATTTTTTTTTTTGTACTAAACCTGCCATGCTGAAGTTAGAATCATAAACTAAGCAGTCACTTCTCCATTCTTCTGTCCGGGCCTTCTCTCAAAATCATCCGTCTGAGGGGAACTTTGTGGTTGTGATGAATGACACGAGGAGGAGCGAGAGAGACGCTGCGAGTGAACAGCTTCAAAGTCCAGAGCTGCAGGTAAAACCGATGCGGTCAGCAAAAGACCGAAGGAGAGAACGAGAGAGCTTGAGAGTGAAAGTCCATCAGCATAAAAAGCAGACGGAGACAGAGTCGATAAAGCAAATGGATGCGGTACGGAAGGCAGAGGAAGAAGTGGTGAGATGGAGAGCACAACGGATTAAAAGGAAAGAGGTACGAGGAAGGTGTGACAAATATCTATATTAAAGAGTGCTGTTAATAGTTTTCTTCTACTCATACATACAAGACTTTTGTCCTTAAAGGCTCATAGGATCTTTATAAATGTATAATAATTATCATTTTTAGATTCCCCTGATATGGAATTACTTTATTTATTAAACATATTACGTGTATGTGTGGGGGGGGGGTGGGGCTTCTTCATAATTAACAAAAAAACTAAATATGCTGGAGAAAAGCAATGAAATGTGTGTATTACAACTGTAAAAACATTTGAACTTGAATTCGATTGTTTTTCTTTCTTGTAAACCAGCCAGACTCTGCTTAGCTTTCTCTTCCATATTTTATCATCTTGATTTTATTCATAGAAATTTGGCTTATTTCTTCTGTTAGAGGGGCTCAATAGTCGCTTTGCAAAAGCATTCATTGTATGCAAGTACAACAATGTTTAGGTAGAGGGAGATTGATGAATGATCACATATATTCTTTGCGTAATCCAAATTAATGGGATCTAAATGAAGTCATTAAAAAGCTGGAATATCACTGTTTACTAGTTAGGACCTTTAGGGGGAAATAATAAGGGCTTTAATATGAGGGTTTGTCCGGATCTGTGCAGAAACAATCGTTGGTGTTATTATCTACGCCCATGCATGATGCCTCACTGTCAAGGCTCACCAGGTCTAATGTGTAAACGACCCGTTGGCTTTGAGAACTTGTCAGTTTCACTCCAATTACTCAACATAAGAAAAAAAAAAAAAATCATAGAAATTTCAAAATGCCCACCTGTTGCTGCCCTATAAGTGTAAGAATGAACTGAGTGTGCCGAGAATACAGGCTAAAAGTAAAGCATGTGATGAAATGTGTTGAAGACACACTGGGAGCCGCGGACGGGGCAGAAAAAGCCACAGTACGGACGGAAAAACATCAAATAACAACATTGGTCACAATCCAGGCCGCACAGAGAGAGAGGCGGGGGTTGACAGGCCAACGGTACAGCAGGAGGTGGATCAAACGGGCTCCTGCTCCTGCAGGGCCGCTCTGCTGAGTGCACGGTTGGCCGAGGAGGTGACTGGAGATCCGTTGATCCACTTAAAGTCTTTAGGGGGCCGGAAGGTCAGCCGACCTGCCGTTTAATCACTCGTTAATCGAGGGGAGATGACTCCGATTCAGTTTCCTGCCACGCTTTGAGGGGCCCGGCTGCCTGATACGACGAGCACCTCCCTCCCGACGGCACGTCTCATTAAGCGTGTTAACCGCATGTAAATAGGCTTTGCGTGAGCCTCAAGACAAACGTGCAGCGGTTTGCCAAAAGGTTGGAGCCCCAAAGAGAGAGTTTGTCAAGACAATCAAAATGAGGGCACTTAGTCACCAGGGGGGGGGGAATGGCAACATGCAGATCATGTATAGTCAAATGTTCATGAGTGGCAGTCAAATTGAGGTTTTGCATAGAATTTGTTAAGCGCGGCGGGCCGTGAGGTTTTATCTGGGGGATGACCGAACACTAGTTTAGCTCCTTTTCCTCGGAAATCAGAAGTGACCCTTTGCTTACTTTGGTCCCAGTGCTCAGAAGGCCGGCCTACGTGCATCCGTACCTGAGCTGCATTGTGAAGGCAAAGGGATTCGTCACCACTGCTCCCACCCTCCCCCCCCTTCCCTCACAGGCCAAATGAAGAGGTGATGACAGCCTCCGACAGATTCCCAACGTAACACAACACCCTGGATGACCACGTCACGCTCCCGTCCACCTCCGTGTGTAGACTTGCTCTTTGATCGATATGGAGCAACGTCACAACAAATGAGCATTAAATGGAGAAACATCAGAAGGGCGGTACTGGAAACCAAAATGCACCCGACACGGAGAAAAGCGTGACATGGAGCATCGTGTGAAGTTCTGATGACCCCCCCTGCCCGGTACGGTGTACTGCAACAGCTCATCCGGCAGCAACACTGATTCCATCAGTGACAAGTTACAGGGAAGAGGATTCCGACATAAATGTTTTTTTGTTGCAAATCATAAAAGGCACCACGCAGGAACAGACGCTTGCAGAATAGGAATGAAGGGGGGGGGTAGGTTCCAGTTACCCAAATGTACTGTAAAACCAGCGCCTGCATGACAGCACTGTAATTTCATTCATCACGCCTCAGCACACAGCAAACCAGACATGGATGATCCCCCCCCCGGCACGCTGTGTGTGGGTTTTGCAGTTGGTGGTGGCGGGGTCAGAGAACACCTGCCGTAGTGGTGGTAGGAATTTGGATTGTTCCGGTGGATCCTCAGGGGGAACAAACAGCAGGTAGAGGGAGACGGACACGCAGGGGAGGGTCTGGAGGAAGGACAGGTGAAGACTGCTGACGAGCCAAAGTGACGGGGGTGTGTGGTGGGGGGGGGCAAGAAAGAAAAAAATAGAGCATTGGATTTACGTGGAGCACAGAAAGGAATCAGCTTTGAATCCCTGTTGACATTTTCTTCATGAAAACAAGGCTGGCACAATATAAAACGCCATCCCGAACCAATTACCAGGGCGCGGGGGCTTATTAAAAAAAAAACCACAGGCAATAAGTCTGCACCGATGTTGACCAGAGACACCGGCTCCCGCGGCTGCAACGGCACTTTGAGTTGAATGTTTTGCAGGTTGAGTAAAAATGGTTCTGTGACTAAATGTAAACATTTACCAAGAAACTAAGAACTCATTAATGGGCCCAATATTAAATTGGGCCCAATATTAAATTGGGCCCATTAATAAAAATAAGACACGTTCGAAGGATTGACAAATGTGTTAAGATTAATTCAATTGACTCCGTGAATCCAACTCAAGCTATTTCAGTGATTACTGCATTTTTAGCTTAACATTGGTTGCTATTTAATTGAAAACGCTAGTTTTTTTCAGTACCCAATTTACAGTACTAGTCTTAGAAGATTGTATTAGAAGATTAGATTGCACAACCAGATTTAGTAATTTACCAGTTTTAAACTAGTTGAGTGATTAGAAAGACGGCTATCAGTAAACTGATCAAGGGGCTGTTGGTCCTTTGATTCGGAGAGTGAAGCAGATCACAAGTTCATTTTAATTATTTGTCTCATCAAAAACCAAGAGAATTGATAGACTGCAGACATTTTGACTGCATTGAAAGGAAATTGAGATGAATCCTGGAACCAGCTCAGCCCTGCTGAACATGCCGCATCAATGAGAAATGTTGTATAGATTCAGGCCGATCACGTCTGTGACAACACAGAGGAAAGAAATAAAACGCATACGAAGATATTAAAGTCAGTTTGTTGTTCTTTTTCCTGTTCAGTTTGTCACCGACTGACATAACCAGTAGTACCAACAAAGATTTCTCTCTCAGGGGAAAGAACATCGATGGTGCAATGAGCTCCTTTCATGCTCCGACTGATTATCTCAACTTACTGAGATGAGAAATGTGCTTTTTTGAGTGAATCAATCATTACACGTTCTTACTGTACTTGAGGGATTGATAAAATGTGGGATGATCACAGAATTATTGGGTACTTACTGAAACTGAATACGGTATCAAAAGACAAAATATTCCCATTGAAATGGTCTAGTCAAATTGTACTTTGGTGTGATTACAGACAATTAACACATTCAATTTTGATGAAATGATTTCACTTCAAGTAATATTTGAAAACACGGTTAAAAGAGACAATGGACGCAATTTTATGCATTTATTCATGTAGTTATTCCACTCTGATCAAGGGCTCAAGGCTGGGTCAGCGATTTAATAGCCAAAAATACTCTAGAATTTATGGTTAACTTTTTCCCCCCCATCTCCTTCAGGTTCTCTTCATTTTTTGTACCATCCTTCCTTAAAAATGCCACAAAACTTTTGAAAAGTGCATTTTTGTGAATAACTCCAAAACTTCTCAAGTTGTTCATATACCCCCAATAAAAATGTTCCCCATATCAAGGTTTGTGAGGTCACAAATTTGCAACAAAAAACAACCAACATTTTTCCCCAAAGGTTTTATAACCATCCTGTTCAAACAACATTCGCTTTTCTTTTTACACAGCCAGAGAACAAAAAAGATTAAACATAATAAACTCCCAAACCTTTTGTACAGAGAAATCAAACTAAATGAAGAAAACGTCTCTTATATTAGTCCATGTTTTATCCTCTGAATCCGTTCTTGCATTTGCCATTAACTTGGGAAAGGGGACACAACTGTGTCAACATGAGGCTCTCTGTGTTGTACGCAATGTCAATCCGTCCGTTTAACTTGCTGGTTTTATCCGTTTTATATGGAATAGAAACCAGTAGGTCTGGGCCATTCAACAAGTAATTCAGTAATGTCTATGATAGTGTGTGCGTGCGTTCAAATGTTATCAGTGTGAATGTGTCTGGAGTAGTAGGCAAATCTAAATTAAGTGTTTGTATGCATGTCTGTGTGTGTTACGAGTCTCATAGTTTAGGCCAATCCGAATCCCTCCGAGCATTCCTGAATGGCCAACAGCAGCATATGTCTCAGCTTTTCATAGCTTTCGTAGGCTGGGAGGTCCAGCTGGTTAAAGCTGAGAGTGAAAAATAAGAAGAAAAAAAACATTACATTTTCCAAATGTTGTTTCTGCCAATATTGTTGTAATTATGTAATTACGCCACGCTGTGTTTACCAGGTATGAGCAGATGGCAGGCGGTCAGTGGAGCGATCATCCCGGTGGATCTGGAACTTCTGGATGCCGTTCATGCCCTCCAAGGCAGCAAAACCCTGCAGGGGAACCTTGGATGTGCCGGTGACAAACTGTAGGAACTTGGCCCGGTCGGCTTGGTCAAAGGACCGCAAGGCCCTCCAGAACCACTGGATCTGTAGTAAAAATACGTACATTGAGGAAACTATCTAAAAAATGGTATCCAGCAAGGAAAAAGCAGCTGCTATATTAATGCGTTTTATCCCCCCGAGAAGCGCTCTCAAATAGGTAGGAAGAACTTTAGAACAACAACGTAGTTCAAGCGTTTACATATCCATACCTGGATGGAGCTGGACTGGTATTTGTGATATTCAGTGTTGGCCTTAAGGTCATCAATGTCAATTGTGGGCAGGCCAGAGATGAGCAGCTCCAGCTCCTGCTCAGTGAAGATGGAGATCAGCCTCTTGGGGATGATTTCATAGAATCCCTCTAGGAAGGCTGCCAGCTGCTTGCGGATCGCACCTAGAAAACAAATGATATGTTATGCAAACTCAGAGATCTTTGTGTTGTAAATCCAATATGCTTTATTTAGTGAAACCAACATTAGTTGATCAATCAGTTAGGAGGCTCTGTAGAGCCTGGAGGGCGTTACAAAAGGATAAAATGGCCATCCTTCATAAAGAAGCACATTCAGCGCCCAGTTCAAACGAGTGCTGCCCCCCGGTGCTTTCATTGTGTATCAGCTGGAATTAAGCCGTGAGTAATTGTTTTTGTTTGTAATACTGGGCATCATTTAAACCCTGTTGCTAACACGAAATGTAGTATTTGGTAGAAAAAAAGGAAAGCATCAACCTCACCTGTCATCTTCATCTGGCAAACTAGGTGCACATACTCTTTCTTATTTTCCTCTGTGACTAGGATGTTGGCTCCATTTGGCTTGAGGTCTCTCACTTCACATACTCCAAACTCCTGGACCTAAACAGACAAAGCAAATGCTTTCAGTATCACTGGTTCAGCTTAACATTTCACTGTCACAGATGGTATTCCATTCACAGTATTTTAAGACCATCAGATGGCAAATTACACATTTCCAGGGCCCATTTTATGATCACATAAAGCATTTGGGATTTAAACCCTTGAGGGCATATCCCATTGTGAACAGCTAGGATACTGCATGGCACCAATTCTTCACTCGAGACTAAGGAACTTTCACAAACCTCTGTGCTGAATGTCAGCTCATAGCCCAGCGTGGACACATCATTCTCCAACAAGTACACCAAACCCTGGAAAAACGGGTAGTCCTCGCTCTCCATGTCAGTGTACCTGGCGAGACCAAAGGAATACATCCATATTATGCACATATTCCAGAAAAGGCTATTGCAGTAAAAAGTGGTTGAAAAATTAGGATGCTTTGCTGCAACTTTGGCGGCTAAAATACCTGACACTCTTGCCCAGAATGTGCTTGTAGAAGCTGCGGGTGAAGTAGCACTCCAATAACCGGTTATCGTAGACAGCCTTTGCTACCACACGACCCACAAACTTGAAGTAGCTCAGGTGGTTGGGGTTGCAGTGGGATGAGGGGTTGATGGTATAGGTGACGCGGTCGCCCGGTGAAGTGCGAAACAGGGCGTACATGGGGTTGAACATCTCCCGTGAGATGATCATGTACCATTCCCTCAGCAGGCCACCAGCATCCTGGCCTTCCTCCCCTTCAAACACAATGTATCTGTAATGCAAAGGGAGCAGAGTTGGACTCAGGCCGGGTGGTTCTGAGTGGAGGGGACACGCAGGTGGATAGAAGGGCAACGGAGCCTTACAGCCTGTTCTTCATGTCCTCTGGGCTTTTGCGATGCAGCTCCCTGTAGGAGTCCTCAAACACGTGATCTCTCCTCACATGCACAGCCATGTCCTCCTTCCTGAGACCTTCATCCAGTCGCTCCAACTCCTGGCGGAAGTACCTGCAGCAATGGCCAGAAAGTCGGATATTTAAAAAACAAGAACTGTGTATCAAATAGAGTAGGCTAGAAGTGTAAGATAATGTCCCTTACTTTCTCTTAACGTCAAAGTCGAGGATGCGTATGTAGTCAACCAGCACTGCAAAAGGCCCATCAGCCAAGTGAGTGGTGGACTGACGCAAGATCTGGTTAAGCACTGTGCGGTGAGTTTCTAGAAGGGAATCCAATGAGCCCTGTTAGACACGGCAACAAAGCTTCAACATGCTCCTTAAATCCCTCACTCACCGGCAAAGCGGAGGAACTTCTGCGTATCCGGTGGAAGGTTTGAAGAGATGTGCATTGAGGATGGTTCTCTGGAAAAGAACGGATCTAGGGATGAGGGTGTGGCAGGTGTGAGGGGTGCCGGCGACAGCGGCGGGGGCTCATCCTTGATGTGAGAAAGCTGGCTCTCCCGGGTGTCCCTCACAGGAGGTTTGCTTTCCCGTTCAGTGGCATGGACTAGGAAGAAGGCCTCCACAGCAGGCTGAAGAACTGAGGGAAAACAACAAAAACAACACGATTTCAGACCATGCATCCTCCAGCAAACAAAAATGCTAATCCAAAAATCACACTCTCTCACTCACACACACAAAAGGAGGACTACACTTACCCAGAACGGCATGCTGGTCATGAGACTCCTCCAGCTCTTTCAGGCACTCCCCAAGCATGTCCCATAGTTCATCCAACAGAAGCTGCTCGCTGAGCAGCGGCAGGTCAGGAAGTCTCTCCTCACTCTCGGGCGGTCCATTACCATCTTCATCTGAAAGAATTTAAATATTGCCTTAAGCCTAGTTTATGCTTCTCGTTTTCAGAGCTTTTCACACCTCCTTGCGTGTGTCGAGCTACTTTTCTAGTCTTGCAACGCAAACCTCCTGCAGCTCACCAGGCTGTGATTGGTCTGCTAACTACATCCTTTACGGAGTCTCACATTTCCGCTTTCATAGCCCGATACCGCCATTATTAAAACAAATAATGTTTACGAGAGAACGGATCAGATTGAAGAACTTTTGTTGGAAGAAATGCTTAAATATTTATCGGTGATAAATAAATAAATAGACGTGACTCTCTAAGTGTTGAACATAGTGATTTAAGAGTCATGCAAGTCCTACCCAGAGGTGCAGGGTCCTGCTCAAGAGGAGATGGCTGGTCCACATCCATTGGAGAATCATCTCGCTGGGCTGCCTGGGCTTCTGACATTGACTGTACTTCAGACTACAGAAAACAAAACCAGATAGGACCAGAGAGACAATGTCACAGGATGAACATCAGGGAAAAACATGGTTTTTTTCATTATCAATTGACTGATGTTGCCATGGACAACAGCATTCCCACTGTGCAGAGAGAGAAGGAACTGGGATCGGAGTACAGAGGAGGGGACGGCCAAAAGCATGAAGCCATGTCAGCCAGCAAACAGACAACATAAGTGGAACAGATCAATCAGGCAGTGCATTCATATTTGGATTGTTTCAGCAGTCCAGCATGTTAATGAAAAGACATTGATATAAGATGCACTAGTCACTGGCACAGCCATCTTCGTCAATAGTGAGTCATCATTGCAGCAGGAGTCACTGGGAATCAACCAGACTGAGGGCCAATTGGCGACTTCATTGTGTTTAGAGATACAATCCAATACCGTATAAAAAGATCAACTCTCTGCTTCTGACTGCAAGTGTGTGCGGTGTGTGAGCGGGCATATGCCTGCCATCATATAGCGGCCCATGCTAACCGTGGAAGCAGCAGCCGTGCCAGCAGTGGGCGCAGCACCAGTGGGGGCATGGGTGGCCGCCACAGACGATCCGGCAGCGGCGGCAACGGCAGCAGAGGCGGATGAGGCGGTGGGTGGGGGGGCCTGTTGGAGCCGACGTGCCCGCTGACCCTCTCTTACCATCTGGATGATGGCGTCGGCTTCAGCCTCTAGTTGACGCACCGCAGCCTGGATGCTGCTGGCTGAGCCTAAACTACTTGAGCCTGGCCGTTGGAGAAGGGGGACGAGAAGGTTGTTTCTATTAAACATCTTCAGAATATTCTGCCCATGTCTCAGGCGAAAATTGACATAACATCTCACCTAATCGCCCCGTCTGTTTGGCTTTCTTGTTGGCGCGCCGCGTGTCCTCGCGGAGCTGGATGATGACCTGCAGCACTCGCAAGAAGAACTTCTGCGTCGACGTCTTCGAGGTTAGTGAGCTCATACAGGGTAACTGTAGTTCACGTCCCCCAAGTGTGCGTTTCTGTGCAGCCACAATGACCACACTCTCCGACCCGTCGAACCTGTGCCCAAGCCAACAAACGCATACCAAGGTAAAGGAAATTGTAGCGGTGACGAGTTTACGTTCATGCAACAGAAGCTACGGCTAAGCTACGAAGCTAAAGGTCTATTTGGGACAATTTAACTACAGTTTAGGTTTAACCCAATAGTCTCTCTGCATGCGTGTTCACAACTTAAAGTCACTGGGCAGCCCAGAACCATCACTAGCTAACCTGCTAGAGATCTTGCCCTTCGGTTTGCCTGAGATGGAGGAATCCTCAGGAGGGCCATCTGGGGAATTTGAATCCGCTTGTGCCCGTCTCTGTTGTTCCAAGTTGTATTCTCTAAGTTCAGCCAGCAATGTACCTGACGGGAGAGAGAGAAAATGTTAACCTGTGAAGTTACAGTTTAAAGCCACATCTGTCCTAAATGTCCTCACGTTATTCCATCTTTTTAGACATTTGTGTTGGGTAAATAGAACATAATTCTTGAGTCTTGGCCCAGTTGGACCCAACTTCATCTGGTTACAGAGGCATAAACAACGTGTCTCAAGAGTTGTTATTAATGCTCCTATGATAGCAAATATGAGCATCTGTGTCGTTGTCAAGCACCTACCGATCTGTTTGCAAAGAGTGTATCCGAGGTGTCTCGCTCCACTGAGCAGTAGTCTGAGCACAGTGTCTCTGGTGGCACCATCTCCTCTAGATAACTGCAGCAGGATGTTGGCTGCATCTTCTAGACCCTCTTCTGAACATGAGTGAGATGTCAACACCTTGTAGAAAGCAGAAAAGGGATTATTGGCATGAACGAAATTGCAAAAAACAGATGAATTGCCCTTTGTCCAAAACAATGAGAAGGCGTAGATGATCTTATCGAAAAGTTGACTAAATAACCTGTCTGACTACCAATCATGGAAAGGTCCAGGTTGCAAAGCTGAAAAAACTGCTCGCTTCTTTCTTCTTCCTAGAAAGATACAAGCTCAGGACCACATTCATCTTCAAACCCTTTCCCCTTTGCTTGCAAATTAGTTTGCGTAAATGTATGCTTACTCTGATAAATAACGTGCAAAAAAAGGTATTTGCTCGTCAGTACTGCACGTAAAACTGTAACCTTGCATCACATTTCATATTGGCAATACGAATAACATCCTATCACCACACAGACACCCCATCCCACCATACCTCCACAGAGAGTTGAAGCTGTTTCTCTGTGAGTCCACTGGAGGCCATCTTGTTGTCACACTCCGTACTGATAGCAGTGCCCCTCGGTTTTCCTGTTTTGGCAAAAGCAGCCCAGAAATATACTCATTACTATTTTCTACTAAAAAACAAGGTTACACCATTAAATCTAAATAAATGTAAGAAATTGTATTTTGGAATAAATGAACACTACCTGCAGAGGTTATTCCAGTGGACGTGGGTATAGAGATCATTGTAGAGGAGGTCTGAGAGGCGGCTAGGCTTGTCCCTGAGGATGAACCCTGGATCGCAGCTCCCACAGAGGTCCCCAAGACCGTCAAAGTAGGCGGAATAGAGCCCGCTGACACTGTGCCTTGTGTTGTGATGTGGGCTGTGACTCCTGAGCTGGACGCCGTGCTGGGGATGGCAGCCTGTGGGGTTGGGTGTCCAGCAGGCACCTCGGTGGCCTTGTTGTCGGGCAGGGCAATGGATATGAGGGAGAGCAGACGCAGCAGCTTTTTCAGTGAGCAAGGAGCTCCGTCTGATTACAGGGTGGGACAGCATGTTCATCAGCTGGCCGAGAGGAGACGTCTCCAGGCTTAACTGCGCCCCCTCAGCCTCTGCACTGCCCCCCAGTGGCACGGTCTTCATAGAGGCTTTGCCCTTGCGGCTGACATTCATGTTGTCCAGCTTGACCAGAAGGTCCCAAAAATCAGTGGAGATTCCCAGAGACTGAAGGGTAGCGGCGGTTGAGCTGAAGGAGTTCTGGTTGTTGGAGGCATTGGAGCTGGGGTTACCTAGAGATCCTGTCCTGGACCCCACACCCCCTCCCAAGGAGGCGATTGAACAAAGACGTGAGTCCAGGTCAGACGAAGATGATAACAGATCCTTGCAGCGCTGCTGAGTGAAAGTGGCTGGGGAAAACCTGCAGAGAAAGAACATGAATAAAAAAAGACCTCAATTATTGGATTATTACTTGACAAACTTGAAAAAAAATGTACACACACACACACACACACACACACACACACACACACACACACTCTGATGTAGATAGATTAACTCTCACCTTAGCTAGCTGGATCAGTGTGTCCAAAACGTGTCGACAGACCACTGGAGCGGCTTGTGGGTGGATGTGGACAGTGGAACCCCCACCACCAGCACATGTGACAGCAGTCGCAGTGCCAGACACTCCTGCCAGAGTTCCTGATCCTGTTGAACCCCCGGCTGGGTGCCGGTCAGCGTGCTTCCTACCCGATGCTCGCTGAATCTGGAAAATGTTTGTCCGACAGCCCAAGGCTGCATCCATAGAAACTGAGAGCCAGGAGAGTTGGCTGGAGCTGCGAGACTCCACCCGGTTCAGAAGCTCCAAGGAAGATGAGGATGAAGACGAGGATGACGAGGAGAGGGAAGAGGTAGCCGACCCTTTTGCTCCACAGCCTCCCTGGGTGCTCCTCTTGCCGCGAGAATCTTCGAGGCGCGTTGTCTCCACACACACCTCACTCTCGCTGCTGCGCTGGAGGATGGACAACAGGCTCCGAATGACCCAACCACGAGTCTGAGAGTGGTAGCAGAGGTTCCTGAGCACGCGGTGCAGACGGCTGGTGTTGAGCTTTGGCTCATCCACAAACAGCAAAACCAGCAGGCAGGATAAGGCCTCGTGGTCCAGCAGCAATCGACCACGCAGACGTAACAAGGAGTCCACGCTGGAACTGGATGGTCTGAGGAAATCACATATAACTTATCTTCAGTTTGTGTCTTGCCAAAAGTGTAGTACAGTTTGTACAGGAATTTCATGAATCCTCCTTGTACTGCGGTATTTCATTTTGAAAAATTATTCAAGTAAATTCTCAAAACCACCGTTATTAGACAATTCTCCTCTCACCTGTGGTTTGTTCCTCCCCCCATTTGAAATGTGCCTCCTCTCTGCACAGCGAGTCGAGTGTACTGGACGCCACGATTGCTCCCTAAACGACTGGTAAAGGCAGGTGAGCGCAAGATGGCTGACAGGGCCGACGATGAGCTATGACCAAACAACCTCTCGTGCATCAGTTGCCTCTGGCGTGCCTCTTGTTCTCTACGCAACGCGGCTGCTTCGGCAGCAATGTCCGGCGGCATGACAGCCAACACGCTGTCTTCCATGTCCTCCAGGACACTACGCCGAAGTTCTGAGGGCAGCGTCTGGATGAAGGTGACTGGATCTAGAGGAGTGTCTCCCTGTTGGGGCTGTTGGGCAAGCTCCCTCCGCTGCTGCTCAGCCCTTTGCTGGGCAAGCACCTAAGACAACCAATGACATTCACAGTTAAAATCAATTAGCTGTGATCTTTTTCCTCTTAAAGTATCCAAATTTCCCTTCAGAGCTCAAATCTAAAAGGGAAGCATCGTTTTGCATGAAATTGCGTTTCAGTGAGGAGTCTCTTACCTCCTCCTGGATGGCAGGTGGCAAGGCCGCCAGGAACTCAGGGCTGACCTCAGTCAACCCCTGTCCTCCCAGTACAGGTGCTGTAGTGGAAGGCAAGGCAGTGGCAGCAGCGGGACGGGAGGGTGGTCTGATGCCAAGCTGATTTTGCAGCACCTCTCGACGGATGTCCTCTGGTAGAGCTGCCAGAAAAGAGGGATCCACACCCTCTGGCAGACTTATACCTACCAAGACAAGTACATCACGAGCTGTAATATTTCAGTGAGAACAGGGGGGAGAAAAAAAAAGATGAAAGACTAAAAGAGCAATGCATTCTACCTGCTAGAGGGTCCTCGTCGTCGTTGCTGGTGGACGGGAGGGGCTCTTCCTGGATGGCCTGAGAATGGCTACCAGCACTCTCGCTGCGGGGCATTGTTTCCCCAGGTGATGAGACAGAAGTAGAGCTGTAAATATATAAAAAGGCCATCATCAGCAAGCTACTATGTGACATATTACAGAGTCAAATTGAAAAAGCTCAACGAGCATACAAAACACTGCATTTCACCAAAAACAGAGCACATGAGTGTTTTAGGTTCTCCAACTCAATACTAAATACAATGTGTTAAGAGCTGGTGGGAAATTATGTTTTCCACTCAATTCCTGAAACCAAATGTTGTACACTCCAGCTCTTTAAAGACCGGTACGCATTTTACACAATCTGGACTTTTCATAAAGATGTATGGTATGTACTCAACAGGGTACACGATACTGCTTTTGAAAGTTTGGTTAGGGAGGATACTTCATGTTACTTACCCAGTCTTTGCATCCGTTTGCCGGTCAGTCAGCCCACTTTCCCCGCTGCCGGACAGCTCCTGAGACAGCTGGGTTGTCTGTGCAGAATTGGAAGTAGATTCTTCCAGAGTGGCAGAGGCAGGGCTGCTGGTATCCATGGGTGACCCTTCCAGTTGTGACACACCCACTATTGCAGGCTCTGAGGTCTCCACAATGTCTGGACTTAGGGAGGCTGGGGAGGGGAAGGTTAGGAAAGTGGGGAATCAATTATTGAAACAAAATTCCTTGGGTAATTATACTAGCTGCAATCGCATTAAACAACATTGACATTGCAGATGCGTTCTTACTGTTGGCCAGTCTGTTTGAAGAGTTTAAGTTAATCTACCTTCCATGCCTTTATTCAATGCTCCTCCTCCTCCACCTCCTTCGAATCTCTCACCGATTGTGGGTGCCGGGGACATTTCCATCTGAGATGCCTCTGCTTCACTGTTGGGCCGGTCAGCTGACGACAGCGGAGGAAGCCCCGCTCCAGCCAGAGCAGCCAGTGAGCTTGCGTGCGACTCGGCCAGTAGCAGGTCAGTAATTGGCTGGTGGACCTGCTGACTGATCGGAGTCTCCAGGGAGACCAAAGTCTGTTCATGAGGAGCCGGTGTGGTGGGAGTGACCTCTCCAGATGGGGGAGCGGCAAGGAAGCCCTCCGAGACCCTGGGTGGGTCTAAACATGACACCGTAGCACCCTGTGCCTGCTCACCTTCTGCAACATCCAAAGAGAAACATTGAGTAAAGACTGGGAATGTAACCTCATCCTTCCTCATCTCGTTAGTGGGAACAGTTTTTGAATACAACTCATCTTAGTTTTTTCAGTGACTTAACATTACATGATATATTTACAATAATATGCTTGTAATGAAAATACCAAAGCACAATTGATACATGTGACTTAACAGCTACCTTTTCAAATCGGCCCAGTTTAGGAAAATGTTTCCCCTATACACCCTTGTCGCCCAAACTGTTTAGTTCCCTTCCCCTCAAGGTACTAATGTCCAAAGCTAGCACACATGAGAACAGCACACAATATGTGGATTAGTTATTGATCGTTTTCTACATAGACAAGGGCCTCCACTGAGGAAGGCAGTAAGTTGTATAGTTATCTCCTGAACAGGGTGCACAATCATGATCCCAACAACAACACAACTTACTACCTCACCACAGCACAGCCTGTAGTAGGAGAGCACACTACTTGCAATATACACAACAGACGGTGTTGTACTCCAGGGACGAGAAGTAAATATGTGGAAGAATGTCAGACAGCCCTCATTTGCAAGTTAAGAATGAGTCACTTGCAGCAGATGGCGATGTGCAGCTGGTATGGCATACCATAGGAAAGACAGTAGACTGTATAGTTATCTCCCAGATCTGGTGTGATCCTAAAACTATACAAACTACTACCTCATCCCATAGCACGCTCTGCAGGGGGCTCGCCTCTGGGTGCCGGTCCATGAGGATTGTTTGTCAAGTGTTTTGTTGGACACACAAAGACAGACACGACATAATCTTTACAAATGTCTGTACCTGCAGTGTTTTCTGCTCCATTAACGGTGCCCAATCCAGAACCCTATGGACAACAGAGAACATTTCAAACTGAGAAGCGTTCAAACCCGTTACCAGTTTTATTCACTTGTTTGATAAAGTCCTCCAAAGCCAAACGAACATGAAATATTCTGCTGACCTGCAGCGTCTGTTCCCTGGCTTGTTCTGCTCCAGAGGCCCTCCTCTCACTCTGCTTAGACTCCTCCTCCTCAGCCAGCTGCCTCCTCCTCTTCTCTCTACGCTCCTCCAGCTCCTCATCGCGCAGACTCTCCAGATGCTGCAGGATAGGCACCTTCACCACTGAAAGCGAACACAGATAATAGTAATCATCTTTTGTTGTGGCTGTAACGTACAGGGTGTAATAAGTCAAATGATTGACACTTCAAATATTGGGAATGAAATGAGAATGTGGGATTAATTCTATCATTAACTCAAGTCCCCACCCTTGCTTCCAACAGAGCCTTTTTCCCAAATGAAGGTAATTTTTTCCTGCTCCTTTGGGATTATATTAACAACAAATGGGACTGAATACTTCTTGTCCAACATATCCAAGTAAAAGTATCTTAGTGGCAATATTTTCTGAGAGCACCAAGTCATCCGATCCACGTTGTCACATCATTATGTACTTTGCAACAGAAACCTTTAACAGAAAACCTACCAGCAACACAGTCGTGCATACTCTCTGCATCCAGTACTTTACACTCATCTGTCCATCTTGTTAAGGCAGTTGGAATACTAGAGAGAGTTCCTGGAGAAACAAAAATGAACAACCATGTCAGGAATTAAGCCGAATACTAAGAAAAACCAACATTACAACTCAGTGATTCTTACCGGTTTGTCCCCCAGTGCTGCTCTGCTCATGGAAAAAATCATCCAACAACTCGTCATCAGATCGGGCGATGATGTGCACATCCTCATTTCCGACCAAAAGGCGGGCCCGGCCTCGAGATTGCAGCGGCAGGGAGCTGGACAGTTGTAAAATGTCTGCTGCTGCACTGGGGCCCAACAATCTAAAAAAGTGCAATAGAGGAGCAGACCTTTCAATTAGCACAAACTCAAACACAGAATACTGGTTCAACCAATGTGGCAAACATGCTTTCACCTTTGCAAGATGAGCGGGGGGTTTGGCTGGCGGTTGCCAGGGTAGTGGACGTGGATAGTGTGTCCGCTGTTGGCAGTGAGCTGCCGCAGAGTTCGCTGGCTGCGACCCATGCCCTGTGCTAGGCGGCTGCTCGTGCCTGCCACACCAAGGGTGAGGGAACCGTGGTCCGCATGGCGCACCATCAGTGGGTGGGAGCTGGGGATGTTGCCTGGGGAGGGAGGGATGTCAGCTAATGGAAAAACAACAGAACAGTAGGCAGGCATTAGGGGGACAGCTATGGCACAACCCCAAGAAATGCTTATTAAAATAAAACTAAGAAATTATTTTTTTTGCATCATTCATTGTTTGGGAGGAGAGTGTAAATGCATGAAGGGGCTTTGGATTTTTTTTAACAGTTGACTGGGGTATTGTTTGAACAAAAATCAAATTTGATCTTAGTAAATGTCAATAAAGCATCCTGCTTACCGTTGTTGGAGAACATGTTGTCAAACTCTATGATGAGGTCATCATCCCTGTCAAACCTTTCGAAGCGGATATGTGGTGCGGCATTGATGTCAGGGAAGTCCTCGTCCAGCTCCATCTCTGAACCTTCGTCGTCGTCATCCTCATCTCCTTCTTCGTCATCCTGAAGGAACAGTAACAAACATGAGTCTTAAAGGACAAGCAAGAATCAAGACTCATTTACTGAACCTTATTGCATTAATCCATACTTGATCCTCCTCCTCCTCTTCTTCCTCCTCTTCCTCTTCATCCTGGCTGTCTTCATCATCATTACTGCCACTTGAGTCTTCCTCCTGTGTGTGCTCCTCATCCTCTGGTTCCAGGATGTTCATTGAGTCTGATGGGGGAGAGAAACGCATAGTGCCTTAAATGAAGAGCTTAAAAACTGGGCGGTCAGCAAAAGCAGTTGCAACTGCTAGCAACTGCACGCAATTTGCCCTCCTTCCCACGGGAGGCATCAAGTGTCGAGTGCCCTCCCACACCATAAATAGAGGCCGAGTTGAGGCAAACTTCCGGTTTCGTTTTTTTTTATTTCCTTTATCCATGTTATGATAGTATAGATATATGTAGTATAGTACATAGTATAGATAAGATGGTACTGACTACTATGTTAGTCATACGTCACAGACAACGGCACAAACCCAAGGTTCAAGCGGCTCCTAGAGTAGGAGATTCAACTGTTATAATATTAAATATCTTCTAAGCATACAAGGCTCTTGTTGTGCCAATGTCTCACCTTCCCGGTTGGCTTGAAGAGTGGATGCCTGGCTAATATTGGAGGGGGCCTCATCCATCAACACATCTTCTTGAGATTCATCTTCTCCGCCTCGTCCCACTGAGAAAACAAACAAGCGGTGCATCAGCTCTGGGTCGCCTTACCTTTTTGAAATCCAGGGAACTTGGATTTGAGTGTGCAATAACCCATCGTTGTCTAGTTTAAAGATAAACATTTGTATTCAGCGACTGAGGTTTAGCTGTGGCGCACACAACTTTTCCATCAATACAGGATCCAAATCCATTGACCCCAACACATTGAGTGGCTTACCTATTATTGTGCTGTTGACGGTGCCAGCATCTCTCTCCAGCAGCTCATCAATCAGATCCACCAATTCATTTTCTACCTAGAAGCACAGGAAATGAAATCCAAAAGGTCATTCTGTGAGGAAACGGGTAAAACACATACATTATACATTTTGGAAACTTGTGTCATCTGGGCCTTGTGTGTGTGTGTGTGTGTGTGTGTGTGTGTGTGTGTGTGTGTGTGTGCGCGGCGTGTCTCCTTCCAGTCTGTCTGGCATACAAACGATTGAGCAATTGAGGGATAGTCGGCCTAGCGACCACACTTTTGGTCATAGTGGTTACCGAGGAGGAAATGTGGTGAGGGACTTGAATGTTACTATGTGAATTACCTGCATAGCCTGTGTGCTGAGAACCTCTGGCTGACCAGCAATGACAACCGTGTCTCCCTCGGTCTCTCCATCCATCAGGTCGTTGTCTCTTCCCTGCACTCTGTGGTTTCCCTCCACTGGCTCAGACTCACCAGACTCTCCTGGAATAGATGCCGCAAATCAGCAACATACATAATTGACATCCCTTGATCTGAAATGTTGAAGTGATCTCATGCATACCTTGGTCCTGAGTGTTGCTGTTGCTGTCCCTTGCAGTGCCCACAGTGTCATGTTCGGGCTTGTTCTTGCTGGAGCCTCCTTTAGCCCCAAACAGACTGCTGGGCTGGTTAACAATCCGGGACAGAGTCTCCAGAGGCTTCAATGCAGCATTTACTGTGTTGGCCATGTTGGGACTGAACCAAAAGATTTAGATGAAGATTATGTGGTCATTTTTTTCACAAACACTGCAGCATTTCAAATCCTTAAAATCAGCTTAGTATTATTTCTAGGGAGCAAAAACATTTGTTATACCTCAATGATCAATAATACTTCATTAAGTATAAACAACCTTTTGAGGGTTCAAATCAAATATAATCTTCAGCCCCCTTAAAATGAATAATCTGCTGATTACACACTTGGATGAAAGGTCCTAATACGCATTTTAAAATTAAATGAATGTGGTTTAATCATATACCTGGACAAATCCAAGCTGTGAGGCACACGGGCCAAATCGTTGACCAGTCCTTTCTTAAGAAATAGCCGTATGATATTGTTCATGCCATTGTGTTGAGTCTTGGCTGCTGCTGTGCTGTAGAAACTGGACGTTGAGGGGCACGATTCCATGATGGTGCTGATGATACACATCACCGCCTGAAGCCTGTGAAAAAAATGTGAGTAAAAAGGGTGAAAATGAGAGTGCACGTTTGTTCAGAAGGGTGATCAAGGGTATCAATATCAGGCTCGTTTACACATTTTCTGTGCTGCTTACCTGGCATGTTTTTCCGGACCCTCTGTCATTGCTAGTGCTCGACTAAGGGCAGCCTTCACCTCATTGACTAGGGCCACCTGGGCATCAGTGCCCGTGCCGGCAGCTGCCAGGCTGGCTAGGAAGAGCCGGGCCAAGGCTGGCGTGTCCTTGTCCTCCAAATTCTGGGTGTGGGGCAGTAAGTGGTCGAGCACAAAGGCAAGAACACTACAGTCCTGTTGGGATACAGCAAGGTCAGAACAATTTTGGATAAATAAGCTTGTGAAAGGCTGACCACATTCGTTCATTCCCCACCTCTTTAATCAGCTCGGACTGTCCAGCAGTGTAGCAGTAGGAGGCGATCAGAGTGGCAATGCCCACGTAGGAGCGCACCAATTCAGCCAACAGTCTCAGGATGGTGGAGGTAGGCATTAGAGGCTTTCTTGCCTTTACTTTGGCTGCTTTACCCTCCTCTGAGCTGGTACTCTTCTCTCCCTCCTGCTCCTTCTTTTCCTCCCGCATCTCTTCTGGTGTGGATGCTGAGGAAATTATGACAGCAAAATGAGAAGAAGAAAACGATCATATACAGTACATACACGTGTACGGTGTATCACCAGCCCTTTAAAAAACATGGATTAACATGAACAATGGACATAATCTATTGTTCGTATTCTTATCCAACTGTCTTACACATTTTTGTACGGTGGGCCACTTCAGATTTCAAAATTGCATTTAGATAACCGTTTAAACAACCATGCAATCAATGACAAAAACCACCTGGTCCTTTATGAACACAGTTTTCTCCATCTTTCTAATAATACCCTATAAGGCTACATGTCACCCTCCTGTGTGTTACATAAAAAAAGGAACTATTTAGTCGAGCTTTTGGAAAATCATAATCAAAAATCATTGACTAAAAATCGATTTGTTGCGATAGTCGCGAATCTTGTAACACTGATTTGGAGAATGAAAATTTGGAGGGCAAACACTTTAGAAATTTCTAGCTGATTGGCCAAGGCTCATCACGACACCAACTTTTCCTCACTCCAATCTCAGCAACGCTGATTAGCAGTTACTTTGCACAAATCTGCCGTATTTCGAAAAAAAGACTGACCTTCACCTTGTGGTGTGCCCGACTGGGAAGACTCAGCGACGGCTCCATCAGCAGAAAACACTTGAGCCTGAGAAGAAAAGATTTTGTTATTACTGGGGAAATGACACATTTCTTGATTGAATACAGGACAAGTAGTCATTGAGACTCACATTAATATGGAACGCAGACTGGGAGTCAAAGTCGCTGCCCTGTCGGGTCAGTCTGTACTGCTGATAAACGTCATCTCCAACATCCTGTAATATCTGGCACAGGTCTGGTCCACCAGGCACCACTACTGCTGCTGCTGCTGCTGCTGCACGTTCCTCTGGACGTTCAGCTGTGCCACGTACAAAACAGTTAGCCGGAACGTTCAAATTACTATTTTCCAGCTGCCAGGATCTTATAAACATGTCTTACGTTCTTCAGGAGCATGGTAGGCAGCCAGAGCATTGAGCATGTCATAGATAACTTCCTTGATAGTGTCGGGGATGATGGGTAAGGGGGACAGTTTTAGCGGAGTGGTCTTAACCAGCTGCACAGCATTGGGCCCCTTAATTCGAAGGTTCTCAAACTCGTCATCAGAGGCTGTGGAAAAAACAAAAAAGGACTAGTTAGACTAAATCTAAATATTAAAAGTTAATTATTTATTGAATTATTTAGAGTAAAGTTGTTTTCATTGACATTCTCATCTCAATTTCAGTTATCGAACAAAAGTTCTAAGAAAAGCTCACCCGTGCCAGCCCCCCGGGGTGCAGGCAGAGCAATGCGCACACAGTTGCTGGCGGTTTCGGCGAAGCATTCAGGGTTACGGCATGCGGCAGGGCCCAGGACGCGAAGGATATAATTGATTTCTCTGGAACCAAGGCTGCCTGACACCACTCCTGAGGTGGTACTACCTGCTCCGCTGGTAACGGCAGACCTCACCACCTGTGACAAAGGAATTTGTTAATGTGTAAAATGACTCCAATGACAATTCAGAAATAATATAAAATGGTATAAAAATAACCTTCTCCATGGTGTGCCGCAGGGTGGCTGGATCTTCTATGATGTGTCTGAACAGCAGTGTGACCAGCGGGGTGAAGCCATTGAAGCCGGAGATCTGAGTCAGCCCCAAAATCATCCGTGTGCTCTTCAGCTCGGCAAACATCATAGCGTAGTGATGATTCCGTGTAAGACGCAAACACAGACGCAAAGTGGCGTGGAGTGTGTCTGGGTCAACAGGAACGCTAATCATACTGACACAGGCACGAATGAGAACGGTGGTCATGTCCCCGGTCAGGCCTTGTACAACAATATCAGCGCTCTGAGAGTTGTCAGACTCCGGGGCTGAGGAGGCCTCTTTCGGCTGGCTGGAGTCCTCCTTCGTAACACTCATCTCCACTGCTGCTTCGGAGTCCAGGTCAGTCTGGGTTTCCTCTGCTTTGCTCCTGTCTTCCTCATCTCTCTCTGAGTCAGTGATGCCACCAGCCTTGGCAGGCTTAGGCATGCGAGGCACTCTCTGGACAGTTAACATCACTGGCCTCCTGTTACCAGTCTCTTCGTTAACCTGCCAAACAGAAAGGGTTTTGAATCAAACAAAAAGGAACCCAGCAAAAAAACACAACATAGAAATCCATGGACTCCGGCCGTAGAGAAAGTGTTCATACCTGCACCATTGTGTTAAACTGCACAGTGTATCTCCGGCGTCCCGCTGTGAAGCGGACACTGCTCTCCCCAGCCCTCCAAGCAGAGTCGATGGTACTGTTGTTTGATGCACTGTAACTGCACCAACGGCCCGAGCGGTCATCAAACCACCGCCAGTTATTCCCATTGGGTTGAAGATACTAGAAGAGCAAAGACAACTCATTAAATAAACAAAAGCAGTATAATCCAGACATGCTAATTCAATGATCTTGAGAAAAATACGACATTTTATATTAAAGCATTTAGTGCTGCAACCACAAATTGATAAAAATCGTGAAGAACGTAACGTGCTTCTAGCAGTTCTGCTACTGCTGCTGCTTTTTACTCGAGCTAGCCCATTAATCACAGCAGTAAAGCAGGAGGGTATGGTTACAAAGACTAAAGACGTTTTGATTCACTCGCCTTTTAATTCAGTTAAGTTAAAAGGGCAAGAGATACAATGGATTATAAATATGACTCCCTTAGAATGGAAATATGCAAGTACAAGATTATCAATCGAAAAACTTACTCTTATTACTTATTCTATTTATGAACCCAGTGCATTGTGGTCTTTACCTGTGCTTGTAACTTATGACCTCAGTATCTAACTTTACAATGGTAATCTTTATTTGGATTAGGGTTTGATAAAGTTGATTTACCTTGTTCATTTGTTCCCTGCGCTTTGAAGATACCGCCATCTTCTCGTAGAAGTCAATGATCAGGAGCACTGGTGTGATCCATCTGCAGAAAGAAGAGTTTTCACAATATGAATAAAAGTTCACAGGACAAACGGAAGAACTGGTGTAGCATTTGCAAGGTAAGATGAGCATGGAAGGGCCATTCAAAACGTACTTGGGCGTCTGGATGTCTTTCTGTTCTTTCGCAGCTTGCAGACAGGGCTGAACGACCTCAAGGAGCTTGATCAGCAGATCCAGAATCCCACTGTTCTCCACTACTCTAGCACCCAACAACTTCAGTTCCTACCGAAACAGACCAAACAAAATGATTGTTTAGGATAAGCGTCAATGACCAGCAATGGAAAATAATTTACTTTGGGCTTACAACTGTCAAGGGGTGTGTTTCGGTTACTTCAAATAGCAACGTGAGCAGCAGGATTCTTGTCGCGAGCTTGGAGGCTTGGGGAAGCGTGGCCATCTGTCTGGTCCATTCAGACACAGTCTTTGTGTCGCTGGTAGTCAGAGGCTCAGCCGCTTTGATGAGGGTGTCTGCTGCCTGCCACACCTACACATGAAAACAACCCAATCAGGGTGGAACTAGAATGCTCCTATTGCAAACACTTTTAAAGAGAGAACCCATACATACAGTAGGGGCTTAAAAATCCTCATTCGCCTTCCAGACATATTAGAGGTATTGTGCACTTGACACTGAAACATTGTTTAAATTATTGTTTTTAAATATACGAACAACCCGTCACACAAAATAACAATTTGTTAAAAGGACTTTCTACAACCTATAAACTTCATAGAATATTCCAAAATATTGAGTAGCCCTTTTACAGGGTTCTTGCACCATTTCAAAAGTAAAATGTAATGCTTTTTAAGACCTTAAGACCTCAACAAATATAATTTAAGACCCAAAAATGTCACAATTTCTTTGGAATACGCAATTTATTGCCTCCTACAATGGAAATCAAAACTTTTTTCAAATTAGGAGACCGTATAATAACTGACAATAACCCTTCCAACACTGTTTGATTGTTTACATCTATATTGGCCAAAGTGATTCCTTTGTGATGCAGAACAGAGACAACATAACATACACAAGTTTGGATTACACTAAACACAATGCATTGCGAATTGGGGAACATGGCAGCAAAGACGCCACGTATGTCATCATTAGATTTAAATGAATTGTGCCTCGTTACAGTATGGAGAACCCACAGTACCTCTGCCTTTTGGGTGTCTGGTGTTGAAATTAAACTTGTTAGAGCCGACTGAGAGGTGGCGTCTGAACTTGTAACGTCGTTAGGTCGTTCTGCAAACAATGCAGAGATTAACCTGGCCCCGCTATGGCTAGCTGCTGCAACATATCGCTCGTGCTTTTCTCCTTTCATGTGCGACTCGACGGCTTTGAGCCCCATGGTCCCTAATGAAAAGGTCTTTTTGCGTAGTTTACACATTGCGGTTTTCAACCGGCGCCAACCACCTCCTAAATGCATCCTCTTCCATCCACTTGTCGTTAAATTTGCCCCATCTTCTTTGCATTTTCAACCTCACATCGACAGCCGTGTAATGGCGACACGCAGCCTGACGTCAGCGTCTGTAGCCGATGTACCGTAAACAGCTATTCAATTGCGGAGACTCATTTCGCACAATACTAAATTAATCAACTATTAGATGTTTTACGATGCGCCACTGTGCTTCCTCGTCGTCATTAAGCGCAAAAAAATTAATACCTACAGCAACTTTACGTGAAAGTTAAGACAAGACCTTAATTACCCGAATTTTAATTTAAGGACATTTTAAGACTTAAGGACCCGCGGGAACCCTGTTTTAGACATAACTAACAAATCAAGCTTTCATGAAAGCAAACCACAATCTCCTAAAGATGCATCGCAGGCTCTAGTAAGCAAACTGCAATGCAATTATTTATCCACAGACCTGGTCGACAACCTGGCCGAGGATGAGATCTCGGTACTCCGCTCCACTCCTCTTAATGGCGGTCATCAAAAGGTCACATAGTCGGTAGACAGTGTCCGGCAGCTCATCCAGAAGGTGGAAGCAGCCGGGCAGCATGGAGTCAGTGAAGGTATGCAGCTCCTTGGGGTCCAGTGGCTCAGCCTCCATGAAGCGCTCCAAGCAACGCGCCTCCTCCTCCTCGGCCCGCTCCCTGGCTCTCCTGTCGTCTTCCTCACGCCGACGTGCTGCTTCCTGATGCAGGAACACACAATCTCAACAGTTACTCAACTACGCTATGTTACTAAATAAAACCTCGATAATGGGTAACAGTTCAGAATTAAATGTTTTTTCCCCATATAATCTGAGTAGTGAGGGTGGCACACCTCAGGAGAATCCGACCGCTGCTCCATGCTGACCTCTTGCCCAAGGGACATGGCAATGGCTCTCATCATCTGGTCCTCTTCAGACATAGTCAGGTCCTGAAAACAACAAGAGGAACAATTTCAGCAGCCTGAATTTGACGTCTTCTGTTCTCCGATCACATATACAAATAAAATTACATAAAATGCACGTCAATTTAGAGATCTACTGACAACAGCAACTCACCACCAAAGCCATTTCAATTCATGAATTTTAGATGCTGATAAACAGCTAACCAGTGAAATAGACATGCTCATTTTATTAATACATTTTCTTGGAAATCAAGTTTATAATCTGTGTTTATACCGCCGGGCAATAACCGGGATATTTATGGCCCTGTTGAGACTGCACCATTTCTTCTTAGAATTACTTTATGCCAAATGACTTGGCTCTTTAGGGGCATAATCATATCCACACAATACATTGGCATGCATACCAGCACTAGTGATTTTTAAATTTATATTTAATGCTCAGGTATAATGTCCAATCACAATATTGTACAGGAATATGCACACAAAATAAAACCCTATTGGATCCTTAAACTAAAATGTTTTCCTATTCCGAATCCTGTAAAAAGTATTATATTCTGTGGTTTTGTTTGTTTTTTTCCCCCCTTGTGCTCTGTGCAAAATGGCATTTACAAAACATTTTTCTGTCAAGGAAGACTTACTCTTACTGCTCCACCAAGAAGTGGAGGAGGGTGAGTTAGAAGGTACTCCGTGGCCTGCTCCATGGTGCTGGTGTTCAGTAGAGACTCCATGGCATGCTCTCTTGAGAAACCCATGTCCATCAGCTAAAACACCAAACAAAGAGGGGAGAAAGCATTTCTTTTTACCAGTTACAAACAAATAAATATAAGAGGGGGGGGGGGTGAGGCAGAACGATAAAGGACATATAGTGAGGCAAAGTCAAACACACTAACATTTTGAAGGATGAGAAGACATTCTCCCACTGACTCGACGTATGCCCGATTTTAATTTTTTTAGAACAATGAGTGTCCACGACCTTTATGACACTAAAAAACTGCTTCCGTCCCATTACTGTTCTATATTCAGCTTAAAATCTCAATATTCCTCTCTGAAACGCTCTTTCAGTCTTCAGTTCTACCTCTCCGACCTGTCTCCATTCCCTATTACTTCCCTCTCTCAAAGTGTCTCCCACTCTCCCTGATGGCTCTAATACCTGCTGATGCTGCTGCTGGCGGACTTGTGCGTTCCTTTCCCTCTCTCTGCATCTTCCCTGTTATAAAACAAACGGTGGCCCAGGATTAAGCGTGTACAGAATAAGGGGGAGGAAGATGGTATATAAAGTATCTCTTAAGAGATTGGCGGACAGAGCTAAACAAATAGTGCCAATAAAAAATATTGTAGTTAATCTGTGCCGTCCAAACCTCCTGCTGTGGTGGCACGTCATGGGACAAACGACAGCCTGTATGCAGAAAGAATTGCATACAATACCACACTTTTGTATTATGATGAGTGAAACGCCCAGAAAGCCCGGTTCCAAACGAAAACTAATCAGAGTAAATATACGGCATATTTAAAAAAAAAAAAAAAAAAAAAAGGTCCTGAGCTAACGGGTCTGCTATCAGTAAACTCAAGATATCCCCGCAAAAATGCTGTGTGGCAAACGCTATATCTCGGTCACACACACACACACACACACACACACACACACACACACACGTGTCCTGGCAGAGAGAAGAAAATTATCCAAAGTGTTTCTGCATTTTGCTTGAGTAAAATGCAGAAACTATCAGTGTGTAACGGAATACCGTGGATGAGCGGCTGAGGCTGTCGTGATGATATTGTGTATTTGTTGATGGCATGGAAATAATAAATAAAATAGTGAGTAATGTCAACGTTGCTGATGTTGCTGCCAAAGAATGTCTCATTTTTTTATTATTAAGAATAACTTTATTCGATCTAGTTTACCTGTGGAGGCTATATACATGAATCAGTATTAAATTGAGTAGGTCATAACCTAAAGTTAGTTAAATTTCCCTCCCACTTACCTGTGTAAGCTGGGCCTGGTTCACCTGGGGATCACGGCGGGGGGTTGAATTAGCTGAATCATCAGCAGCAGCAGCAGCAGCTGCTGCCGCTACTATGCTGCCGCCGCCGCCTCCTCCGCCGCCGCCGCCGCCTCCGCCGCCGCCGCCTCCGCCTACTGCTGCTGCTGCAGCCGCTGCTGCAGTCGCCCCTGCTCCTCCTCCTCCTCCTGCAGCTGCTGCTACAGCGGCTGCTGCTGGTCCTGCTGCTGCAGCTGCTCCTCCCCCTGCTGCTGCTGCTGCTGCTGCTGCCGCTGCCGCTGCCGCTGGCACAGCAGGTGCTGTTCCAGTGGCTGCTGAGGCCTCCCCGCTTGTTGTAGATGCTCCAGGGGCCCGATCAGGGGACAAAGTTAATGTATAGGGTGCTTCGTCATCCGGGCGCAGCGCCCCCTCTCTCTCCTTGGCCAGGCGCTCCTGAATTACAGGCTCCCCTCTCAGTATGTGGCAGAGGATGGCCAGCATCGATTCGGCCATTCTGCCTCCATACACCTTCAGAGGCTTTCTGTTCCACAGACTGCGGATGCAACTGAATGCAGCCTTGATAAAAGGAGAGACTTATGAACATAAAGTGCTAACATATCGTCATAGCTAATTCTACAACTCTCATCACTAGTTTAGACATGCTAAATCATACAGCTTATACAAGCTGCTTTGAAAAGGCATTTGATGAAATATACACAAAACATATGTTGATCAATAATAAAAACGGTATTGCTTTCCAAAAGTAAGCCGTTGGGTCTAATTATTTTGCCAGAACACAGGGACGGTGCTGTAATATTGGCTTTCCTTAGCCCATCTATCCCTGTGTGAAAGCAGTCACACTGTTACTGCAGTCAAAGACTATCTCTAGAATAGCTGGCTTTAGTCAAATCTCTGCTCATTTGTGAAAGACCTCTGGGCTTTGGTATCTCTGGCCTCCATTAACTGCTTGTATTTGAGATCTTTTTAGAAAGGATCAATCGGTAGTAAATAATACGATGCATCCCCTATGCAGTAGTAATCAACTAGTTTTGGAGCTTAGTAGTGATTGACTTCTTAGAACGCCACATTTGGGAATGCCTTACTGTTATGTTATTTAGGAGTCTGGAATGTTCAGTCGCAAAAGTTTATATTTTTCTTGTTCATTCTCAAAATTATATTCAAATGAAACACCAGAATAATCAAGCATCTATTCTCATTTCCCTGTTTTCACAAGCTTACCCACTTGATTCCCACAGATATGTAATTTGCTTCCGAGAAGGCAAACTCAACTATTTATCTGAAGACAGTAACTGCGTCATTTGACTTTCTACAGCTAGGGGATACTGACCTTTTGGGTGACTATGAGGAACCGAAGGGCACTGAACTGCGGCATGGTGGGTGTGACACCAGGCGTTTTAGCTGGCAGGGAATGGGGTGAGTCCAGCACAGTGCTTGGGTTCACCATCTTCTCCACCAGCATTAACCAAGCATCCAGGAACTCCCCTGTCCCGTCTGGCAGATCAGTATGCTCCAAACCCTCAGATACAGGTACCTTTCCACCCATTGACAGGGCCCAGTTAAATGTCCTGCACAAAACCAATAAAACTCCAGTTTAACATGGAAATTTCAGATGAAGATAGGTCCCTGCACAGGTGAAGACTTACTCAAATAAGGCATCATGGCCCCCAGAGCAGAAGAACTTCTGCAGCATAAGGTGGTAGGGGTACTTCCTCTCATCAAACAGCATGGGGGACGTGAAGCCCACTGAGCAGATGAAGAAAGTCAGCCTGCCAAACACAAAGGTAAACAATAAAAACAAACCCTCCACATCACCTATGTGTGTACTTTTAAAAATGGATGTGGTTGTCTGATCTTACCTGAAACGAGGGGTGGGTGTGTAGGGTGGTGGCTGCCAACTGAGACCCTTTGTGAGGAGCTTTGTCAGGGCAGAGGCAGTGGCCCGGGCAGCAGGCGTGGGTGTAGTGCCTGTGCTTGTGGCGTGGTGGGACCGCCGTTGGCGCACTGGGGAGCCCACACACAGCTTCACCAGCAGGCCAAAGAGTTCAGCCAGAGCTCTCCCTAATCGAGATGAAGCTGGAAGGACACATGCAGGTTAGTTTGAAACAATAGTACTCATTGGGGCTCTGGGAAATCAATGACATATTGTCAAATAGGTTACAATTTTAAACGACATTAAATGAGCTCACCGGATAGTAGAGGTTTTATCTGTTTAATGCGGGTGGCCATAGCTGGGGTAAGTTTGGACTTGGCCTTAGGGTCAGTCGCGGTGGGTTCGTCCGTCTCCATGGGAGCCAAGGTGTCACCATCTAGACCCATGCCTTCCAGCAGTCCACCAGTAGTTGAATCTACAGTCACTGCCTCAGACTCTGGTAGATAAAAGAGAGAAGGAAGGGGTTGGCGGGTATCCGTGGACATAGTGGTCGCTTAGTAAAAAGGTAATTGTTCAATTACCAGTTCTCCTGGAGCCAGATGACGTGGCGGGTGCAGTGCTGCCAGATGGCTTCTCCTCCTTGGGCACCAGTTTCTGCATGTCGGCCTGGCCAAACTCACATCCTGGGGGCAGACTGGTACACACAGACAAGCCGTGTTACTTGATTACCACGGAGTTTTAAAAAAAGGGTGCAAAGATAAGCTACCCACCTGTTGGGCGTGCAAAGGGACAGCAGCACGGTGCTCTCCCATACCAGAGAGCAGTAGAGCTGGCTAAGCTTGTTGAGAACGCTCAAGCCCAGCTGGGAGCCCCACTGGTTGACTGAGATGGCTCTGATCTCACTCTGTTTAGAAAGGAGTAGAAATATTCAGGGAGCAGTAACATTTGGAAATGAAATAGGACCTCTCCCCAATCACATGGTAATAATTAGACTCTAATGTATCTTCACGCCACTGGAGTATACTATGCAAACATCACAGCCAAGACATGTGGAAAATAGATTAGATTGCCGACATAAAACAAGCTGTGACGGTAATGAAATGTGTTGCCCCTTTCGGATAATATACTAAGTGGACGTAATTACATCTTTTACAATCCGATCAACAAAAATAAAGCCTACAGTTGAGCTAAACAAGTAAAAGGTGTGTTAATTTAATTCATTGAGAAAATACATCCATATTTACCTGCCCTACTCTGCAAGTATGGACAAACATGAGGATGTAGGCATGCGCTGCAGTAAGAGCATGTAGCAGTGGTGTGGCCCGTGCCGACAACGTCGGGTCGGTGACATGGCCTGCGTTGGCCAGTTCTCTCAGCAGCACAGATCCACCAGGCACCTCAATTGGTCGATGAAGTGGCTCCAGAGACGTCAGGATGCTGTCCAGTTGGCACAGGCCCTCTTGGAGTACCTTAGGCTCATGAGAGAGTGTCTAACAGAGAGAATTTAAGGAGAAAGCACTTCAGTTGGAATTCAGCAAACTAATATTTATTTTACCATGTAAACAAATGAGTCCTTTGGTTACACATGGCTGAGGATATTAATGTTAGTGTCATTCCTGATTAGTGAACACAGGAAACAGGGATCTTGATTTTGTGCTTACCAATATGGATTTGCAGACACCAGCCACAGCCTGGCAGGCAGCAGACGTGGGGAAGTCTATGGGCAAGTTGGGCAGGCCCAGAATAGAAACCAGAGGTAGCAGACCCTTCTGGTTGACAAACTCCTGACAGTGGTCATCTGTGGTGTTGTTGCTCAGAATGGATTCCACAAACTTCATCTAGAAAACAGGTACATCGCAAATCTGTGACTAAACTAGGATATTAGTTAAAGCGTTTCCATTAATAACCAAGACAGTGGCGGCTCGCCAAAGTCTTTTTTGCCTCCCCCCGGTTGCATAATTAACCAGATTTTATTTAAATTAATTTTCAAGATGGGAGAGCTGTCTGGCCCTCTCCAGGCATATCTCAGACACAGGTGAGGCAGTTTCTGGTCCGGAAAGCATTTCACGCCTAATTAATACATTTATATTCTGTAGTAAAGAATTTTTATCTTCAAAGTAGCCCGAATCATTACTAAATTTACTGTTAAATAAGAAGTGTAATATTTCCCTTTAGTGGAGTTGAAGTATGAAAAGGAAATATTCAAGCAAAGAAGTCTCAGAAGTAAGCAGAGCTCACACTGGCTAAGTTTTACATTATAGCTTGGAATACTTCCCAACATGCCCATAACCAACCTAAAAAGGTTAAAAAAAAAATGAACACTCACCACGTTCAGTATATAATCCATGAGAGGAATGGGTATCCGCTCCTCAGTGCCCACAACCCTGCAAGAATCAAAATATTACCAGAATGAAAAAACGGAATATTTCAACTGTAGTTGATCTAGTTGAAGAAAATCATCATCTGTAAAAAGATGTTCAATTCTATTGCGTTATGAACTCAGCGTCATACAGTTCAAGTGGCACTGACTGTCTGTTGCTCTCTGGTTCCCCCTGCTGCTGGCTGAATGTGTGGAGGGCCTCCTCTTCCTCTTCATCCTCACTTGAAGCTTCCTCAGCAGCGTGGCTGGAGCGTGCTGGAGGCACCGCCACAGTGCCATCGGCTTTCTGGATAGACGGTTTCTGGCAGATGTACTCAGGGGCTCGACCTAGGTTGCAGATCTCCTCCAGTAACTGCAACACAAAAGGTGGCTTTAATTACCCTGCAAAACTGATGTTTCACAATTAGAAAGGTCGCTTGTGAATGAAGATACGCTACCTTAATAATGGCAGTTGTAGCATCAGTCTTCAAAGTGGGTTGGTGCCTCATAAGTTCATCCACAGCACTGCCCAAGTTGGATGCAGTGTCACCTGAAGCCCAAAGGCCGAATGATTGTCAACTCAAGCAGGTCCCACGGACCAAGACCCAAACAACACAACGCACTTAGTTTAACTTACCCAATGGGTCTGAGCTGCGTCGCCGTCGCATTGCGGGCAGGTAGTCAGGGGACAAAAGCACTTTGAAGAGGCGCTCAAACGGCTGGCACTGAACAAAGGAGTGCAGGCCTCTGGCATTCAGGCACAGGGCGCTGAACACATTGGGGAGAGAGCCCAACACCTCCCGGGTAGCAGGAACCTGGGCGGAGACCCAATGAAGAAAAAACAACAACAGTCAAAAAAAATAAGTTTCCTCAGTTGTAAAGGACCAAGCATCAACCTTTGCCTCTTGACAGTGCTCCTTTTTGGAACCGTTTCACAAATGTCGATGACTGTTTTTGTCGTCCAGTTGTTTTAACATCTAAGCAAACCCATTGGAAACACAAATTGGAGGTTGTTTCACCAAATAGTTATTCTTGCGATATTGATTTATTTCTGATGCATCTTCTTTCAGTCTGTCCCTTTTTATTTTAAGCATCAGCATTCACTCACACACATTTTTAAATCAGTATACCATTTTAGTGAGGTGTACATAACCAAATTCATTATTTTTTAAATAAATGAAATAAGGGAGCATCCTTTAACACAGCATTCTCAATATACTGGAAACACTTAATCTACAGATGAAGGTTTAGATCACCATGACTCGGTCAATGAAAAAGTAGCTCCCGAGGCGAAAGGTGTAAGCACCCCTGATCCAGATAATAGTGATGCCATCTGTACCCAGCCAGATGCTATTGGTGTAGCAGTAGGACATCAGGACCCAGAGGTTATTATAGAAGTGGGACACACGGAACCTCGGGATCTGGAGTGTTTTTTCACTACGTCCATGGTTTAGGTAGACCATGTTTGCCATATGGCTAGATTTATTGCCAGCACAGCTACACCACAAGCTACACATTTGGATACTCGCCTCACACATGACAGACACCCTCCGTCGTCACAAAAGATGACCCTACGAAGCAGCTTAAGTGAAATCATTTCTTACTGTACAAATCTAGTGCTCTGTATCCACTCAAATATATATATATATATATATTTTTTTTTTTCCTTCCTTTTCAGCATCTGCAGACAAGGACTCAGGTATAATAATAGTGATGTAAATTTAATCCACAGGTCTGAAACGTCAAATATCGGGCCAAAGCAAGTGAAGAGCTGAGCGTAAGAGTAATCTAAGATGCATGTAAATAAATAAATATATATATATATATATATATATATATATATATATATTATTATCTCTCAGATTACCATTACAATCAGCTCTTTATAGTAACATGTTCAGATTATTTAATTATGTTCAGGTGCTGGGAAATGAGAAAAATAAATCAGAAAATAAGGAACTGGGGTTAACTGTCAGAGACAAAGTGAGAGGAAAACAGTGGTGTAAAACTTACATCTTTGATGAGAAGAGCATGCAGCATGACGTCAGTGAGCCCATTATCCTGCAGGGACGAGAGCAGTGATGGCTCCTGGAACACAAACACCGTCACAACCTCCGTCGCTACGACAAGGGGAAAGGGAAAAAAGGAGATCATAAGCAATAGAAATCCTAACAAATTTCCCATAGCATTAATAATAAGCAGAGACATTTTATTACATTCATTTCGCAAGTTGACACACAGTTAAATATTGCATCTCTGTAATCAAGGGAGAGGACTTTGCGCAGTCAGAAGAGTGCTTAAAGGACTTTTCTGAAGGGCTACTGTGAACTCACCCAAGAGGAACAGTGAAGGGCCATAATATTCTGCATTACTGATGATGTGCTTGAGTGAGGTAGGCAACGACCCATCCATTACTTGTGAGAAAAAGAGCACATGTACACATTAACCACCAACATTTGCATTGTGAAATCTTGAGGCAACGATGTATTACCCTGTTCAACATGTATAAACAAGATTAACACAAAACTCTCTAAAATTTGTCCAACGGGTAAGAAGTACCAATGACTTACCGTGGCGGATACCATCAGAAAAGGCCGGGTCCTGGATTGCTTTCTTCAAGAAATTAAGCATTGACTTTAACAGTGCTGCCCTCTGCGGAATACACTGCATACCTAGAGAGACAAGAATGGCGTGGTGATGACCGAGTACAATAGGGACAGGTGTTTGTTGTTGTTTTTTGGCTGTGTGTCTACCTGCACGAGGCGTGTTAGCAGCAGTGGTCTGTGCTCGGAGGTCCGCTTCAGATTTGGAAGCAGAAGATGTGGATGGTCCAGGGCTGCTTTCCATGGCAACCTCCGACACTGAGAATACATAGTCAGCAAATAAACACAACAGCCAGGGGATAGTTTTGCATTTGGTGGTGTTGAAAAATAGCCTCAAATGTATTAAAATTGTATTCCTCAGTGGAATTCATTCATGAAGGTGGGGGGACTCACTCTCCATGTCCGTATCCATGTCTTCCGACTCTGCAGCTGTGCTAGGCCTCTGGATCTTTGGCTTGATGACAAAAGGGCACTCTTTCCTTGACAGTTCTACCTCATGCTACACAGAGTAATAGAGAGGGTTGATGGGGAAAAACGAGTGAGTTGAGAGCTTTTGCTGAACTTGAAGTGACTCTAACTGAAGACTGCCTTGTCAGCAATGAGAAATGCAAAGTGTGGCACCAACCTCTAGCCTGGAGATAAAAATGGAAAGGCCGCTGTGGGACTGAAAGGCAGCCATGTCAAGGTTGGTGATGAGGTCCACAACCCTCACTGCTCGCGTCACAAAGGTGATCTGGTCCTGCTCATCACCCAGAAACTTGATAACCTACAAAAGTAATACAATAAAAAAAAGGTAAAAGTTAATGAAAAGGAAAAGCAAACAATCTCAATAGGTAATAGTATATTTGCAGTATCAGGATGTACCTTCAGGAGAGCTTCCATCATGCCACAGGACACAAGGGCTTCCCCTCCAGCATCATAGCTGGCCAAGTGGTAGAGGAAGGAGAACAGTGCGGTGGCAAACTGGTGCGGGTAGGGTTCCATCAGAGGATCTGGGAAAGAGAAATTGTTAATAAACAAGCATCCATTTTAAATGTCCCAGTGTCTTGTGCATCAGACTGTAAACTGTGAGACAAAATCCTTTAGCAGCATTCTCACCGATCATGGCCTGTATGCAGTTGCGCACCAACACAGGCAAGAAGCCATGGTAGGAGGCAGTGCCGGTGCAGTCGATGATGTTGGAAAGCTTGGGCGTCCTCTCCAGATGGACAATTGAAGTTAAAGTGCGCAAAGACGCTGCTTTGATATCCTGAAAAACAAAATCAAATTCATCATTTCAGAAAAAGGGACTGGGACACTGGAGAGTAAACTAATTAAGATAGTCTAAAATGAATCTAGGTCTGACCAGGCAGAAAAAGGTGTCTAGTGTGGCACAGGAATTTAGTGATAAAAGTCAAAACAGTAAAGTCAGTAACAGTAAATACTCGCCACAAGCTGTTTGTCTGTAATCTGTAATACATCCACCAGCTCTTCTATCAAGCCATTGTACAGAATGCTGTTGGCCGATTCTTGGAGTGCATTTGAATACACTGCAAAGCAAGAGAAAGAGAAAACATGAAACAACAAACACGGAACTAAAACGTTCGGTCACTTGATTTTAGGAAGAAGGCTTCCACTCACCCAGTATGGAGATCGCATGCAGTCGGGCCTGCACAGCCTGCAACCTCTTCTTGTGGTCTGAGAAACCATGGGCCAGTCGAATGTGTGTGAACAGCAAGGTCTGCTTGTCTTTAGGGATGTTATACATCACTGTCAATGACTCCATAATCTCAGATGGGCTCTCTGAAATCTAAGAAATGCAGAACATGTGAAGGATGAAGAACCTAAAGTATTTCTGCTGTATTTTGACTTAATGACGGAATTCTAACTCGACTGTACCTTGTCAAGCTGCTCGATGTGAATATAGTGTAGTGTGTTAGTGCTTGTCTGTTAGGAGTTCAGAAAGGTCAGGGAAGAAGTGGAGTCATCAATACAATTGATCAAAAATATATTTCGTTTTTATTACATAATGACTGCATGAATAAATACTTTGGTCTTTACCTTCTTCTCTACTTTTACCTCAGGGCCCGGTTCAGCGTAAAACTCAAAGTGCAGTGTGGTGGCACTGGGCGGGTACTTCTGCTCAAGTACCATCAGGGGGCAGCAAAGTGAGGGATGATAGTTAACATATAGTGGTTAATTTCAAAGCCTTTATTCAAAAACATAAAAAAAGGTCTCAATGATTTTGGTAGTCGATTATAGAAAACAGCACACTGTAAAATTCTTACCGTCATGAGCAGATCCCTGCAGCACTCAGCCAGACCGAAGCCATTCTCCTTTCCTCCCCAGCTCTACAGAAGGGAACAAAGGCACTAAACAACACAGTTCTTTCTCTTGAGGGACAGCTGGAATCATGGGAATAGCAAAAACAATGGCATTCACTAGACCTCGGCCAGGTGTTGCAAACGGGCCAGTAGAGGGGTCCTTTTGTCAGATCCCAGTCTTGTGATGTAGTTGGACCGCTTACTGAACACATACAGCAGGTTCAGCACAGACAAGACCACCTGCATGTCACATGATGCTAACAAGGTGGTTAAGTGCTGTAAAAGGGGTTGGAAGGGAGAAGATGAAACAGGGTTAAAGTTAGAGAAGCTGCCTTTTTTTGCCCCCCCCAGAAACGATGATTATTAGTGATCCACAGTGTAGCAGATTCAAACCTACCTCTATGGAGCTGTAGAGGTGCCTAGAGAAGCTGTACTCAATGAGCAGGGCTGTGAAGTTGAGAACTGCCAAAAGCAGGGCTTTGAGCTGTCCGTTATCAGGGCGGTCACACACCAGCAGCCAGGACATATTCTCCACTGTCTGGCCCGCATCGCACAGAATGCCATCAAAGCGGTCCAGTAGGTCCACCCAGTGGTACAGCTCACACTGTTGGGAAAAAAAAAAAAAAAAAAAAAGAAAAGAAAAAGATATTCAGTAAAAGGTATCAAACAAAAGTTTTTAGTGCCCTGAAAAAAGAAAAAAAAAAAGAAATAGCAGGAAACTGCTTACAATACAAGAAGTATTTGGAAAGTCTGATACAAGCATAAGACTGATTTCCTTAGTTAAACCTGAAGTGAAATGCCATTTAACGTTTTATTTCTGGGTGAGCTTGTTTATTTTTCTTGGCTCATCAAATGGTTATAAACAACACATTTACAAATGTGGAAAAGTTTTACAGATAAAACAGCTTAGAGATGTTTAAACAATCTGTTCATAATCAAGGTGGTGTTGACTCACTGGATACCAGTTCTTGGCACCTGCTCATCTAATTCTTTACTTTTTTGAATTTCTGGTGGCCCAAAGGCATCATGTTTCAGAATGCTCATACCAACAGGGGAATGGTAATTACCGTTAGAACAACCAAGGCATCCTGGGGAGCATGCAGTCCAAGAGCACATCCACATCAAACCAATTAAAGAACATACGTTTCAGCCCTCAAACGTATAATTCACCAAAAGCATTTTGGGAGGAATTGCATCGAACTCGCCTTGTGGTCTTCTCAATTTATTGCCGGTCACACAGCATAGCTGTTGAAATGAATATGTTTTAAATTAATCTGACCTGTTATTAATAGAGCGCCTGTTTATTTACGCATTTTGTAAGACGTTGTACAAACTTGAAAATAATGGGTGTGCGGTGTGGCAGTAATAGTGTGACAGAGTGAAAAATAAATCACTACTTCCTACTCATTAGAATAATTTTTTGTAATGAAGATCCAGGCCGACAACATTGTGAGCGTATATAACCAGATGATCAGCTGCGCAGCTTGCCGGCTGTAAGAGCCTGTTTTTATATTCAAAAACTGAAAGGGGACAGATTCAAAGCAGATTTTTTTCCCCCGTTTAGGCAATAGGAAAACTATGAAAATCAAAATAAAAACTGGACAAGTGGTTTTTATAAAAGCAGTTTTTTTTTAAAGAGAGGATGTCTAGAGCAGCGTCGCCCGATGGGTCGCTCTCCGAGGCAGTGCAGGTAAATCGCCTGCCATTGGAAAAACAAATCACGTTTGGTCACCACACATGCACGGTCGACCACGGGAGCCAACGGAAAACCATGTAGTGCCAATTTGGATCGTTGCCTAGTAAAGGACACAACCCGGGCTGAGTGGTTCCGTTTGGTTACCGATGCTTCTCGTGCCGTGACTTGGTCAGTTGAAAATGTATAAGACGCATCCCAATGACTGTCCAATTCCTCTCATGTCCGTTTATTCCACCCAATCATTGACAACTGACAGGGTTCCAAAAGAGAAAGGATGAAGATGGTCCATTTTGCCATATTTTCTACGGGGCTTACCTTTCCAATATTCCATGTCTTGATGTGCTGCAGTTCAACCAACAGTTGCTCATCGCTGCACGCCTTAAGCTTCTCTATAAGTATCCTGCAGTCGGCAGGCTGTTGGGTCAAAAAGCCATAAAATGGTTAGTCAGAAGTGAGAACACAAACCTGCAACCCTTGAGTTCTAAGAGTATAGTATAGCACAATATGAACGAACATTAGCGATGCTGCGACATACAAATCTGCATTTCCTCTGTGTAAAGAAGGGGACAACTGTGCTGTCTGTGATACTGAGGGTTTTGCACCACGAAAATGAGTCACTGCACTATAATAGTTAGCGCAACACAATCGAGCAGGGGAATGTTTTCTGAATACCAGTGTTTCCCCTAACATTATAACAGGGGAGCCGAACCGTTAGCAGACTTCAATCTCAGATGTGTAGGAGTGTTTACTGCTAGCCAGAGGAGATATGTCCTGCTGTATACCACTTTTGTGTCTAGTTGCGAAGCACTAACAGGAAGTGCCACCTTATTGTCACAGCAAACTGTATAGTAAGTAGTAATAGTATAGTAATATATAATTACGAAGTTATGTAGGTCATAACTCTGTAATACCAGTTGTATTGCTGTGAAAACAACTGTATGAGTTAAAGTTTCTCACCATAAACTAAAAAGACACATTAAGGCATAATTTACCTCGACTCAATCTTACTCCATAAAAGGGTAGAAATCAGCATAATGCAAGTCAATGCAACCTCGGTTAACAATGGCATTAAGCTCCGTTATAAGCAGGACAGGGCTAAGGAAGAACCCCAAGTTGTCAACACACATTGCTATTATTCTTGGCAGCATGTATGGGAATGAATTACAATATAATAAAGTGTCTGATAAAGTTTGTTTTTAATATATTCTTCCTTTATCTTATTTTCAGTGGTGGCACGAATGAGAGTTGTTAAAAACAGCAAACATTTAATATTTTTTGAACGATGATCTCTTCTGTCTGAATGGAGCATTACCATTTCAGCAGCTGTGTGCTGACTTTTAACATAATTGTGGGGACAGCTGGACATACGTGTAAATGTTATTACCAAATAAATGTGAACAATTCAACCAATCAGCCATTCACAGGTCATAGATGTCCTAACAACCAGCTGCCAATCGATTGGTGCATCTCTGGCTCTTAGTGCTTTATTGGTCAGTAAAAGTAAACGTAAAAGTAGCAGCCACAGTGACCAGTTACATGAAAAGACGCAGTTGAGAGGCATGTACTGCTGTTAATGCTAATGCCAAAGTCAACCAAATGAAGATGAACACCTTTAACTAAACTGTCCTGTTACATAGAAAATTCCTTGGATTACGTCCTTTTATGGTTTCCTTTCACATTTGGTCATAGTGTCCCAACTCTAATGAAATCACAATGAGGCTAAGAATGGCCACATAGCAATACTCACAGCTTCCGTAGGAGTTTTCTTTAACTTGCTTCTGTCAACCTTCATTGTTGATAATCTCTATTGATTGCTCCTGTTGAGAAATATCCATGAACATCAGAACAGTTATGCAATTTTTAAATAAGCCAAATATTATTTCGAACATCTAAAATCAAATGACACTTCCAGATTCTCAAAGTCAATAACTGTATAAGTATCCACAACAAGAATTTTGAAACATACTTACAGAGAATTAGTTTGGCAATACCCACTTAACAGCATGTTCCAGTGACGTTATCTGTAAAATTATACCAAAAATAAATTAGACAATAAACAATGTCCTAGATAGTTTAAACGGTTCACCAATCTTAAGGATCATCTCGCCCTTTGCATCCATGCACACACACGCATATATATATATATATATGCGAGTGTGTGCAAGTCACAGTAACCCTTACGTGAATAATTAATATATATATATATATATATATATATATATATATATATATAAAAAATCAGTTAGAGCTGGTTAATACATTTACACAAAGGCCTCTTTCTTTACAATGATGAGTGCTTCATTTAAAAACAAAGTATTTCTTCTTTTTTTTTAAATATGTTGCAGATCATTTATTTCTGATTTTTCATATTTACAACAAGCACATTTAAAATAATTTAAATATGTAATGGTACACAATTTGATTCAGTTAGCAAGGTCTGAACATCACAATGCAGACTAAGGCTGATCAATAGCCAGTGGCTAACTAGCAACATACCACACACGTTAATTGAATCAGAATGGGCCCAACAACACGTTTCTTGTAGTGCACTCTCATTTAGGTGAATTCCCAATAAAACGGATGTATGCCATCATAAACTACAGTGAATTGACGCTGAACGGTTTAAGTTACAGCGACCTAGCTAACGTCAACCTTGCTAACAGCATAACGATATTTACCTATTGTTAACCTAGTCATTACACACGCACGGTAGATTACTTACTAGTCACAAACAATATTGGTTTGCTTGCTGGCTGTCTGGAAACACGTTTAGCATATTAATAATTTGGGACGCCCAACGTATCAAAGAAATTGGTCAGTAACGTTTGCTACGGAGTTTATGTTAGCCCGTGATTAGCTAGCAGCGAGCTACCGGTTAAGTTAGCAAACGATCCCTTTTTGAAAGCATTTGAATACCACCAGACAAGCCAAGCCACAAACCAGCCATGCGCATACGACGAACATATCAAATGTAGCTAAACAAAAATCAAGCAATATTAGCCATATGTGACAGAGCTGTCAATTCACATCTAACAAATTCACCATGCTGTCCTGACCGGACTCTTAACTAATTTAGGTCGGGGTTGTGTAGGCCGCAAAAGGAATCCCGAACTCCCCACTCCAGCAAGATCCCGGTTCCAAGTAAAAACGGGACCGCTATCACCACTCGGTGATCAGCGACACTAAACCGGTGGTTTATCGGGTATATGAAACCAGGTAACGTGACTTTGCCGCAGCTCTTGCCTCGGTTTCCCCGGCTACACAGTCGTAGCACGCGCTAGCTAGCGAGCTAGCTACCGTTAGTTGAATAGCGAGCAGAAACGCGTAATAACTCGCTGAATCATTGCCGGGGGTCTCCTATCGTGACACTGCAAGTTTGGTTTTCAGTTTCCGTTCGGTCAAGTGGAGTAACGGCTACATACTCTTAAAAAAAAATGTGCCCATCCGTCCGTTGTGATATTTGTTCAGAGTATCCGCGCTTGTTTCCACAGCACATCGGCACGAGCTGCTGGCACAGTCATCATGACTCTGGGTAGTGTGCAAAAAGTGAATAACGTTCCGGCAGAGAATGAGGGGCCACTGTTTATCGATGCAGTGCATGTTAATATCAACACATGTGTGTAACGCAGCACCTTAACATCGTATGCGAACCATAACTGCTCGAATCAACACGGGTCTTCACAGGACAACATTTGCAGCATACAACCAAAAACACTGGAACACTGATGAATACGAATACACAAGCTTTACAATTATTTTGTATCTAAATATATTAGATACACAAAACGGTCAACGTCGCATGTATTCTTCATTGTGAACAGTGAACCACAAATACTGACTGAAACAACGCATCACCACAGCTGCATAACATGCATGAATAGTAAAGAGTACATTTTGGGACCATATTTAGTCGCACATTTGGTTACACTAAAGCAGCAAACAATGAAGCACAACGATCAGCAACCTGGCTTTAAATGTCAGTTGATAACAGATCATCAATGATGGCACTTCAACTTAAAAACATTGAGAATTCATAAATTAATATAAGTTAGTTAGCAAGATGTTTTAGGCCAATATATGTACCAAAGCAATTTGCCAATCTAAAAAAAAGCTATTAAGTGCCCAATTCATTATCCTTCAGCCAGCCTGATTAATCTACATCAAAATACTTCAAACGTCTGTGCTCTTCCCCGTTCTATGCAAGGAGCGTTTGACATAATTCGAAATTGTTAGGACAATTTAAATCAGTAATTATCACTAAATACATTGTAATTTTAAGTCCTCAATGTATTATTACCAATGACAGAAACAATATAGGACCTATTTATGAAAAAAAATGCTTAAGAAAAGCGCTCTATTGCGAATAGAAATATAATGTGTCCTGCAGGGTTCAGCACTCGGCCCCCTCCTCATCATCATCCTCTTGTTCCTCGCTCTGGGCAACTTCATACATACAACCATCACGGTCTACATTTCCACTCCTGCTTTTCTGACTACACCCAGCTCTACATTGCCACAAAATCCAACACCTCACTATCAAAAAGTGCCTCAAAGACATCAAGACCTGCTTGCAAGCAAACTTTCTCAAACTCAACAAATCTGTAATCCTCATCATCGGCACCAAACTGCTTAACATCGCCATAACTCCTGTTCCTGCTTCCACACATGTATCCGTAGAATCACACCACAAAAGAAATGTCCTTTACATCTTAAAAACATTGCACGTCTATACCTCTCCTCCTTCTCAGCCGCTAAACACTTTACAGCATCCTCTGTGGCACACAAGTTAAATACACTAAAGGTTTGATTCTACGCTTGCTTCTCTCCAAAGTGAAGTGAAAAGTAATTTCATTGTAAAGAGAAATTCAGTCAATGGATTTTACATTTTCAAAATGCTAGCATGTGTCCTTCATTTCCAAACACAAGTGATTAAGCGGAGAAGTAGAAGAAGAGACGCAGAGAGAGAAGTTGAGGCACTTATCCGTAGACAAGATGAGACACTGGCCTCGCTGCCGTCATTTTAAGTAGTTAATTAAATAGAATGTGCTGCACAGCTGTCAATTACTTTGTCGCTGCTATATTTTACACACTCCTGTTCATCTGTATGACAACAGGTTATTGAAATAATCTGACTTAAACAGCTGGTTCAATTGGTAAAAATCATTTCATGACTTTATTAGTTGAAGTGCATGTAGCATATATTCAACATTAAAAGCACAAGAGCCAGAGGAATGAGGTTAGATAAAAGCGCTCAATAATTGTTCAATTTAAATAAGACTTCCACAGAAGGATGGACCAGTGTTGCTTCACTGTCAGCTCTGTCCTCGTCCCTTCGAGGACCATCAATGATTGGAGAGGGAACCATTTCCTCGAGGAACAAGGATGTGAGGAAGCATGACTTATTGTATTGAAAGGCACCCGTTGAGCTTCGATTTGCGCAGTGAGGACGACAACCTGGACTCTGAAGCCCCAACGTTACAAGTTTGCTTTTATTAATACTTTATATACTGACCGTGTTATGTGTCGAAATTGCACTAGATTTAACAAAAGGACTCTTGGGTCCACACCAATACCCCTACCAGCTGGGAAATAGATTGGATCAGTGGTTCTCAAGATATGCAAAGGTCTTACAGCCAAAGCGTCCTTGATTTTTTTCTTTTATTAACAAAGTTTGTGAGCCACCTCAATTTAAGTCTTCATAGCATCTACGGATTATTGCAAGGAAGTATTGCCCTAAGAAACACTGCTGCAAGATCAGTCATGATTGGTTATCAAAGAAATCGCGATTGTCATGTATGGCAGTTGTGAAAAACTATTGCACCATAAAGTTTCTTTCTTGGAATTAGATATGTTTAATTTAAGAGTTAAAACGTATCTTATTTAAATTGACTTCATCTGCCCTCTATTTTATTTGAAATTTAAATGTCTGAATATTTAGGGATAAAAGTTGTTTCTGTAAGAAACAAACATCTTCTCCAGGTAGTTTTTGTTCTTCTAAAATTATAAAAGCACAATATTCACAAATTAAATGTCCCTTATACAATCCTTTATTTTGGTAGTAAAATTCCTTAGGGCCCAAATAATTTATAGACCACAATTCACGGTCACATCCAGATGGAAATGTAGTAGTTTACATATTTTATAATAGGGAACGGCTTGAAGGCAGATTGATGGCAAGTCACAGTAACTCTTACGTGAATAATTATATATATATATATATATATATATTTTATATATACACACACACACACACGTATTTCCCCACAACAGTTTGTCAATATAGGAAATTAAGTACTTACCAGAAATGGCTTCGGTTCAATGGCTCCACCATTCTCATCCTTGGCTTGCTTTTCAGTTTCTTATAACAATCTGAAAACACATACAAACAGATCAGATATGCAAGAAAATTCAAGCTTCATTATTGTCCCTTTGACTGAAAGCGGCAAGCATAGTTCAATTAAACCCAATTCTAATTAGCTGCATGTATCACTATAAATACCCACGGCTTTTATTTGGATTAACTGCTTAGTGAATCTTAGCCCGACAATATTGCCAAATTGTCTAAAACAAATGTTTGCAATAAAATCCACTAAATCAGGCTTAGCTGTTGAACGCTGGTAAATTAAGTAATCTTTTTTTTATATGAATAACGTGGTAGGATTTGATGAAAGTTAACTAAGGTGCCCTGAACAAGCAACAATTCAACAAAACTTTGAGAACTCTGTAGTTTCCAGATCACACTACTGCCATGATCCAGATCAACGAGTGTCAATTTGAGAATTAAAGAGGCAAAGATGCCACGCTGTCTACATCCGTGGAACAAGTTAGTAGCCTTAAGGTCCTGGGAGTCACCATCCCAAACAACCTGACATGGTCATCGCAAATCTCCACATTGGTGAAGAAAGCGAACAAACGTCAAATTAAAATTGTAAAACTGCACAGAACATCATTGACATGATGTTAGTGAGAAGAGGAGCCTGCATGTCACCGTTTGCCCAGCTGGGAAAAAGAGATGCAGAAGTATAATTCTTATTTTTTATATTCCATTAACTTAATAGCACAATAGTCTCTTTTGTTGCATGTATGCAACACCCACCAGTGCAATTTCCTCATGTGACCAACATACTTGGCAAATAAATGTTTCTGATCTGATACCAAAGCATCAAACTTTAAAGCAGCATGTTATTCTCATCCTCCACATATAACGTGAACATAGCGTGTTGCTGTTTTTGTGCGGTCCTGTGTAACAAAATGGGACTATATTCAAAATTGTGTTGTGCCACCCAGTGGTACAATGACACATACAATCCGTGTAATGGCCCAAAGGGGATGCTGACATGTTGGCTTCAGCAATGTTACATTACAGTACTTTTGACAACTCGAGTTCATAGGTGATGTAAATATGGCCTGCGTTTGAACGTGTGGGTCTTCCCGATCACTTTAATTTACGAAACCCCAGAAGACGAATAAAAGGTAAACGTTACATCTGAAAACAACACCGCTGCATTAACGTTGAAGACCGACGTTGTGATCCTCTGCATCACAGAACGCAGTGACGTTTGTGGCCTCGGGTTGTACCCTGGTTTGTGTACCAGTAGCGAACTACTCGCACGCCGCGCTAACCCATTTAACGTTATCACGTCACGGTAAGCGAACATTAACTTAGATGCGCGGTGACCGTTGAAATCCCACTCATAGCGTCTGCCAAAATGGTCGAAGTAACGACCAGACGTCACGCAGTTACGGTTGGCGTCAAGTCAACGGTGAGCAGAATTAACAGCTAAAGTTAGCTAACGTTAGCCCTTCGCTATCTGGGTGACGTTGGCTAGGCGGTTACTAGCAGTTCGGGCTCACTAGTTACCTAACGTTACGCTCCAATTCGGCTCCAACGGCTAGCGTTCACGCTAGCAGATTACGGAAAGTCAAATCTGTTGCCCGACACACATTTCGACTCTCACCGGTTCATTGTATCGTTGTTCCCGGGGAAAAGGGAGAAGCCATTCAGTGGGGATCCCGCTTTGACTTTAGCTTGAACAGAGAGGCGCATACCCCCACACGGTAAACACGAGTCGGTTATATGCGTGTGTGCCTGTGTGTCTGAAGGAGAGCTAACCAGCTAGCAGTGAGCGCCCCTGCACAATGCTCTATCAGTGGGATCATGGCTATATTAAAAATGGCGGTTTACATAGCAGCGGATCCGTAGTTTAGCCGTAAAAATACTCGTGTGATCGGATCGGAGTGACGATTTGTCAACAGCCTTTGCCGTTGTTAAAGAAGATACTTTTTTTTGCCGCCAGAGCTAATACCAACGGACATACTAAGGAATAATTATTTCTGCTTACCTCGAATGCGTGTTACATTTGCTTCTCCATCTTGCACTAGAGTGGTAGGGCAATTTGTATCTCGCGAGAGTACCTGCTACTGCCTTTACCCGGGGCAACTCCCTTGTAACCCAGTGCGTCTTCGTTAGAACGAGCGCCTGCGCTCTTATGAACTGGTATTTCCAGCTTCGACTGTGTGATTTCATGTGTACACGGAAATCACACAGGAGAGTTCTCCGGGATTTATGAACATATATTTTAATACATTTTAATGTCGAAGTGTATTTACTTCACTAACTCACTTACAATTACGATATAAATACCGGACGACGTGAAGCCAAATGTATTTACACCTATTTTGACTGAGGAAATTGAGCAATGGGGATTTTTTTTTTATGCAAAAGTGATTGAAAAATAGTCTGTACAATAAACAAATCATTAAAAAATGTAGGTACTAACCATCAAAGTAAAATATGAAGTGGTTTAAATATCCAATCAAATTGTTGTCAATTGAAAGAAAATAAAGTGTCAACTGTTACTTTTTACTTAACGAGGACCAACATATTCCAATAGTTACTGTAATCCCATTTGTGGGTGGCTGCAATGTCAATGGAGTTCTTCAGAAAAAAGTAATGTAGTAGTCATACATAGCTAACAGATAATAAACTGAAAACCCAACATTAACCAATAAAATAAAAATCAATGAAAACATTTTTTTGCCCAATGTACATTTTATCTTTTCCAGATCGTATTTAAACACATTTTAAAAACACACAGTACACGCTAACACAAGAGTGGGTATCAACAATAGTCAATAATGAACTAAATATTTGAAATTAAACAATGTTTTTTTTTTTTCAAGAACATTTTCACGATTACACTAACAAGACAACATGACAAACTAAGCAGCAAGACAATTACTGCATACAAATATAAAAAAAAACTATTTTAGATATTTTCCAAATAGAGCAATGTATCATGTACAAGTTAAGAAAGATTTAAAAGTTTTTCAACTATAAAAGAACTTAAATTACAACATATATTTACATATGACCTCATGTTCTGCACCTTCATGTTTTCACACAATTAAATGCTGACATTTTAGAACCAATTCATTGCTTGTAAAGATTTAAATCTACCCCGAGAATGCTGCCAAAACCTCTCCATCGCATAAAAGCTTTCTGTAACTATATAAATTACAAATATTACAAATATTTACAGAAAAAAACCCTAACAAAGAAAGGAATATTAAATGGTTACTAAATAATAAAAGTATAGACCAAGAAAAAGTGGTAAAGAATACCACGTAGAAATAAACAGAGATGGGGAAAAAATGCCTTGATAAAACCAATATGATCCTAATAAATGGAACTGTAAGCGTTTGCTCTTGGCATCAGTAAAGCACTTCTAAAATGTGGGTGTAGAGCTACAGTTTATGGAGGCAAAAGAGTTGCACAAACTTGATGACAAATCCTTCAAAAACAACTGTAGCATTTTGGGTGCTGCGGGCAATTTGAATACAATGAACTGTTTATTTTGAGTCAAGATCCTGTAATCATGCCCCAACCCAACTAGAAAATGAGTGTTTTTTTCTTTACCTTTTTTAAATGTACAATGAACAATGTCTTTGCATAAGTAGAACCACTTAAAAGTACCTAAATAAAAGAAACAATTGGGTTTTATAAACACTAGTTGAATCCAGGTCCACATACATTTTGAAATGTGGGTCATAACTTGCCAACATCAAGTGGTATGTGATCATAAGGGGTACTTAGCATATATTTGAAGTCGCACATCCTTCGGAAATAGCCTTTTAGCAGATATGGATAAATGGGCAGAATAAATGCTGTACAAGACAAGATATGGTGAGGTTCACTAACAGCTGAAAACAGTACACACATTTAGAGTACAAAATATAGATATCTATCTCTATTTATTTAAGACCTACTTCACAAAAGTCTTTTTCTTCATTCCCACTTTTTAAGTTTTCAGCCACTTTTCCAACAACGCTCACAGGAGAAGTTTGCCGTTCCGATGAATTTTCAGAATTTTTCCGAGTCTCTGTTTTGCGGTTGCAAGTCCTTTCTTTGGACGTTTCCCTAAAATAAAAAAGGAAAGGGGAAGAAACATAAGAAAAATATGTCGTCAAGAGATGTTTCACTGTGCTGTCAATAGTTTACATGTTTGCTTACCTTGACCGACTCCTGTTGTTCCTTGGCTAGTTAAACCTGCGGGGGAGACACCGGAGTGTGAGCTGCTGTTCTGCGGAGAAAGTGAAGGTCGGCGTGAAGTGAGGAACACACCCGGGGCCATGGCTCCGCTGCCTCTAGGCCCTCCAGGGCCGAATGGTCCTGGCCCTGCAGTGTATTCATGGTCCATCAGACTTGCAGAGTAATAATCCATCCTCCTGTCTGGGCTGAGGTCTGCTGCAGTCTCTGGAGCAGGTGGTGGCGAAGGTGGGGCTGGCTCTGTCTGAACCGGGGGAGGAGAGGCTACAGGAGCTGGAGGACGCTGCTTTTTGGTGTACTTCCTTCTTGCAGGCTTTTTCTGCTCCTGGTTAAAAATTTAAAAAAAGAATCAAAAGTGATTTTCTTTCATTGCAAGATGCCTCGACTCCACATTAGTCAGTAGGCACATACTTCAAAGACCAATGAGCTTTATTATCTCACTCACTTGTTGGGCCAGCTTGGCAGCAGCTGCAGCAAGACCAGTTTCCACAGATGCGACTCTGGCCCCTTCCCTGGCTGGTCGATCCTGTTTTGGTAGCGTTGGCATTACCCTGGCTATGAATGAAAATAAAGTCTCAGGTGATCAACTCTCAGTGAGCTTAAAAGCATTCTGCTGCATTTTGCCAATGTCTTTGAGACAGGTACCTTTCGGGCTCCAAGGTGTATCATCCCAGTTTTTTTTCCGCTTCATCTTAGCCTTGTTAGCGCGGTCCTCCTCATCCGACTCCAGGGACGGGTAAACTGAAACAAAAAATTGATAACCAGAATGAATACAAATCTTGATTACTACTGATTTGTTCGGGAGCATGTTTTAGTTATTAAGTGTGCTCCTCGCTCGCTCACCATAGTCAGAATCTTTAAAACAGGTTCCCAGAGTCTCTTGCTCGTCTGGACTGTCCTCGTCGCTAAGGTGACGGGCTGGCCGTTTAATTGGGCGTTTCCCAGGCCGCTGGATGACGGGTTTCTTCTCAGCAATTTTCGTCTTTTTGACCCCTCCAGTCACCCATACTGCCCGGCCACCCTTTTCCTTGACCACCCCTAATCCCTCGGTTAGGCCTCCAGAAATGGATAAGGGAGACGAAGATGAGGAAGAGGAGGACGAGGAAGGGGGGTTGGCCATGGACAGCATACCCTGTATGGCGTCACGAGTACTGGGGGAGGCTGGGGCTTCCTCACTGAAAAGGACAGAGTTGAGCAATCACTCAGCATCTCAAAAATAACCTCCTAAACATAGCATAGTGTATACATGTGAACTACAACTACTAAATATGTGAACGATTCTTGCGACAATGTCGTAAGTAATTTATTCCAGCTTGCAGGTATCCACATGAAGTGTGCTTCAAATAAATAGCTTCAAATACCAAGGAACTTGAACCTAAAATACCATCACAGACTGAACAGTGTCCAATAAAGACGACAATACAAGAACCTTGTGTGATCAAGGACATCTAACCTGAGTGTTGCAGAGTCCAGGCCTGCCACCTGCTTGCTGGCTTTCAATAGGTCCAGAATGCCACCGGCGCCACCCTTCACCCCGTGGGCAGCTAGTGCTTCTTCATCTGTTGTGTAATCCTCCTGAAGTCACAAGCATAAACATGCTAAATAAAGTTCTGGTGATTAATGCAAGACGTGTCATAATCTTTTATTTCTGTCAGGCTTTTTTTTCCTAGTTTATTACGGATGGTTAATTATGCAGTACACTTCATGCCATTGGGCAGTGGTCAAAGCCTCTGTTGACTCAATGGAAAAAGGGATTATAAGTAAGCAACAACAAGTAATCAACATAATCTGTGATTAGATCTGGCCTGATTGATGCTAAACTTGGAATGTTTGATATGAAATGCATTTAAAAAATCTAAATCAAAAAGTATGAAGTAGACTCAACCACAGATTTCCAGCAGTATGCTGCAATGGGATGTGTGAGGATGACAGAGATTTTTATTGACTTCGAGACTGACACTGTTCCACTCATACCGGCTTCAGCCGCTTAAAAGATGGCATTCGCAACCAGCTACAGGAAATCTGATGAGAATCTGGCGTATTGGTAAAAACTCACCTCAATGTCAAAGTCTACCTCTCCTGGCTCCCTGATGCGATTGGGGTCAGAGCAGGGTTTGGCTCTGGGCAGCTTCCTCGGAAGACCTGAAAGCCAATTAGGTTACTGTAACAAGGTAGCTTTGAAATTATACTACTTAATATTAGCTTTGAGCAAACACTTTTATTGGTGGGTGAAGGAGTATGTAAAAAATGTACACCTCTGCATGAGCTTCAACATTTGTTTTTAAGCATTCACAACCTCTGTTCACCTGTTTAAAGTCATATTTCTCACCACTTAGTTTCTTTTTCTTGCCGTGTCCTGCAGGCTTGCGTCGTGCAGGAGGGGGGGTCTCGTCAATCTGCAGCTCGTCCTCAGACTCCAAGTCAGACGGACTGGATCCCTCCACGGCAAGATGTTTGTACTTTCCTGCCTTTCTCGCGCCATTGCTGCCAACCTTTTTACTAAAACCAACAGGATCAGCAGGTAAGAACCAACACCTTAAAAGAACATTCGATCAGATAAATAATAGAAACACACGCTTACCCTTGGAGTTTTCCATTGGTCAGAACAAGTTTCAGTTTGCTTTTTTTGAGCTTCCCTTCAAACTCGTCTAAAGGCAAATCCAGCTGGAAAGACAGATACAAAAATTGTAAGAAAATATGAGGACGAAACCGTAGAAAAAAAGTTTGAAAAGCATTTCTCATTTCTGTCATAAATTTCTACAATTTCTGTCCGCAAATAGCTTACCTTGTTCTTGTTTTTGGACTTTCCATGTTGACATTTTTTTAGGGTGTGTTTGGTGTGGATCTCAATGAGGTCAAGTTCTCCTGCTTCTGCTTTAAGTAACCCCTTCTGACCCTTCTTCTTTGCTCCTGGTGGCCCGAGACCCACCATCACCTCCTTCGGCTTCGGCCCTTTCTTTTTTCCTGGGGGACGTCCTGAATTCTGTGCGGTGATCAGAGGAGCTTTAGGGAGCGGCGAACCAGGAAACTGAGGTCCAGAGCGGCCAATGTTTTGCTGGAAGATGTCCTATTGAGAGAGAGTCATTTCTAGTGAGTAAAAACTAAATAATGATTACAGTATTTCTGTAAACACACACAACAAAATGCACAGACATTCAATTATTTTACCACTTACCTCAACCAGACGAATCTCTTTGGCCAGGTCCTTCACTAGTGTCTGTGTATTGATGGTTTCTGGAATCTCAACTTCATGATCGGCTATAGCCTGAGTGCAGGAAGACTATGATCGGTCATCTCAGACATTATTTTTGCAGATACATCCAATATTATGGTGCACAACCATCTTCACCTGCCTGCTAATCACAAACAATGTTCCCTTTTGAAATGAAAAAGTGTGCATTATCCCTTTTTCAAATCCAATACTTTCTTGATTTTACTTTATGTAATATTATACCTTGCATGCAGTCTGGTGCAAAATGAAAACAATCCAAGCATACCCATTTCAAAACAAAAATTTATAAGTAATAACCAATAAGTAAAAACCAACCTCTTTACGGGTCCAGGTGCGGAAGGCATTGTTTAAGGCCTTAGCTCCGTGAACCAGGTAAGTGGCAGGATGTCTGCGGTTTTCTCTCAAACCTGCGAGACAGAGTAGCACAGGGTTAATGACATCAAAACGAAAAGCAGTAAAACAAAGGCCACTCAAGTGGTTTCCAAGACGTGGATGATATGCAATGCATTGAATTCCCTCACCTCTGAAGGTATCAAGAAGGTGCTTCCCAACATACCAGCACACGGTCTCAAAGTTGGGAAAACTGAACAGGTCTGCTGTGCTCAATCTCTTCTCGATTTCATATGCCCTGAAAATCACAGGGAAAGTCAGGCATTAGTGGTTATTGTCACAAACTTGCAGATTTAGCAATAGCTTTAGGAACTGTAAAGTGAGGAACAACATTCCAATACAGTCATTTAGGGATAAAAGTTCCGCAGAAGCTATACTGTTTGAGTTTGTCTTAAGAGTCATAAAGAGCAAGCATATCACAGAATAATATGCAGGGCTGTGAGAGTAAATAATAAAAGGGCAATTGTCCGTCTCCAATGCAGTAGGGATCAAGTGTTCATTTTTTAGTGTGTAACTACATTAAAACAGCAAGTACACTCTTTCTTGCTCTTATAGACTGAGAATGATTGAGGTTCTCAATAACATTAAAATAATATTTTAGTCAGAAAAGGGCCAGATTAAGATTACATGGACTTAGTGTGGAAACAGTCCGGAGGAACTTTTACCGGAGCTGCATGTCAATGTTGAGACTATGCAAGAAGTTTCCTCCAAAGGCCACGCAGTCCACTGGAGTCAGCACAGCATGGATCCAACCTGGATGAAAAACAAAAGACAAAAGTGTCAGCAGTGTTTGAGTCGGGCTTGTTGGACGATCCTTACTGTGCTAAAACCCTGAACTAATTAAACAAAAAGAAGCATTACGGCTCACCTGTTGGAATGAACAAGGTGTTTCCTTGTTTTAAAGAGCACTTGTAACACATATCAACTTGGTCTCCAAAGAACATCTCATTCTGGTTTGATGAGGAACTCCATCGCTCAAAAAGTGCCAAGTTGGCTGCAGTGGGGGAAATTAGGTAGAAGATTTTCTCGCCCTGAATACACATAAGAGGAACAAACTCTTAAAAAGTAAAAACAAATAAAATGTTTAGCAAGCAGTGTCACTGAAACTTCCCAAATAGCACTGAAATAATTTTCCCTCTCACCCTCAGGACATGGTACCAAACAGAAGTTCCTCCAAAGTCAATGTGGAAGTCTGTGTAGCTGTCCTTCACTCCCATTAGGCAGTATTTCTGCACATTAGGACGTTCAAACACAGACTCTTCAGGCCAGAGGTTTTCCACCCATGATAGTTTCCTCACAATCTTTGGAGTCTCCACCAGGTTTGAGAGCCTTAAAAAAGCCCAGCAATTATTTTTAGTATTCAAAACATGACATCAACCATAACTCTAAACTGTAACAACACAGCTTTGTGGACAATTTTTTTTGTACTTTAGATCAATTGGAAAAAGTAGAGAAGAAGTAAACATTTGAATATCAAGACGCTGCTTCGTCAGTACAATAAAGTGTATATCTTTGTGTACCTGGTTTCAGAGAACTCCAGGCTGATGACATTAAGAACTTTTTCTCTGTTGGGGCTATTGTAGTATTCAACAAAGTCTCCCAGCCGCATCTTCATGTCACATTGGCGAGACACGTCAATCACGTCAATCTGTTTGTCTGAACCTGCAATTAAAACAAAAGAGAAAGTTTGAGAAAACAAATTAGAAAGTCCCTTTGGCCTTAAAACACAAGTCAGTGCAAATTGATAGGTTTTTATTAAGTAGTAAAGACTTTACCGATGTAGTGCTCTACATCGCTGACGCTGAATGACGCTGGAGGAAGGGTCATGCCAAGGCCATCGCGCCTCAGGACCATGACAGGAACACTGAATGAATGTTCTTCCAGAAACTCAACTGTCAGCTGGGCCCCAGACGGCTTTAGCAAGACGTCATCCGCACTGCCCAAGGAAAACACAAACAGACAAGTTCAGTACAAGTTCTGGTTGTGATCAGAGGGAGAACAAAAAATCAACACAGTGGGCAGTGATTTTAGAGGATCGCATAGGCTCTCCAACCACCATAAGAGCAGAAACAGTTGGAAGAGTCAGCAAAGAACATGGACAAATAAAAAGGAAATATGTCTCTAAACTGAATTTTGATTTTGCAGGACACTGACCCTGGGAAGGTGCGGCTCCGTAGCTCCCTAACAAACTGAGGGCTACCTGTCTTAACAGGCCGACTTGGATCTCTTGCTCCAGCAGCAGCACCATTATCTGTCTGCTTATTGGCTCCACGGCGTTTGCGCACTGAAAAAAGGAGGGTCAGAGAAAACAGATTGACTTGTTGAATTGTGTAAAAGTAAACCGCTAAAATCATAACAATTGAAGGAAGGTATACTAAAAGAACGGTAACTTACTGACAGATGGCCCATGAGTGACCTGACAGTTGGGGCAGTGATACAGGTCAATCTCAGTAGCTTTGTCCTCCTCCACTCCAACACAGCTACACAGAAAACATTCTTGTATCAAATAAAGAACTGTGATGGGTCCAATACTGACTGTAGCCACAGGAAACATACAACTGGGACAACAGAAAGTCACATCATAATTGCCTCAACATTGTATTTCAATTGTGTTTGCCATCTGACAACAATATGATCAATGCAGTTTAATCTGAAAATGAGCCTACCTTCCATGGAACCAGTCTTGACAGATGTCACACTCGATCATGAAGCGTGTCACATCATATGGTAGGCGACACAAGCAGTAGAGTGGCACAGATGCCATATTGAGTGTGTAGACGTGTCGGGGGAATAAGTTTTGAAATGATCTAAAAATCCAACTTAGGCTGAAGGAACAAACTAAGTGATATACAAACGTATATATAGCGTTAACAAAGGTGTGATTGTTGTATTTGACTTCACTTCCAGAGTCCCCTTACTGGAACACATGTCCACCGGGATCCATCGGGAAACCTGTTAAAATAGGAACACAAGGAGAAATAAAGTGAATATTTGCAATAAATTACTTCAATCACGCAACTAACTAACGTTAAATGCTCATTTGATCGTAGTATGAGAGATAAACACATCAGTTACTTCTGCCACCTGAAATGCACGATAATTTAACTGGATGAAGAAGAAAGTCGTTAATGTGGTATAACAATGATAATAAAGGTATCACTATTACAAATTCTTCAAATAACGGTACATAATCGGAAAAGCAACAATTATCTTATTTCATTTGAATGTTTTGGATTATTTCTCTAACTAACATTAGTTATTAACCAACTGGCCATCGTAACATCACGCCAGTGTTTGTAAACACGCTATGCCCCGTGAATGTTGTATTGCTATCAAAGCTTTAGCTAATGTGTTTAGCAAGCAAGCTAACGTTAGCCGTGACGCTAATAGCTACCGATGTAACGTTAGTTAACCTAACGTTAGCTTAAGCATTCGGGGATGTGTTAACTTTAATTTTACAAAAGAAACAGCAGGCGCCATTAATTGCGCTTTTATACACACAATGAGACGCTAAATGCACTAAACACAGCTGATGAACGTAAACCAAACATGTGTAATCTTCATTGACACTTAACGCTAGCAACTCACCGAAATCTAGCTGCGGCAGGCCAAGCATACAAAAGCCGTTGTAATCCCTAAGCAAGATCGGGGGAAGCTGCGGCCTTATTATGCAACGTAACGTTGTATTATAAACAATTTGCTTTACCACATTTTTGTTTATAAATCCCGTAATGCTCAAATATAGAGGCAAAGTCCAGAAGTTTACACTTCGGATCGGAAATGTAAAAATGAAGGAACCAAAACGAGCACAATAACTACAAAATAACGGCGTATTGAACTACATCAACGCCATTTCAAAGGCTGTGGCGTCAGACGATCGTTAGTCGTTGTCTGTTATTGAAAGAACAATAAAGTTGCAGAAAGTCAAATTTCGAGTTGCATTCAGGAAAAAAACGTTGCTCAGCCGACACGTGCCAAATATGCTACCGTGGCTTTTCGGTAACTCGTCATGCTTGTGTGTTAATATGATGAAAAAATGAATAATGATAAATGCAATAATGAATAAAAACTTACGGACATTCATAAAGGCGTCGATTTGTTCATCTACGGATATTTTATCCGTCGGTATAAAAACTTTGAATGTGTCAGTCAAGACCTTATTGTCCTTAAGTTATCATTGGCAAGAAATAGGCGGGCCCAATTTAATATACAATACGGTCTAATTATGCAAAAATACAATAAACTCTCACCGTATGCCTGTATGTCAATAACATACAGGTATATTATTTGTACAGCCTAATGTAATAGTTTTATACAACACACTTTTATTTATTGGAAGTAAAGAAAAGATATATCACCTCAAAATATATTTTGAGAAAATAAAAACTCCTAATAGACCTACTCTAGAGTCAAGAGTTATTAGAGTAGATTAATGCATCTCAGACTGTGCACCCTTTCATTTAGTTTTTCATTAGTTTATAAAAATATTTTGTTTTTCACAATTTGAAAGGATTGATCCCTATGTGTTTTTGTATTTGTAATTATTTAACAATAAATAACATTATACCTCAACAAATACAAATAAAGTATTTTTTAGATTTTAAAATGAATGGGAGTGAAAGGGCTCTGCATTGCCACCACACTGCTCTTGTAATGTACTTTAATGTGCACAGCTGATTATTGTGTTGGGATGTGGCATGAAGGGTTTTGGCGTGTAACTCCCGCTCAGGGCGTTCACGGCTGTCTCCATCTTGTTGTGGTGAGGATGAACTGAGGATTACAAAAGTCCCTGGGTTTTGTTTTTATTCCAAAAAATGTATTATACACTTGTATTTTTACTACTGTATTTGGAATTTTGTTAACTTGACTTAACTGAACCTCAAACCTCCAGATGAAGTCGTTGCTGTGGCAGAAGTACAAGGTTTTGCCAAGGTAAATATAAAAAACAACATTGATGTTTTAAATCATTTATTTTGATTAGTTAAAAAACATAAATAAAATCAACAATTGAATTAGTTGCACTTTATAGATGCTATTTCACCAGCAACATACTTCAATTTCAGAAGTTACTCTGCTCAAATGTCCTTTTATCATTGGTTCTCATTCATGTCACTGTGGGACCCCCCAGATTTGTGTTGCATTAATTTGTGAATGCAAAATTCAACCTGTAACCTAATACAAAGTATTCTGTATGTATGCTTTGTATCGTTTAGGTTGTCACGGTTCAAAATTGGAATAAGAGGTCAAACATTACCTGAAAGTGTTAATATGTCACCCTGTCCTGTCAGGAGAGAGAAGTGTATTAAGTCGGGGAAGTCCCATGTAAACACAGATGAAAACCAGTGTTTTCTAGTTTCAAATAACCTCAGATTTATAATAATGAGAACACATTTTTACAATTTGTACAACCCCTTTTCAAAATACAAAAATAATTTATCTTTTAGATAACATTTTGGTAACACTTCAACGACACGGCCAGCTCCTCATCATAAATCATGATCATTAAGCTGTAGCTTGCAGTCAACATGTTAGTATCAGACATGACAGAACGGAGTATCACCTTTACTAATAATGAACTAAATCTCTGTGACAATGAGGTTTGTCTTGAAAAATTTAGAAAATAATTGTTGTATTATAGCTTATGTCATTTTTAAATAACCTTACCCTTTAGCAGAAACTCCTCCTCATTAACCATTTATAATTTAAATGTCTTTAAATGACATATAGTAGTCTTTAACAAACAGAACAATCTGCTGTTTTCAGTCACACACAGTCTCTCTATTAGTACACAAATGCTGCTTAGACTACAGGCTACGTGTTAAGCCAAAACGTGTATTAACGTTAGCAAAGTGTATTACCTACGCCTGACTGTTGTTGACCAAATGTGTCTTTGGCTCATTGCACTGTTAACCCAATAAAATGTACAGCAAATAAAAATAGGGGAACTGGTTATTTCTGACTTGAGTAGACCTTTTGCAGTGTGCATAAAGCACAATTAGCCAAAAAAAGTTGGCTAAAAGGCAAGTGAGGATCTGACAACCTTGTTGGACATCAAGCTGACACATGTTCTGACATGTGATAACTTGTGTGTCTTCAGGAAACAAGCCCGAAACATATGGAGGATAAACATTTTAGGTTGGGTACGGTGGTTTCACTGAATGAAAGAAAAAGGGGTGCAATTTATCATGGAACATGGCTATTTGACCATCACAAGGCTTTGTCACACAGAAGCAATATACACCTAAAAAAATGACATCATTTGAAAAGGCAAAATGGGTACAACTCATGTGATCTCTCTAGACAATTATTTTTCTTTCTCCTCTTCTTCCTCGGAATGAAACTGTGATATATTTGGATATGCAGAGCATATACTGAAAGCAAAAAATGTAAAATGAACCTAAAGCAAATTGACTAATAATGAATTATCTTAGTGGGCTGCAAAAAGTAGATGTGAGTTTCCTGAATATGCAGCAGGTGCAAGCAGATCGCAGTCTGGCAGGTCAAGTAAGGTCATACAGTCTTGGGCTGAGTGTACACATGTGGCATATTTTAATTTACCATTATATCATTAATTTATATCAACTTATATCGCATCACTCAGCATGTTACATTATTCTTTTTTTCATTGCCCATTAAATGCCTTGTGCTGTAGGGTTTCAGTTTTATGTTTCTCTGGTTCTCATCAATGGGCTTCTACAAAAATAATTGAGACCTGACAGACAAATTCATACAACACGTTGATTCATTTTAGGTTACCACTACTAATTGCACTTTTAAAATTGATAGTCTGACTGAAAGCATTGGCCGATGAAACATTTAAAATATTTAGTAATGTATATGTCTGCTAATGAGGAATTTAGGTCTAACTGAGTAGGTTTGAAATCAAAAACGTGTTAATTTCCGTGAAAGTACATAAGGGATGTGTACTCGGATACTCCATAAACACACCCACACACACACACACACACACACACACACACACACACACTCATACATATAAGAATTTGTACATCTCAACACCCAAACATAGCATGATTCATAAACCCACCCGCTGTGTTGCATGTGACCCCTCTGTCTGTACATACTATAACCTACCATGTCTCCCATTCACTCCCCATCGCATCCAAAACATACACTGGAATCCATATATTTATTGCAGTGTCAACTCTCTCACGCAGACGCAGAACAAGCACTCCGAAGGGATCTCCTTTACACCCTGATCCACTCAGTATTTCCATCTCTTGAACCTTCCTATTGACCTCACTCCCTCATCTTGGTTTTCACTTCTGTCCAAGAGAAAGAGAAGAGCTGGGAGTTTTGGGGTGAATTTTGGCACTGGAAGGTAGAGCAGCAGTAGAGCAAGAGGAGGAAGAGGTTGAAGAGGTTGCGGAACAGGGACAAAATGCCCCCCCAGTAGCAGCGGTGCTATCTTTAGCTGCAGCTGTGCCAGGCAGCAGAGACGCCACCATGGACACCGGAGGTGTGGGCATTTGGGAAGGCAGCAGCGGTTGGCCTTGAGGTGGCGAATGGGGCGGTTGGGTGACGGGTCGTGTCTGTGATAGGGATCGGGGCTCTGTGGGGGCTTGCAGCCGGGGCTGCGTTATCTGCTGGCTGAGTGGGGGCTGCTGATAGGTCAGCTGCTGGAGGGGGATAGACTGTTGGAGGTGTAAACTTGGCTGCGGAACTTGAGCCATGTGCGTTTGCAGTGGCGGTCCCGGAGAGTGCAGGGTGGACAAGCTTCCTCCACCTGTGTATTGGGGAGGGGCTGCCACAGGCAAGCATGCAGGGGTCGGGGCTGCCTGGGGGTTCAGGGGCGCCCCTGGAAACCAACCTGGTGGAGCCACCTGTATGGAATATAATAATGAATATTGAGGGAATATTACAGAACACAAATAATGCTTTGGTACGGTTTGCTTTTGAAACCAAAGTTCATGCTGTCTGGATTCTTTTAATCATCTTCTATGATCACATTAGAGGAAGGTTCATTTCATATGGAATTAAAAATGACGGTAAATTAAGGTAGTGCTACCTCCGCCTGCTGACTCCAGCTTCCCAACTCCTGCACCTGCTGAATCTGCTTAATTTGATTCAGCGAAGGCTTGGGCGGTGCAGGGTCCACAGTTTCCTTCGTCCAATTATCAACGAGTTTGTGCAGTTCATCTGTAAATGTGCTTTGTTGAAGAGGACTGTGATCTGGGGAAAGATTTGAGCACATATAATAATAATACTACTGATTTTCACTCAATTCTGTGCTCTCTCGATGACAAAAACCGCACCTCTTTTAGCAGGCAGTGAAGGGCAGTGCTCTGGGTTGCAACAGAGAGGCAGTATCCTCTGTTCACCACCAGAGAAACTCGACTGCTGGATCCCTGGACGGGGGGAAACAAGAGACATTCACATGTTGGAAATATAGCAACAGAAGAAAGAGAAGTGAAAGTGAACGAATTGATAAAAGTGAGTACCTACCAGAGTATGTAACTCCGTTGTTATCCATGTGAGAGTGGGGCCGCGGCCGGAGCCTGATTTTGGCGGGCCTGGGCCTTCGGGGAGAAAGGACAGGAGGTCCCGTGGGAAGAGGAGTTGAGCGGGACAGAGAGATGGGCAGACTCTGCCGTTGATCTTTGAGGGAACGAAGCTGTCTGTAGAGCTCCTGCAGCTCACTGTTCTGCTGGGACTGAAGGGATACCACCTCTTTGATGTGCCTGCAGAGGAAAAGATGCAAATTCATGAACCGAAAATGAAGATGACAAGGAGAGATGCGCAAAACAAAAAAAGTTGGAAAACATTTCTCATAAAGGCAAGACACAAAAAAAATCATTGGAGACATAAAATTGAAAATGTAATTGATAGACAGACAAATATTTCCCCCTTCACTGACTCACTTCTCTCTGAGCCTGTGAAGTTCTTTCCTCAGGTCTTCATCCTCCAGCTCACACTCATCATCATCATCGTCGCTGCTGTCCAGGGGTGAGTGGCTGTGTCCATGACCTCGAGGCAGGTGAGCCATCGCTGGGGTCCTCTTACTTTCCTCCTTCTCTGCGTCCTTTGCCCGGGATCTCCTCCTCTCCCTCACCAGATCAGGAGACAGCGGGGAGCTGTTGGGCTGCCTGTGCTCCTTCTTAGTCTCAGCCTGGGTCACAGAGAAGCGGCCCACTTTCCTGTGAGTGCTTCCGGGGCCTGATGGCGCAGCCTTCGGGGGAGAGGACTGGAGCACCGGAGTCACCTGATGGCAGAGGACGCGTCACATGCTTGTCCAGACCGCAATGACGATTCAGACCAATTGAGTGGCAGAGATAAAAACAAAACAAAAAAAAATACTGACTACTACCTGAAATCGTCCTTGGCGTGAATGAGGTGGGTTTGGCGGTGGTGCCTCCATCTCCTCTCTAAGAGTCTGACTGCTGGAACTTCCTTCTGATAACGAGACAGCGATGAAAAGCGAGAAGGGGAGACAAGGACGCAGAGACAGGAACACAAGTACAAAGAACACATAAATGACGAGGTAGACACACACAACAGATGGAAAGATATACGTGAAAATAAGACACATACAGATGCACACGGAGACACGGGGCATGAACATAAAGAAGAATCACCTGTCAATGTCACACATCATCAACATGGTGAATGAAATTACTTTTTTATAAAAGTATAGGAAATGTATCATTATATATATTTACTTCTTTGGCTATAACATTTCTAAACTATAAACAAAACAGTATGAAGACCAAATGTTTTTTTGTAGCTATAAAAATAATGATACTTTCGAGAAATGTGTAATGGGGTGTGTGAAGGGGTGGTAAATGCTTGTTTTAATCAAATTAACATTATAATATGTCATTTAATTAAGGGAAGACACATGTGTCAAGTGGCAGTTGAATGTGTACAGTGTACCCACCCACCCACACATCCACTCTCATTCTCACCATATCCCCACTCGTATGCCAGAACACATTGAGATCTGTGCTCAGATCCAAAGTGATTATGTTCATTGTTTGATATTTAGGATTAATACATTAGCAAACAATGGACAGAGATATTAACAGCCTGATAAAGGTGTTACTCATTGATAATCATACATTATTAGTCACTTGTGTATGACAGAACGTACACGCTCATGCGGGTGAACTTAAAGCAAAGGATCTACGCTGCAGCTGTACTTGTTAAACATGAAAACACAAACACATGCGAGATGGCTGAAATACTTTACCGGTGTGATATATCTCAGCTGTATGATTGATGTGTCTTAGCCTACCTATGCAGTAACAGTAACTTATAGCCCTAATGGATCATTTGCACCATATATACTAGAAATTAGGACTTTCATTATAATTTGAATATTCAAATGATAAAATAATCTTCATGGGGCAGTGCCATTCTGTACACATATTCTGAACAGATTACATAATATCTCTTTAACAATTTAGCATCCATCTTATTTGCGATATGACAAGAGGTTGGTGCTGTCTACACTGAGCCGGCAGGTGGAGGTGAGGGGGTGACTGCTGGCCGTGTTCACGGATTTGGGGCAAAAGAGGGTGCGTCATTAGAAGGGTGCTGTCATGGTCACAGGCACTGGTGGGCTTCACTCCTCTGCACTGGAATGGGCATCAGATCTCTGAAGCCCTCCTCTTCCTACACTGTGCCAATCTTCACCCCCCCGCCTACTCTGCTCTCTCCTCCGGGTGAGAAACCCATGCAAAAGGAAAGATTTCAATGCAAACAAAACAATAATGTATGTAGTGTCAAAACTTACATTGCATTAAGAATAATGTGACATTACAATAAGCACAAATAAGATTCTTTAGCTGTAAACATTAAACAGTGTTTCACATTAATGGATACTAACTCCTGTTGGTTTAGCAAGTTATTTTACTATGTTAAAACTAGTATTAGATATTAGATTTAAGTCCATGCCCCAACAACCCATTCTCTCTCTCTCGCTCTCTCTCTCGCTCCCTAAGAGGACGCTACCTTTCTGGACTCTGGGCTTCTTGAACAAGCTGGCGGAGTGGCGCAGTTTGCATGCCCAGTTTTTGAATTTGCGAGTCCAGGATTTCTTGCTAACAGGATTTCTGATACTAGGACATGTCAGGTTTAGGCCAAAATATCCACCTCCTGCATTGTGCTTCTGGTGTCCATGCCGGAGGGGGATTGGGTGCTGATTGTGGGGCCACGTTGCGTCTCCAGTGGTACTGGTGTCAGAGTGTGGGGGTACAGCCTAGAACAGTTAAGAGAATTAAGAGGGGCTGCATGGACTTGTTCAAAACGGAGAGACAAATATTTAACCTTAAAAGATTTAACAGTACAAAAAATTTTTTTTAGGATTTATTCTGTGGCTTTCACTCACAAGAATGGTTGGTTCTCCTGGTACCGGTGGACGCTGGGGCCGACCAAATTCATCGTGATTGGGAGGCAGGAGAGAGGCGGGCGGGGTGGACGAGGCAGAGTTGGAGGGGAGAGATGGGCAAGGCTGTTGCTCCACAGGCTCCATCTCCGCAAAGTTGGGTAATTCTGAGGAAGCCTCCCTTCCTGCGCCATCTCTCTCTGGGTCAGGGGAGGTAGAGGAGGAGCGGGAGGTGGTGGGGGAGGAAGAGGAGGATGACTGAGGGGAAGTATCGGAGGAGGAGGGAGGTAGGGTCAAAGACAGGTGGCGGAGCGACTGCGGCTCACACGACTCGTCTCCTCCTGCTGATGTGGAGGTGGCTGATGTAGGGCCCGAGGCGCACAGGCCGGCCCCGCTGCTGTACTCCTGGTACAACAAGTTCCTCAGCTTCTCATCCAGAGTCTTAATGCGGTTATCCACATATTCAATTTTTGGGGGGCCTTCGCTGTCTGACTCGGCCACAGAGGACGGCTGAGCAGGGGATGGTGTCATTGCGAGGGAGAGAGTCGGTACGGGGGCTTCAGAGGTGCCAAGATGGAGAGGCGGCACAGAGGAGTCAGAGGAAGGATGGAAGGGGGTGGAGTAGCTGCAGGTGTCATCTGTGAAACATGTCTCTCCCGTGGACACCTCTGACTCAGATATCTGTAAAGAGGACTGCTTCTGCTGCAGAAACTGCGGCGGTTTCTGGGGCGTGTCCGTCCCTTTGGCCATCTCTTGTTGCTGCTCGGTGTGTTGCAGTGACTGCACGTGTTGGTGTAGCAGCTCGGCAGCGATCTGGGGGGTTTGTTGTGGAATCTGCGGTTGTGCTAAAGAGCTGCCACTTAGCTGTGCCTGTTGTTGAAGAAACTGTTGGCTAATTGACAGAGGCAGCATTTGGCTTTGATCTGTGGTTAAAGCCACAGCACCCATCAACATCTGCTGCTGCTGCTGCTGGAGCTGCTGTAAGTGTATATTCTGTTGCAAATGTAACTGTTGCTGCTGCTGGTGATCAATGTGGGCCTGCTGCTGAGGAACCACGGCAGCTTGCGGTGCCAGAACCTGCTGCGGCAACGCAGGCTGTTGTATCTGCGGGGAATGCTGCGCTGTCTGCTCTTGAAAAAGATCTTGTGGGGGCTGCTGGAGGGACATTGGTGGCAGAAACTGTTGAAGAGGCGCCGACTGTTGTGACAACTCTGCATGACCTGTCTGAGGAAACACCTGCATCTCAGGCATCTGTTGTTGAAGTGGCATTGGCGGTTGCATCGGTTGCTGGGGTTGTAAATGCTGGAGAGACTGTTGCAGGGCCCGTTCCTGCTGCAGCTGAGTAGAGGTCACTGCAGGAGCAGGAGGAGTGGGATGAAAGGAGGATGACGACTTTGGAGCAGGTATTACTGTATCCCCTACACTTTGACCTAAAGTGGAGCAACTACTGCTTCCGGGAGGAGAGAGGACATCAGGGATAATGGTGGGGGGTGTAGGAAACACAACAGTAGGAGCAGTGGACAAGGTGGACAAAGTGGGGCAGTTAGCAGCGTCGGGTATTGTTATTGATGAGGGAACAGTGTGAATTTGGTCCACAGGAGCTGAGGGGAGGACCGGCAGTTCAAGACCACCTGAAGCAGTGGAAGGGACAGAGGCCTCGAGGGTGGAGGCTGGTGCCGACATGCTTTCAGATAAAGTGTTTTGAGGACTTGGGGCAGCAGTGGCTGAGGGGACCATGGGTTTAGGGGGTAAGACAATGGAGATTGGAGGGGAGGTGGCAGAAACGGTGGGACAGGGGTTAAAGACCATTTCCGTCGGGGACTCCAGACTCTGGGATCCTTCACTTTCTACAGCCGCAGAGAAGAACACCCAGTTACTTTCTGTTATGAGGTCATGTCAGTAATATTAACTAAGCCAAAGCATTAAACCCGGAGAGAGGTTACCTCTCTCTGCTTTAGGAGACTCAGGTATTCTCATCTCCACGCAGGGTGGTGGTGTGCCGGCTCCCTGACCTGATAGAGAGTCTCTTTGTCGGATGGTCTGGTTAATGAAGAAGCGCCAGCGTCCCACTGGTGAAGAATGGGTCGCTGAGTCCACTGAAAATGGTAAAGAAATGTTACTAGACACAGCATGTTAGGTTATAGAACACACAGCATTTTCTAACACTGTAAAGACACAGTAAAAACACGTATTCATAACTCACCTGAAGAGCTAGTGGGAGTGCTCACATGCAACTGGTCGGTTGATCCAGTCTAATAAACACACAAAGATTCAAATCCATTGCTATTCAATAAAAACTGAAAAAAAGAAAGGAGAGAAGTGATAGATGGAAATATGTTAATCGATATACCTGCGAATGTGTTTGAAGAATTTCGTGAGCTTGCTTAACTATGGCTCTAAGCTCTTCAACAAATTTCTCCGTCTCTACATCAAGGACAAAGTCCTGCTCCACCTACAAACAAATGCAACCAAAAAGGAATTATTAATGCATAAAATGAGTACTTTTCAGACGATGTTAATTCATGAGTAGTGTACCATGTAGTCAGCTATGTCCTCTGGTGCGTCCCCTTCAATGTCAAACTTAAATGTCACCATCTTGTTGGTATGGGTTTCCAACTGGCATTCCACCATATTGTCCCCACTGCCTGACACCTAGGGATCGCAACGCAAATGTACGTTGTATAATTGCCTTTTTAAAAATCATTTGGCACGTGTGATTTAACATTACAAGCGTTATTTCTTTTGTAGGTTGTTGTTTTTTTACCTCGAGCATGGTCAGTTGAAACTGATGTGAAACTTTCTCAGACCTCTGACAGGAAGTTCTCCTTTGAGTCTTTAATTTCTCAAACTTCCCGTTGGCTAAGAGCTGAAATGTTTCTTCTACATTAGCTGGAACAGACCTGTGGGTGAAGTAGTGGTGTTTAAAGATTTCATGATATGAATTACAAAATAGAACATAGAATATTTTCGAATTATTTAGGTGAATGTTAAGAAATTGTTGACCCCTACAATATGCGTATATGGTTTGTGTGGCCTCAGGAAAAACCATAGTTGATAACTTGTCCTTACATGCAAGTTTTTTAGAGAATAGGTGTCATGCACACATTTTCTCTTATGTGATTCAGACATGTCGTACGTCCAAAAACAAGTCCGCTTTTCTCCAAAAGCCAAAATCAGCTAACTGGTGCAATCATAATGCTTTACCCTGCTATAATTTGGAGTTTAAACATGATGCCTAATAATTTAAAATATGCAACAAACGCAGACTAAATGCAAAATCATATTATGTTGAACATAACATCATCATCTTGATTGTTTCCTAAGATATTTTGGGAGAACTGATAAACGTATAAGTCCAGCAACTAGCCACTTTATTTATCTCACATATAATTGGGTTATTTGATATTTTCGTAAATAAACATCCTTTCAGTCCATTTACCCTAAATACCCTAAACAGATTTGACATGTTTGCCCTTTTAAGCTGCTTTCAAATAGCGGCTTTCATAATCTCTCCAATCAGCAAACATATAGTATTTATCATGACGGATGAATATACTGAGGGATTGGACATGCAGTGTGAATAATTTGGAAAAAAAGAGTTAAGATAAGACAGTACTGATATCAAACATACCCTGATGAAGAATGGCATTCTGTACTTGAGAGGTACGGACCATCCTGTCAAATAACATGAATACAGGCAAAAAATATGCAGGTTTAAAGAACAGGAGACACAAAAAAGCATTAGCATAAGGTAAGTAAATCTATAATGTAACAATGGATATTGTATTTGTTAAAAAAAAGCTACTGTTCTATGGATATACTGATGTTTTAAAATGTAACACATGTTAGTTTGAGTTAAAAAGTCACTGTCAAAGTCTTTTCACAGAATTAGATAGCAGTAATCTCAATCATTCTGCCAGTATATCAGCAAAGAAGAATCATTTCCTTAGTAATACAGCCAGCATGTGTTGTTCCTGTACCTGAGCAATGCCCAGCAGCGAAAGGTCACAGTCTTGCAGCGAGGCTTGGGGCAGTTTGGGGGCGTTAGAGTCAAGCGGTTGTAGAGCAGTGACAGGTGGAGGGGAGGCGGGTATAAAGGCGGCCTGCCCGGGTAAGGTTACCTGGGCCGCTGGAGGAGAAGTAGGCAGCTCTGGCGCAGGAGAAGCGTTGGGATGGCGGGATGAAGGGAATGGGAGAAATGCTAGGGATGTCGGGGGACATGAGTTATGTGACGGGTTGATGGGCATTTGTTGTGCGAAAGAGACGGCGAGGGGTAGCACAGGCTGTTCAGCAATAGGTGTCTCGGTGTGTGTCTGAGTGTGTTTCTGTGTTTGGGAGTTTGATTGCTCCTGAATGCTGGTTTGGGAGTGTGTGTGAGCAGGCAGCATCTGCTTGGCTTGGTGCTGCACAGATGAAGACGCGCCTGGCGCTATTTGAGCAGGACGATTAGTCATCAGGTGGAAGGCGGTTGGACACTGTGAGAGCAGCTGACCCTCGTCAAAGGCTATCGGCGACTGCTTTATAGGAAGAGGCTGCTGGATGCGGGTTTGGATGGGCTGTGCCGGTAACTGGGTCTGTGCAGGAGGTGGAGCGAGTGGCTGTGGCGCTTGAGAAAGCTTCTGTTGGTATTGCACAGTAGACTGCGGCATCGGAGGCAGGGCGACGGGTTGAATGACTGACGGTTCAGCAGTGCCTCCTGGGGGCTGCTGCTGGGCCTGAATAACTGGATGGAGCATTGTTTGGCCTTGAACATAAGCTTGGCCAGCTTGCGACAAAGGATGAGGAATGGCAACAAAGTTTACAGGGCCTCCTGCTGAATTCAGACAATCTGTCGTGATTCCGACGCTTCCGGCGGAGCCAGAAGACAGAATCCCCAGATTAGACTGCAGAAGTTGCTCTTGTGGCTGCTGCTGTTGAATAAAATGAGGCGCATCCTGTTGCATGGCTTGGTGGGTAGGCTGAGAGATAAACTGAGGGGTCAAAGGGCCAGCGTTAGCCTGAGCCTGCATCTGCCTAGGTGCATGGCATTGAGTCTGTTGCTGGATCTGGGGGTGCAAGGGGCCTGGCATTTGAGCATGAACAAGAGTTTCATATTGGATCTTACTGGGAATTGGAGTGATGGCAGCTGGAGGCTGAACCGGCGCTTGGTTTTGCAGGCCCATCATTTGAATGTCCACAGATGGGCCCTGGCAAAGTGGAGGCTGGGACTGGCCGGTTGTGAGTTCCGGAGGCGGAGTCGCAGAGGCAGGTAACGGCTGAGCAGTTACCTGCCTCTGCGTGAGTGCGGCAGGTCCTGGGTAACTGGTCTGTAGAGGAATTTGCTGGGTCTGGATGATGCGGGTCTGTTGCTGGATCACTGCCGTAGGAGGAGATCCTTGTGCCTCAATCACAGCCTGAGCTGATTGGACTGTGGACTGGGCTATTAACTGGAGTGGGACCTGGTTGTGGGGATGAGCCTCACTTGGTCCTTGCTGGGTAAGGACCTGAGCTGAGACCACAGCAGCTGTCTGAAGAGGGATGTGCGTCGTCTGAATAGCCATGGGGACTGGGGCCTGTGTGGGCATTTGAGTTTGCTGCGGACTCACCTCAATGCTGGCCTGCAACTGAGGTTCCATTACGGTGGTGTGATGCAGCGGCGGCGCAACAAATGCTTGCTGCTGGATCAACGCTGCTTGCTGATGTTGCTCCATTACTTGCTGCTGTGTCAGAGCGGTATGAGGTGCAAACTGAGAGGCGTTTAGTTTTGGGATGCTCGCGTGCTGCACATCAGTTGGTTGCTGCTGAATCTGCTGCTTACTGTTACTTTGTGGAATAGGGACAGGCTCTTGCTTCTCAGTTTGCTGAAGTAGCGCAATGGCGGCTTGTTGCTGTTGCTCTTGCATCTGTTGCTGTATCAGAGCCTGTTGCTGTAACCTTTCTGCTTGCTGATGTTGTAACAGCACTTGTTGCTGACGCTGTTGCTCAAACTGTTGTTGCAACAGAGCGTGCTGTTGCTGCTCTATCTGCTGTTTGAGTTGCACTTGTTGCTGCTCATGTTGCTGCTGCTGTAGCTGAGCTTTCTGTTGTAGTTGATGCTGTTGTAAAATAGCTTGCTGTTGAAGATGTTGTTGTATTAGTGCTTGTTGCTGTTGTTGTTCCCTTTGTCGGAGCAAGACTTGCTGATGCAATTGTTCTGCTTGCTGTTGAGACTGTTGGGCTTGTTGCTGTAACACAATTTGTTGCTGCTGTTGTCCACTTTTCTGTTGTTTATCTGGTTCCATTTGTATTCCACTGTGGTTCTGTCCAAGTTGTTGATACAACTGATTCTGCTGCTTTTGCTGTGAAGAAGGCTGCTGTTGTTGCTGCTCTAACAGATGCTGTAAAAGTGCTTGTTGAGGTTGTTGTTGTTGTAGAAGACCTTGCTGTTGCTGCTGCTGCTGCTGCTTCTCTTGTTGCTGCTGTATAAGAGCCTGCTGCTGTTGTTGATCCATGAATTTCTTGTTTAAAAGGGCTTGCTGCTGCTCCAGTTGTTGTTGTTGTTGTAATTGGGCCTGTTGTTGCTGCTGTTGAAGTAGTACTTTCTGATGTTGCTCGAGCAGGAAAGCTTGTTGCTGTTGTAACAGAGCTTGCTGAATCTGTTGTTGTTGGACTTGCGGTTGTATCATGGTCTGTTCACGAGGACCGCCGGTCGGTTGTTGTTTGTAGGTCTGACACTGCTCCCCTTCCTTTGGCATTGACATGGCTCGACATGGCTGCTCCATCCCTGCGTGTATAGGTGATACCTGCTGCTGAAGACTTGTGTGGACAGGTGGAACGGGCCTCGGTACGTAGATCTGCTGCTGAGGCTCATGTTGATGGTTCTGGACAGCCGTAGCTGAAAGGCTCTGTGGGTGATGTTCCGTCGCCGGCTGACTCGCGATAACTTGTTGTTGGGGCAGAGTGGCCTGGGCCTCCATTTGCTGAAGGCCGGTGGTCTGGGGATCCATTCCTATCTGTTGTTGATGGACAATAGTCCGCTGAGGGATCATGACAGGCTGTGTTTGCTGGGGGGCTGCCTGGGGAATGATGTCACTGAGCTGCATGGGAGTGGCAGGGGGTTGGGTCTGCTGAGCGAGAGGCACATTTGGCCCCCCTAGTCCAGCAGGATCATTGGCTGATATGGACGTAGTGAGAACATTAGTGGGCGCTTGTGGGGAAACGGGAGGTATGTATGAATGTGAGGGGGCCAATGACCCATGGGGGGTCGCAGTTTGAAACGTATCTGATGGGAATGTTTGTGACTACTCGGTGATAATGACAGAATGATGATTGGCGTTGAAGGAAGAGGGGAAAAGAAAGTGGTGAAAAATTAGGTAAGAATTAGCTTTGGATAAAGGAGGATAAACGATCAACACAATTAATGTTATAATAAGCCCAAATGTGATTAAGAAGTACCATAGCTTTACCTCCATTGACAATAATATCACATGTTGTAGCTTGAGTGTAAATATGGAATAAAATGTTCTACAAATTAGTTCCATCACCATTTTCACCTGAAACACGTGTTGAGGGACACTTTGTGATACCTGTGGAACCATGGTACTGGGCTGAAGATAAGTCTGAGCAACGGGTCCCCCTCCGCTTTGGCCCCCGGGCATGCTGGACATACTAACGCTCTGACCGATGGGCACATTTGGAACACTCACACTCTCCACAACTGGGAGCATTTGAGGATGAACCAATGCACCAGTAGTCTGAAGAGCAGGGAAATAGTTAATGAACAATGCGATTTGTCCCAAAACAAACATTTCACGCAGCAATCAATCAGTTTTTTGAAAACATTGCAAAGACGTACAGAGGCCGTAGTTGGGAGAATATTCTGGGAGTTTGTGTAGGACTCCCCTTGTTGCAAGTACGCCTGGCTCTGTCCACTTGCATAAGATTCACAGTTGGCGGTCCCGATGCTCTCACCTTCGGAGTAAAAGAGCATTTTAGAAAGAAAAAGGAATGTTAACACTCTTAGCGTACATCTTTTATAAAATAACTGCTGAAACATAATGACATGCATGCTCTACCTGGCAGACCAAGGTTTGTCCCACTAAAAATATGTTGCTGCCTGACTTGCTGGTCCACTTCAGGCAGCTCCTCAGCCCCCTGCCCTCCTCCTCCTCCTCCTCCTCCTCCTCCTCCACCTCCTCCTCCCTGTCCAGCTGCCCCTGGCGCCAGTGAGGATGGACAGGATGGATGAGAAAGGGTGTTGGAGGTGAGAGCGGGGTCTCTTTTTTCTTCGAAGCCTTGCTGCTGCTGGAAGAGCTGCTGCTGTCGACGCTCCCGCGACTTTTTGATAAGATTAACGCGGTCTCGGATGGATTTTCCCACCACCTTAGCATCACTCTCATGGAAGAATCCCGACTTCACCTGACAGAGAGAGAGAGAGAGAGAGAGAGAGAGAGAGAGTTTTTAGAGGTTAGAGGGGGGCTGAGGGAATGTAGGTCAGATGGAAGTACCTTGAACTGGTCGAAAAGTCGGGGACTTCCACCATTACCCTTCTGCAAGGTTTTAACCATCAAAACCCTTTGCCAAAATTCAATTAAAAGGAGGCTAGTTTTATATAAAACTACAGAAAACAAGCAGCAGGTGAGGGATATTGATACCAGGACTGGGACTCAAAGAACACAACCCGTTTTCGACGCCTCTGGCATAAATAGTCTCACCATCTCTAGAGCCACTTCCTCGGCGCTATCATTCTCCAGGTCGTAGCTAAACTCGATGGCCTCGTTGTCTTTGTGCTTCCCCTTTAGCTTCTTGGGCTCATCAACCCAAATCCGGAGAGCCAGACTTTCCTGGGTGCCTGTGTCCTCCTCCGCCAACTCCACCCGGACCCCTGTGTCCTCCCCAAAGAATGCGTGGTTCAGTAGGTCTCGGATGGAGAGTCTGTCAAGGGAGAGACGAGAGAAGGAGCAGGAATGGCATGTTTTATGATCCCAAACAGGAATCTAGAACGAGACAATGTAGTGTATCATGGAATGAAAATCAAAACCTGCTTACCTCTGACTCTTGTTCTGACGAATGCAACATTCGATGATCTCCTTGATTTCTGGGTCATTCACTTTATCAAAGCTGGCTGGCTTTATACCCTTTAAAAAAATAGGAAATGGGACTTGAACTAACAGGAAATAATGAAATTAGTTTCTGGGATATTGCATAATCAAGACATTGGGTTTGGATTTCACGGCATTTTACTGATACGTGAATTGTGAATTAGATTATTGCAGTCGAAGAGACTCACGCTTGTGACTTTGCGATAGATCTGAGCAGGATTTTGGCACTCGGAGTAGGGGTACTCTGAAGTGGCCATCTCCAGCATGCACATCCCGAAGGCGTAGACATCCACAGACTCATCGTAGTGCTCCTCATACATCTCTGGAGCCATGAACTCTGGGGTTCCTGTTATGACCAGATGATGGTTCACAGTCAATTACACGCAGAACAGCCGGATACTATTTCACCAACGTGGCGGTCACTTTCAATCTGTGGTTACTGTCACATATCAAAGTCAGGAGAGCACTAATGCCCCAAGGTCTACGGAGGAATGGAAACTCGTTAAACGTTAGTGAGCTAAATGGTACTCAAAGTGCATTGCTTAAGTCGGCGCGCACGGCCAACATCTCATCTCTTTTTGCTCTTAGTGTGGCCCTCATGGATTTTAAAGTGACTTTGTCAATAATAATCTATATCTCCAGGCAGCTGATGCTATGTAATAAATCTGAACAGTGCTGAAGTCCTATAAAAGTATATTTAAAGGCCTTCACTCGGAGGATGCTGTGACAAGACAATACTGCTTTTGCCTTTGCATATGGGTAACAATTTACGCTTCCCCCCATGTTTCTTTTCTCGTTTGGAATCCTTCGCCAACCACGCTTTAAATTTGGGAAATTAACGTCAGCCCTTTGAAAACTTGCATTTACAAATGTTGGCCATTAAGTCCACTCCTACGCAGAAAGTTGGCACTTCGGGACAAATCAGCCTCGATGAAACTCTGAAGGAGTTCAGTAGCATCCTGTTCTTCTCACCCCCAGCCCTCTCTTACCCAGTGGTATACATTTTGGCTGGATTATTTATTTTCATAACCTTTGAATTTAGATAATTTGCAGGAATGCTGGAGGTAGTTGGCTCTACTTATGTAGCTTACCAATGACACTCTTGGCAAAGGAGGTTCGCATAAGAGTGGCCAGTCCCAGGTCCCCTATCTTGACGGAGCCTGTGGGGCCGGTTATGAAGATGTTGTCACACTTGAGGTCCCGGTGGACTATTGGAGGGGTCCTGGTGTGAAGGAAGTGAAGGCCCTTCAGGATTTGCCGACACCAGCTCCTCAGAACCTTGGGCTTCATCACCTTAAAGCGCTTCAGGTAACTGTGCAGAGAGGAAAAAGAACAAAAATGTCACTAGTCCTAATTCCAATGCTATGACAATTAAATCCCTCTCAATATTATTTTGTATGTCACGAAACACGAAACTGAACGATGAAGAACGATGGAAACGAGGAAAATGCGCTAACGTTTTGAGTGTTCCTGACGTCATGAGTTCAGTGACCAGTACGATGCACTTCTTGCCACGGAGCACGGACTCCCAGGAATCGTAGAAGCGAACGATGTTTGGGTGCTGCAGCCCCTTCAGCATCTCGGCCTCCTCCTTGAAGCGCTGCTGCTCCGCCTTGGTCAGCTTGCGGTCCTGAAGAGCGACGTTCAAAAACAAGTTACGTGCGTGGCTGTAAACATTCGCTTCTCCGGAGCTGTTAGAGGTTGTAATTCATAAAGTAGTCTGTCAATTCCACAACTGCAAACACCGTCACTGCCACTGGATGGTGCTGGTGACACAAAATTGCGGCGGTGCTGAGACAACACCCAACCCATGGCTTTATAAAACACATTTCTGCTGCATCCCCCACACGTCCCCGGCATGAAAGGCTGAATGGACACTCCAGGAATCCAATTCACAGGCACAGGCAGCATCACATCGACGTGTGCCCGGGTCAAACACTGGTGCACAGGTTATTTATAGGATGTCAGACTCACTGCATGCTGTGCTGAGCTGTTTGCTGCTTAAAAAAAAAAAAAAAACGGTCTTTTATATCACGTCATGCATTGCCAGCATGTTTTTATGTATTCTTCTATTTTCTGAAACCCTTGTTACTCTTATCAGTAATATTATCTGTGACACAAAACACCCCTATCTTTAAAATCCTGTATTTAATATAATTTATGAAAATGAAAGTGGTGCGCTGGTATTGTAATATCAATGAATCAAACTTGATCCTCACAACCAAAGCATTTCACTATGCAGGTATTGCTGTGTGGCTCAGTGTGTATTTTTAGAACTGTCACAAGCAACTGCTGTTGTCGTCTGCCATTTCCATGTGTACATATAACAAAGCAATTCAGGTCGGTAGTCTATTGATTGACCTTGTGACCTGCTGTGTGAGGCCACTTTTGGACGATATTGAAAAGTAGAAAAACCTGTTTATTGTTATGTGTTTGCATTTATCAATAGAGGACATTTAACCATCTATGTAAAAGATGCTGAATAAGAAAATAAAATAAGAAACCATTGTGTGTGACTCCATACCTCAGGTGGTACCCATTGTCACTTCACGAAACTATAAATAGAAGTCACCGTAACACTGGCTGTTCACTAATCACTTTCCTTCATGGTGTAACACGCTCTACTGCTGATGTTTGTATGTATGGAAACATGTCACGTGATTCCATGTGATGCAGTTTCTCTGTCCCTACCACTGTCTATTTTCATCACGAGTTTTCTATTTTTTCTAGCATGCATTGATTTTGTGCCTCTAGTTCTCCTCCACCTGCTAGTCTCATCTTTTCGGGCATCTTTTTCTCTCTGTCTATCTCTCCACATCTCCCCTCTCAACAGGCAAGTAGCATCAACAAAAAAGGCTTAGCCTCGCTACAATATTATGGCTATGGACAAGAGCCAGCCCGAATCTCAGGCCATTATGTGTGTTTACCTATACAACCATTCCCAAAGCTGTCCGTCTCTACAGAACCCCTGCTTATTTCTACAACTGCCTCCGTCCTATTTGTCTCACTCCTTCATCGGAGCATCACTCTGCGTCACTGTCTGGCGTTCTTTTTTGCCTGCGTGTCCCTGTCTGCTGCCTCTTCAGCATCTATCATGTCTCTCGCTGAGTGTTGCGTCAGACAGCTCTAAGGTCGGCAAAGGTCGCAAAAAGTTCAGTTGGCGCGATTGTGTCTAGACAGGCTCACGCAAACCTACTTCCCCTGCGCACAGCCATCCACACGCGCCCATAATCACACAAAGACAGCGCCGGAAAAAGGGCAATGGGCTTTCTTAAAGTGTCTAATTAGTTAGTCACAGTCCTCTTTCATTGCCAAGTGTGCTAAGCGCAACCAAATACAATTACTGCTGCGAGGAGGCCTCCTTCACAACGTGACACATTAAAGGAAACACCTCAAATAAATTCTTGGAAACAAGGATAATAAGGTGGAATTGTATGCTAATGTCTATTAGTCCAAATGGCTCATGGTCAACACAGAAGACAAATGCAGAGAACCGCCTCCTAACCAGCAGACAAATGCAAATGTAAAAGCAATAGAGAAACAGAGAGGGCGGGAGGGGGAGGGAAAGGGCAGCTCAGGAGTCCATGACATAGTGACTACTCTCTTTTCCTGTAATTCATCGCAATGAGAACCTCCAATAATTATTTTGAATGCATAAAGATCACAGGGCAGGTCTCCTAAAGAATAACTAGGACGGGCTGAACACACTGTACACTTGGTCTTACTGTCTATAACACAGCAGAGTGGGTGCTGCTATTAGAATAAAAATAGGACCTGCGGGATAGACGCGCATGTTTATACTTCCTGTTCGGCTGCTTTTACCAATGCAAATATTCTCACTCTGTGTGCCATGTACAATACAAGATGAGCCCTTGGATACAGTCTCAACAAATGAAGAACATTTTCACAGTTGTAGTATTTACTGCAGGGTAACTAAAAATAACAAGATGCTTTTTTTGGGTGCATATTTTGTATGTATGTTTTTGTCACTGGGCACCTCAGTGCCACATCAGTGTTAAACCTGAGGTGTTAGCCTATAATCAATGGCCGTGTGATGTGGTAATGTCTCTCTCATTCACTAGCAATCGGATCTCCATTGTCGGTTAGGTAATGGGGATGTAGCCCGAGGGATACATGCCGACAGTTGGTGCCCTATTTGTGCCACGAGTCGATCGATTCCTTCCGGGTCCATCTGATTCCTAGTCTAACTTTTGTCCCCCAACAACAGTCTGTTTTTGCCTTAGCTAGCCAAAACAACATTGTCTTTTGCTGCTTTAAAAAAAACTGAGCCAAAGAATAATGTTTTCCATTCCTTTCCATTTTTTCATTAGCGCTGATCCTTAGAGCCACACAGAAGCCAGGCGGGTTTAAACGCAAGACCTCGTTGCTGTAAGGAGACGGTGCTGCTACCCACCACTGTGCTGCCCACATGCATAATAATGTAATCATTCCAAGTATTTACAATGATTACATTATTATTTTGCAAGGTTTTTCAACAAAGTATATTCTTCTTAAATACTTTCCCAGTGCTTGCGTTGATCATGTTTTTAAAGCATAGGAATACAGCTATCAACTATACGATAAGGCGAGCAGCAGACAGCAACCAGAGGTGAACGCTCAACAGCTTTTTTTAAATGATGTAAACCAATGTGATGATCAATTGTATAAAAGTAAACGAGGGGTCTGGACTGTTTCACGGGGGCTGGAAGCTGGACTCATACTCACGTCAAAGGGCTCTTATGGCCTCGATAAGGACGAACCATTTCACAGAGGAAACGCTGTACATTTATTGTAGCGGACAACAATAACAAGGTTTAAGAGGAGTGGATGACATCACTCCCCTCATGAGGTCTTCACGCTGTCTTCTGATCCAACAAAGTTGTCCTGACTTGAAAATCCTGCTGTTGGTTTAATAAAGCCCTGAATGGTTTAGGGCTTAAATGCATGTCTATCCTGCTGCTACCTTACAAACCATCCCGACCCCTTACGCCAGGTCACCACACATGCAAAAGCGGCAAAAAACTGCTGCAGATCTACTGAGACTCAGCCTCTGCAAACTAAGACTGAAGTAGCTTCTATGTGCTGCAAAACACTCAATAAAATTGACACGTTGAACCAAATATTTGAGGTGCTGATTATCTCGATCAGCTTGGCTGAGCTGATCTGGACCACTCTGGGAGGACTGGGTTGAACCGGTCTGGTGTCTGCCGCCCGAGTTGTGCTGTCTGTGCAGGGTTTTTGTCCCGGCCTTACGAGCACCCACTGTAATTAACTCAACCCGGATCCCTCTGCATGCTCGCTCAGTGAGAAAAAAAGTGATGGCTGGAGGGAGGGCGAGAGAGGAAGAGAGGTAGTGGGTGACAGGCAGACACATACAGTGGCATATGTTGGACAGAGACAGAAATGTAATACACGTACAAGACATAGGCAAACACATTCCAGAGTAGTAGCAAGGGAGATGTGGAGCGCTGCCCTTTTAGGGGTGGAATTCCCAGGGAGAGACAGAGAGAAGATGCTGTTCAGATCGTGAAACTACAAACTCTCTCAGACGCTCCACGTGGACATCAGGTCCCATCCAGTGCCTTCACTCCAAGGGCATTAAAGATAGTAGATTGTATATTATGATACATTCTTGTGCTTGTTGTTTGATTACTGTGACCTGTACTTTTAATTGCAATTGACTTGTTTGGATTTCAAAGTTACAGTATAGTCTAGGCTTTCAACAAAACCATAATTGTTTGTTTATAATCACAATTAACAAATTTAGGTACAACATAGATAGTTATATGGATGTTCAATACATCATCACTGTTCATTATATTAAACATATTTTATTTATATTATCATTATTATTATTATATACTATATCATAGAAAATGACTCATCTTTCCATCAAACACCAGGGGCAAAAAGCAATGCTGTCATCAACTTTTTTATCAACATTAGATCAATCATTGTTAACACGGCTAACCAATCATATTGAACCATTCCCATTCCGGTGACTACTGCCTTACTAAACTCCACCGGCTATTTAAACTCCAAGCTTTGGTGAAGTGGGCTAAATAGGACGGATGATGTGTAACTAGAATGTTGCATTGAGTGTGGCACTGGATCAGTTAGAGGGGAAACCAGGGCGGCGAGTGGTTGTGTGTGTGTGTGTGTGTGTCCCTGCATGTGGTAACTCCGTGTTAGCAACACGACTGCTCTCTGGGAGGGATGCCAGGGTAATCCTCTGCTTGGCTCGTTGTCTCCCTCTCCGTCTCTCACTCTCCTCGTTCTGCCTGCCTTCGCTTTGTGTCCAATTCTCGGCTTGTTTTTCTCTAATACGCCGTCTCCCTACCTGTGCGTGATTTACATTTAATCCAACAGTACAATGAGCATAGAGTTTTTCTCATTTTATACTGATGTAATGTCAGTAATTTCCCCATGCTAAACGAACAAACAACTTTTGTTCATTTCACTGCAATTGTGGACAAAAACAATCCATTTGCATATCCAATATGGACACATTAATCACTTAGACTTTTTATTCAACAAAAAAAAGCATTACCACGTGACATATGCTCCCGCTCCTCAACCAAAGCTCTATACGGCGCAGCCCCCTTGTGTCCTGAGCAGACCTCTTGAAAAAGGGACACATCAAGTATTTTAGTAGAACGTAATCCGGGGCCGTTTGATATACCAAGCAGATGTACTGCTGATGTGAAGCTGATTCACTCGGCGTTAAAGTGAAACCAGAAAAGGTGATCTGGGCGCGCCTGCTGTTTGACAGCCCAACAGACAGCGCTTGATCTTAAGGATTAGTCGAGGCTCTTGTTTCGGAATTAGCTCCAAACCAAACACATGACTGACTCTTCTCCCTCAAAGCCTGCGGTCAAATCGGACGGCTTATCATGACACTGCTCCCTATTGTGGCTCCACGAGTCAGAGGATGCATTTCTTCTCTCCTCCACGGGTCTGCCGCCCACCGCACGTTGAATTCACGCCGTCTAACAATGTTTCCCATTACTTCACTGCATAACAAAACCGGGTTGGCTGCAGCACGGAATGTCTTTGTAACAGTGTTGTTGTATTAGATGTTTATCAAATGTCAATGCGTGACAAAGAGAAAATGGAATGAGATGCATGGACAATGTCCATTGTGCACATCTACTATTCTCCTCAAAGCATCATGGAAGGCTCTCTGAAGCACACTCAGAATATTATTATTATTATTTCCATTTCACCCCTCAGGGCTGGAGTATGAACTGAGAATTTGGGAGTTATTCTACCGTGTAGCTAATTGTGCCTGCTGATGCACAATATGTAATGATACATGTTGAACCTTTTGCATCACGGTGTGACGCAAGAAGAAGAAGAAAAGCGACAGGTTGTTCTTACCTGAAGTTCACACCAAGCCACCTCCACCCAGGTCTCCGTGTCCAGGCCTTTGTACACAGTCTTGAAGGCTCCTCGGCCCAGCTCAATGTCAAACTTGAGGAAGCGGCCTCCAGGGGAAGTTGCCACGGCCTTCATCTCCGCCTCCTCTTCCTGCTCACGATCCCTCTCCTTCCCCCGCTGGGTGGGTGTGGCGGAAGGTACCTCCTTGCCCGGCTCCTGGTGGGAGGCGGTGACGGACGGGTCATGGCCCGTGGCGGCAGAGAGTGAAGCAGCCCCTTGCTGCTGGGCCCCGCTGACGAAGACCGAGTCCGAGGAGCGCAGCTCCAGGTGAGGGGCGCTGTGGGTCGCTTCCGCGGTCACCTCCACCTCATCGTCCTCCTCACAGACCTCCACGCTCTTCCTGAAGAAGCGCTTCTCCCTCCTCAGTCGTTTCTGGACAGTTTCAACCGGTATGGAGGGCGTGGAGAAGGAAATCGGCCTGGCCGGGTTCTCCCCACCCTCCTGCCTGGGTTCTCCTCCTCCTCCTCCTCCTCCTCCTTGGATTCTTCCATCCTCTCCGCCCGTTGCTTTCCTCTCCCGAGTGTTGGAGGGGGGGAAGGCGGAGGGGTTGTTGTTGGTCCTCTCCCTGTGTGGGTCCTCCCCGCCCTCCCGCTCGGCGTCCTCCTCCCTCCGTCCATCAGGCTTCTCCGAGGAGTCCTCAGTGCCGGTGGGCTCTCCTGGGTCAGTAGCCATGGGGAATGGACTTTCCCACGCCTCCTTGACCTCCTCCTCCTCCTCCAAACCTTTGCTCCTCCGTCAGTCCCCGTTTCTCCCTCTTTCTGTTAGCCACTCGCCCCTTCCGGCCCGTCTTCCGGTGCCGCAGGTGACAGAAGGTCGTCCTCGGGACCCTCTCCCACTTTTCCTTCCTGCCTCCTTGTGTTCGACGCTTCACAGAACGCGGGTGGGTGAGAGCACAGCTGGGAGAAAATAGCCTCTATCCTCACTTTCCTCTTCACCACATCCTACATGTATCCAGACTCAGAAACACACACTTTTTTCAAGCCTGTTGCTGCTGAGTTTTTCCTTTCTGTGTTACATATCATTCGAAGTAAACCCTGCAAGACAGAGACAGAACTTTGCATTAATATTCAGAGGAGGGACATTATAGTTATAATTCTACCACAGCCTGTAAAACTGTTCAATTAGCAATTCATGTCACAAGGAAGAAAAATTCTGCAAATGTGAGTAGATGTGAAGGTTCCCATAGTTAGTGTGAATGTTTCCAGTAATCAGTTACAAGGTCAAAAAGCACAAATGTTTGTAAATGACCTTTTTCCACAGTCGCTGTTAATTAATTCGTCAATCACTTTCGGTCCAGCTTGTACACTTGTATGTTAAGAACATCCCAAGAGCCATATAACCATTTAATCTGCTGAACCTGACAAAGAAAAAGCATCATCATTTTAACCTCAAACCGTATCCAAGAATCACACCTGCCATCATCGACCATCGCGTTCATGTTCCTCAGCGTTTCACCACTGAAGCTGTGTGCAGCGGCTTCATATAGTCAACAAAAAGCTGCAGTTAGAAGTATGCGATCCCGTCCATTAAATATGGATGATGTACTATGGGCCGGTTGAATAATTCATACGCAGCAGGATTGCTGTCAGTACTAGAGTGACTTCCACACACACGCATCTGCAACAAAGAGCTCATGAATACACACTGCGATAAAGTTATGATCAGCACATCAGCCGGCACTGTTACTTAGTGCGGAGCCGGTCAAGAAGAAAGTGATGGCAACAGGTCTCCTCATTTACCGTTTAGGTTTGTGTATGTGTGTGTGTGTGTGTGGAGGGGGGTCAGTTCTGTTCTACTTTTTTCCATCAGTCCCATGGTATCATATCGCTGGTATCGAGGCTGTTTCATTAAGACACCTGGAGCCATTATACATAATAGCCTGGGTGGTTCGACCAATTAGAGAAGCAATAATTCATTTCAAGCAGTTTGACATAAAAGGGAGTAGAGTGCGTGCTTTTTTTCTTAACATCAACAGAAAGCCGCTCTGAAGGAATGTGCCTGTGCCGGCAGTGTACTGGTGACATGAATGGAAAGTAAAAGTGCAACGCGGGACGGGGTATAAACTCACTTTGCATATATTAGTTTACAACTGGACACACATCACTCTTGTGAACACGAGGGCCGCTGGAGGCCCGCTGGTGCGGCTTGGGTCTCACGTGGAGCTCTCCTCCTCCTGCGGGACCTCACATGAATAACTCTGTTCGCTGCCGGAGGCCTGGCAGAGAGTCTGGATTTTTTTATTTATTTTAATGAGCAAATCCCACCGTGACCACTGGGGGCTCCTCTAGCGGCTCGCAGCAGCGTCCATCTCATTTGTGAGGCGGCCATTAACACTCACGTCGAGCCTGTTGTTTCTCCAGCCTCAAAGCAAATGAGTCTGACATGCAATGCGTGTGACTGTCAATCAAGTTAAAAACACAATGGGCGGACACCAACGCCGGCTCAGGAGGAGTTCCAGTTGAGCTGGTTCTCCGCACAGACGCTGTGCGCACTCAACACGTAATACTGTGCGGCAAGAAAACTTTATTATTAAGTGATGTGACGCAAAACATTGAAGGGCCCTTTACAGTATGTGATTTACTAAATAAGATACGCTTTTGCATTCCTACATAGTTGATTTTCTGGATGTTTTAATGGGGCTAATTTTTGGCCAAACCAGTGACCTAAATACTAATCAAGGTACTGTGTTATTAGAGTGTAGTTATATTTCCACACACCAGTTCTGTCAGGACCCTGACGGTCTGTAGAACGACACATTACAGTGATCGAGCGACAGAAACTCTTTAGCAAAGCCTCTACTGGTCAAAAAATCTCTATTATGAATATTTTACATCAGAATTAATTGCACAATTTTAATGAGTTCTGGAACGAGCCTTTCTTTGTCAACCCAACAGACAAAAGCCAAAAGATCTTCAATTAAAAACTGCAACATTAAAAAAAACCTCACACTTGAGAGTATAGAGCCAATGAACGATCAAACGTGAATGAAATGACCAATTATCCAGACTGTCTCCATCTTCTAACTACTCGTTTGAGGAGCCTGGTGGGGACCAGTGAGTCCAGAAAGGTGAAGGCCCACAGGATGTGGGGGGCATGAAGGGGGAAAAACAACAGGCAATAAAGAGAGGGAAGCTGCCCTTTAAACAGGAGCTTAATCCCCCATGTCCCCAGGGCAAGGAGTTCCCATGAAAGCGACATACCGGACAGAGTTATCACAGTACATCAAACACGTTCAGCCCCATCACTGTCTCTCTCACTCACACACACACACACACACACACACACACACACACACACACACACACACACAGAAAAAGATATCAGACACACACCGGCAGGCTTGAACAAACTGTGATTCTCTCTATCTCGCTCTCTCTCTCACGCATTTTTTTTCTATATTTCAAACACTGATAAAAACCGCCTAGACCGCATTCCAGAGCGGCAGGAAAGCGACCGAAAAACGCGGGCAAGCGAGGTAAACCGAAGTTGGCGATAACAAACGCCAACGTGGCGGCTCTAAGCTGTGACTTCTCTTCCCTCCTGGGCGCAGCATCCATCACATGTCCCGAACATCTGCCCTGCTGCACCCCCCCACACACACTGCCGTCTGCCCTCTAGGCTCCTGTGAGGCTCTCGCACAAGGAGAACACCTGCAGCTGCCTCACGCGTTCTGAAATGTGCGGTGAAAATCAATGTGACCCCTTTGCTTTATTGCAAAAAGCGGTGATTTTTATTCGATTCTCCAAAAAACGGGCTGACGGCTGCATTTGTTCTCGCTCGGACTTTTTGTTATTTGTGTTAAAGGAGAAGAAGAACAAATGCCCTGCATCCCGTGTACACTATTATACTGAATAAAAGTTTACGCACAGCCTCATACCTCCTACACAACCCATAAAACACACAACCCATACGTTGCCACCCTGTCTCATCCCTTACTTTATGGGGATACGCACATTAATCCCCTGGAACCAAACTGCCGCTGGAAATTTAAGCAGCTAAACAAAGGACGAGCCACAGCGTCTGTGTGTCTGTGTGTGTGTGTGTCTGTGTGTGCGGACAGTGCCGCTTTTGCAATTGAGGGGGACAGTGTAGATGAAAAGAGTGAATAAAAAGTGGCGAGGGGGACAGGAAGGGACCGGAGTTGGTGGGAGCAGAGTTTCAAACAGAGAGAGAGAGGGAAGGAGGGATGGAGCGAGGGGGGGCAGCTAGTAGAGGGGGTGGGAAAATGTGTGTGTGAAAGAGAACAAGAGAGAGATACAGAGGGGGGGGGGGCACAGACAAAAGAGGGTTGGGAGGGATTTTGCCTGATAAAATATGTGCCCATGTTTGTGTGAATGAAAGCAGCGACTATAGCTACATTTTTGTCGGAACAAAAACAGCTACAGTTGTGGAGAGGAGAGGAAAGGAGACGAGGGAAGGAGGGAAGGAGAGGAGAGCTTAGCGGTTGTGTGATGTTGAAAGCACGACTCCATTAGAGGAGGAATGGTTTCTGTAGGAATGTCCAGCGTCCCAGCGACGGAGCAGAAGGAAGAACCACTTCGCTGTAAACCTGTTAGTTAATATGCTCCTATTGCAAAGAACAGATACTCGTGCAGCTCAAAAGATCCTCAGCAATTTGGATAATAGATGGTTCAGAAATTCTGTTATTACACCTTCTCAATCATTTTACCTGAGCGCTTCTGCAAACTTCTGACAGGTTGCAGGTCTCACCCAATTATTACAGGTGTGATGTTGTGAGAGCACGAGCGTAACATGGGAATGCTTTGCAACTTTTAACGAAGTTCGGCCATCAACTGTCAGCTTTAAATAGTTTACATATCATCCCTTTGTTGAGACCGACAGAGCGTCGCTACACCAGGAAGGGATGCGCACTTAGCCAAAGAGAAGGAAGTGTGAAAAGAAACCCGTTGTCTATATCAACTCTGAACCAACACCTGCTAGTCACGATAGCTTGTTAAGCACACTTGAATCCGTCCAGCATGGCTCCAGTTGAGTATCAGCCTCTTCTAAAGAGGAGCCGGTGTAAGAATACGTGTTCAAGATTTGGAGCCTGGTCAGGGTTGACAAAAATTCAGCCGAATGACTTCTCTCGTTCTGGGAAATTTATTTGTCAGTTCACAGGTCAAGTATCAGCGCTGCGTTTGCAAAGGCAGGAGCAGTTCAGGCAGCACACAGGCCGGGAGAACAACTCACTAACATCAGCAAGAACATCATGTGTTATAACCCTTGAAAGACAGAGAAGGAAAGATTTCTATTGACCCTAAACTGGCGTAGAGGAGGACCTTCCACCTCCCGCATCTAAGATCCGGTCACATCCAATGTCCAGACTCCTGACTTAACGTAAACATCGTAAACAGAGTGTGTATGTTGTTGGTGTGTCTCTAACCCCCCTTTGGCTGGTAAATCTTCTAGTTGACCCGTAGACCTTGCATTCCTCAGCCAGGACATAAACTGACTCCCCATCCTGTCAGACTCGTGTCTGCCTGCTCCTTACCTAACTCTTAAATCAAGACTAGACAGCAAACCCCCAACTAAGCCCATGAAAAGAACTTTTGATTATCACCGGAGGCCGAGCGACCTGGGGAGACGAGGCAGAGAGAAGCATCCGAACTGTGCAGCTACAAGCAAAAGACTTCTATCACAAAGTCAGCCCGGGAAACATCACAGGAAGTGGCCGGTGACAACCTTCTAAGAGCCCCACCCGAGGCCGATGTGCTTTAACTGTGATTATGCAGCAGATTTACCATCCATTATAATGTTGGGGACGAGCCAGAGGAGACAGCTGATGCCTCCATGAACCGGTCTTGAGAAGCGATCCAAACACAGCACTGGCAGTTCAAAAAGCAGGGCGTGTGCAAAGGTGCCCGTGAGGTGACGTAACGAGAGCACATGTGTCTTCCCAGGTTTGGGGATCTGAAGAAAAAAATCTAATGCCGGCCACTGGAATCAAACACACGCTGATTGTTCTCCTCCCATCAGGGAAAACACAACAACGACTTTTGTCCAATCCAGGTCAAGCATGGGAGAGTGTAGGTAGCACGCACACACGCACACAGACACACAGACACAGCGGGCACTGTTCACACACAGGGAACATGTGTCATCCCCCCCCACCTTTTTGTTCTCTTTCTTTCCCCTCAGCGAGCACATCCATTCAGTACCAAAGGATTCCTTTAATCCAGGTGAGCAAAGGGCTCCTTAATGGGCCAATGAGTCAGGATTACATGTGGCTAAAGTAGCTTAAATTACTACTCCTGCAGCCTCTTTGACTCCTACAGAAGGGTTTCTGGAACTTTTATCAGCCAAGTGTTGATCCACATATTATATAAAATATATATGTATACTTGCAAACCAGTTATCTAGAGCCGATATTAATAATCGAAAATTAGTATTGTGATCAGGATCTCTTAAATTGCTCCCTTTAAAAACATTTTCCACTTTCCACAAATGACAAGGCAGTACACCTCTAAACAACAAAATATATATATTGTTTTTACATATACATACTGTGGGCAATCGCTTTGAATGCAGACATGCATTTTAGGTTTATTATTTGTAGGCCGCGGCTCGGCGAGAGCAGCCATTGGCTCTCCGGCGGATCAGCTGACTCTGAGAAGTACAGTCACCATACGAGACCGCGGCATGGCGAGCGAGACCACTACCACAAATCAAATGATTAAAATAAAAAAAAGGAAAGACCTCTCCTGGCCTTCAGCGCCTCGCGCCGACACGAATCATCCGCATCACGTGGTGAACGTGTTATGATCCAGGGCCCGTCGGCGTGGTCCTCGTGCGGGTCTGCACTTGACTCGAGCGGTGCATCGTTTAAATCAGCACAATAAAGCGCCCCGGGAGGATAAACACGTGACCTAATGAGCCAGTCTCAAAATAATACAACCGTACGTCTTGGAATAATACAACACGACTATTGGGATTACAGATGGAATAACACACGCTACTCACCGGGATGAGACACTGTACCTCGCCGGTCCAGCGGTATCTTATTTAAAATTAAAATAAAACGACCCGCTCAGGCCAGATAGATAACTGACGGATGTGTTAGTATTCCTCCGTTTTTTTCACAAACCTTACAGAACATTAAACCGGGCTTTCTTCCTACAAAAAATAGTTTTACAGCCACGGGAAAAAATGCATTTAGGCTACAAAAAAAGCTTTCCAAAAAAATGTCTACGCCTTCCGCTTGTGTTTGTCCTCATGTGTTTTCATAAGCTCCGGTCGCGTGCGTCGTCGGCTCCAAAATCCCCACAGGAGCCGTCGCGCCTCGGTCCGCGTGAGAGGCACAGAGCGTGTAATTCACGCGATGGTGGCCGTGAGGGGGTTTACAGATCCTCACCCTCGCCGCCCGGTTTACCGGCTCCGAGTTGTGCGTCTTGCCATTTAACGCGCGACCGAATAACATCAGTACGTTACGCGCATCGTTTGCAACGCACGACGGCAGGTTTCGCGTGTGTAGCCGCCGAGCGCGCGCTGTCTGCTCTCATTCGGCACCGCGCTCCTCATCGATCAGGTGCCTCGCTCCGCCACGAGGGGGCGCTGGTGCGACGGCTTCACGTCAGCCTCCTCTTAACGCACTTTAATGCTGCGTTCACAGGCGCCTCGTAAAAGTCCACTACCAACACAGCAGCTGGTAAAGCTATAACCAGTAAAGGCTTTTGAAGTCTATGTAGACGTATAGATGTGTGTGTGTGTGTGTGTGTGTGCGTGTGTGTGTGTGTGTGTGTGTGTGTGTGTGTGTGTGTGTGTGTGTGTGTGTGTGTGTGTCATGCAATTACAAAAGAAAGTGATATTATTCATATTAAAATTCCTCTGTTGACATGTGCTATTAATGTTTTTTTTTAATGATATCAAGCATCTTTTAATGAAAACTGATGACTTCTTGTAGTCAAACAGAGGAGACACACTAGGCAGCTAGAGACCAGCTGTGCCTCGCCTCCATTTTTCCCCCATATGATAGGTAACCCATTTCACATATGTGTAGAATCTATTTAGTCTCGCTGATCAGGCATAAAATCCTGTTTTACCGTGTTCATGCTATGTTAGGTATGGTACATACTGCAGTTCCTTGTGTGACATTAATTCACATTGTCTGTGCATAATTTATCTTTATGGTATTTATAAAACTTGATAATATTTTTGGGACTCAAACATATTACCCTTAAATCAAAATAGAAAGTGCTCGTAATTTACAGAGAATGTTGTGACATTTGTTTCTCATGTTAAACCTCAATGGTAACTTAAAACACTGTACCAATTTATAAACAGGAAACTCAAAATCCCGACTTCTTTAAGACACATGAAGGACACTTAAAACAGCCAAACGGCGCCATCTAAAAGGTTCATGTTTTCTATGAATTGGTTTTCAGCTCTCAGATTCCACGTGCTTCTGTGATGCCACTGAATCAACCCTTCTACCTTTCTCCGTCCCGTCCGCAGTGTTTATCGCCACCCCGGAATATCGCTCAGTGAAACAAACGCCCAGAGCTGAATGAACCCAGTTACCCCGGAGACACATACTACATGCTGCATGCTTACTTCTGTCGCCCTCTGGCGTATTTCACCGAGCATGTCGGCTGACTCCACTGCGGAGCCACACGAGAAACAGTCACACTGTGTTGTCCATGTTTATTGTTCTCATTAGAAAGACCGACTGCGATGCTTTGTATAAAACCTTTACACTGAAAGGTAACATAAAACAATTCAGATAAGGCAGCTAAAGTTCATGTTATATATTATATGTATGTATACATATCCTTCAATGTTATGCTTGTAAGATGCCAGATGGATACATTAAATGTAAAAACAAAAAACAACAACACAGAGACAACCACACAAGTTGAATCTTTAAATAAAGCACACGGGTTGGAGGATTGTTGGCAGGCCGAAGACAACATTAAAACCCCGGGCAGTGTTAATGATGAATCCACACTATGAATCACTGGGGATTGCTAATAAAGTATTAAAATAAATAGCTTTATCTGAGGAAAAATGACTTATAGGTCAGATATGTCCGAAGCAATCTGTAAACATGTGGCGAACATTAAGGGCAGTGCGTCAAGTTCAAAGTATGCAATGGCCGCTGACACTCAACATAAGATCATATCATATAAGAAATATGCATCACACAATGAACGGATATTACCGGACTAAAGTCTGCCTACAGATGCTTGGTAGGACATTAAAACTACTAAGGTAGCAGACATGTTGTGTGTGTATGTATGTATGTGTATATATATATATATATATATGCTGACTTGGATTAGGTGTAGTGTGTTTTGCCTGCTGAACATCCAATGTCGTGCACTGAACATTGTCACCTTACAGACAAGCTTGCAGAGAGGGAAAGACCTGCTCCAGCTGCATTCGTCCAATAGTCACTGTTACGCTTTGGTTAACAAACATTTGGCGTCTCACGCTGGTCTTAACCCGACACAAACATCGTCAATATTCTGTCTGCTCAAAAATGTCTCAAAGCTTAAAGCACAATTCCTTCCTAACAAGTTTAACAACACTTTAAATAATATTAAGTCCCAAGAAAAATCCTTAGTCAACTGGGTACGAGGGGGGGGTATGCAGATTGTGGCTCCAATCCTGGAGGGTGTGTCAGTCATTCTCTGGCTTTGTGAACATTGATTGGGAGCCGCTGCCGCTGCTGCTGCCGCTGCCGCTGCCGCTGCTGCTGCCGCTGTTGCTGGGTGCCAGAGAGCGCCAGGTAGAACTACCCTTCCAGGGGCGGCCGCAGGGGAATACAGCCATCCATCTCCAGAGACTCGGGCCAGCCTTCATACTTGTTGTTGGTCTTACTGTTCTTCATCCGCTGATGGGAACAGCGGCGGGAAAACAGAACCGATGTCAACCGAGCGGACTGGGATCAGGACGGCCTTCACCAGCATTAAACGGACGATTTCACAGCCTGTTTTTATCTGAGGGCTTATCTTGGTAATATAAATTAAAAAATGTATGAGAATTAATGGATATTTGATTAAAAATGAACTGTACCATAATAGCTTATCTACAGTGTTCAATATAAAGAGAATATAATAATAATATTCTTGTGATAATCGTACAGGTTCATGACATTGAAGCGCCTGTATATTGATACCATTCTAATTAGAAGCAGGTAACCTTTATGATATCGCCTGCAGTCCTTTTTCACAGTACTTCATTTGAACACACACAAATTCGTGTTTTACATCTTTAAGCCCTTCACCGCCGGCGCATGAGGGTCACCTCAAAAGGAGCTGGTGATCAGTCCCCATGGCCTCGGGTTCGCATTGATAGTCACGTACCTGCTCAAAGGGACTCTTATTCTCGATGCCTTTGGCTCCGACAAACACCCAGCTGTCTCTGAAGGCCAGCTCCTTCACGGCCGTGCTCCCCAGATCCTCAAACAGCCGCCGAGACTCGTCGTTCATCCTGTCAGCCAGAAAGCAGCGTTATCACGTGGGTTCCACCCCTCCAGTCTGCACAATGGGAGTGTCATTTTGCAAGGTATTACAGTGTGTGTGTGTGAGTGAACATTTAGATGTTGGACGGCAGCTTCTGCCATCAGCGAGTGTGTGCGTGTGAAGATCGACATGCAAATCGCTTTGAGGGGACTAGAAAAGCATATTTCCATTTACCAAAGGGGCTTTCAATCAGGTGCTTATTCCCCTGTTTGGGTTTAATAAAACGCCGGCCAATCACATCTCTCAGGGGATTCAACATGATCTGTCTGCTTCAACCACTTTACAACCCTGATGTGCTTTTAAGACACAAGACGTTCTGAGGTTAATGGATTTTATTCAGCCCAAGAGGCACCAAGTGTTCATTAACAAATTAATTATCTGCCGGATTTAAATGCAATTAGCAAAATAAACTTGTGATTCCCGGCGGCACCACAGTGGCTTATCGTTACCCACAGGGTTTTGTCTTCAAATAACAAATCTGTAACTGCTCTGCTAACCTTGTCTGGTATCAGACAGACTAGAACTCAAAAGGTCGGATCCCATGCAGCAGCTTTGCTCGTTCCCAGTGTTAAACTTCAAAGATATAGAGTGTATACCTCATGCAAATTACCTCACAATGTATTTCATCTTACAAAAGTGGAGAATATGTTTATTTTGACTTGCATAAGAAGAGCAGATGGACAAATAGACATCAGCTGTTGGTTTATCAGACAAGTTAGACATTGATCCTAATATATACACAAAAAAAAGACTCCGTAGCAGCAACAATCACTTTCGCAATAGGAAATATTTCCTAAGTTGCAACCTAAAACATATTGTAGCTTCAGCTGACATTTTATCGGTTGTGCGTTGAGTTGCATCTTAAAAAGGGAAAAGAGACTGTTGAATTGAAACAGTGGATTCTTACTTTGTAGCTGCATCGTCAAAGGAAGCCACAAACACCAGAGTTCCTTCATGGAGCGGGCGGATGAACTTCAACAGGTCAGAAATATCTGCAAACGTACATCAGGTGAGACGCGTCCTGTTGCACAGGACTGTGTACCAGACGTGAAATTGGCATCACACATCAGTGTCGGGTCCGTATTACCTCCTGCCCACATATCAAAGGTCTTTATATCCAACAGCTCTCCTGTCACTCCTGGAGCAAAGAAACATTGGATGTTATCGAAACATAATCAACAGGAGCTCAAATGATTAATGCAGCAATACCGGTAAAAGGGAATGAGGACACGCTTACCATTCACCAAGGCGATGTTGAGTCCTCTGCCAACGTTGTTCTTCACACTGCTGATTAACCTTGGGGACAGAAACACAAATGATTGAACAGCTAGCTGAGGCACTGAAGGAGAAAACCATCTCGCTTTATGCACATTCGCCCACGCCCACGCCCACGCACACACACACACACACACACACACACACACACGGCCTTGCACTTGAGAAACAACAACTTTTATTATTATAAGAACCAGGACTTGAGACAAAAACAAAGCAACGGGGGGATGGACAGACTGAAAGAATACTTGCATTCAGCTCCCCAGAAAGGCTTGGAGGCCTGGTTATGACAGCACGGGGGGGGATGGGGGGGGAAGACTAGAAGGGAGACAAAGACATTGACGAACAGAAAGAACCCGGCGAGCACTGAATCTCACATCTTGTCCTCCAGACAGATCTTGGGCCCAATGACGTTGGCAGCACCAGACACCAGGCGGAAAGCCAGATGCTTTGCGGGACAAGGAGCTGAAAGTCCACATTTGTACTTTCGAGGGCGGGGCTCAGCTGGAATGCACGGTACAAAAGTCAACGGTCACTAGGAATACGATTAGGCCACAACGTGATCATACTTGAAAGTAAGAGCAGCCACAAGATTTATATCATGTTTTTCTTTTTTTCTTTTTTACTTACCAGCTGTTGGTTTCTCGCTTGCACCTGAAAAATGCAGAATTTTCACACTGTAGTGAATTAACCTCATGTCATAAAGGCTTTGTTTCATCAAATATTACACATACTCCTCACCCTTTGCAACTCATCTTTTAGCGTCACGAACGGTCTTTATCAATTCAAACGGCAAAATAACGCTCATCGCCGTTGCCCAGCAACCGCAGCGATGTCAACAGCGCAGACACTAAATCATGATTTCTTTCAAATCCCCACGTAAAGCACAGCAACATATATTGTTGTCAAGTCATTTCCAGTCCATCCAGTCACCGTCTGACGACTCCTTGTCTTACCGCTGAAGAAGCTGCGCACAGAGGAACCCGCCTGCCCTCCGAACAGCGAGGTGGCCAGCAGCCAGGTGAGCCCCACCAACAGCAGCACGGCCGCTGCTCTGAGGGGGGCTGCAAGACACACACGGCACACCAGGGAAGCCAAGGAACATGAGGATTTTGGGAGATGTGCAAACATAGAAGGAAAAAAAAAAAAACTATAACCAACCTGTTAATCGCATGATTCAACGTCTCATAGACCTGCACACACACGTGAAGAAAAAAAGGTGATGTGAGTTTGACAGCTGTAGTTGATTTGGGATATGTTTTGTTGAAGGACGAACAATGTTTAAATTTATGAAAAAAAATGACAAGTTCATTGAGTATAATGTAACGTTATTGATTTCATGCAAGGGTTTTACGAAATGGATATTCTTGAAGAAATAGATAGATAACGTTATTATTTCACCAAAGTGGGGCGTTTGAATAATACTTTGACCCTTCCATTTGCTAACATTAGCAAATACAATTAATTAATTGCTAATGTAGGGGTGACTTCATTCAAAGTGTACTGTGACATGTCTAACTTTAAGCTTCCATTTCACACAGTGGCCATTGAAGGCGGTTCCGTGGTGAGAACGCGTGCACGGATGACAGGAGCCGCAAACACATCGCACACATGGCAACAACATGGCAACAACACAAACCACTTATAAAACAAACAAGACATCTCACCTTCTGCCTCCACGCTGCGGGGGAGTAACGTGACAGGTATTGCCCTCGTCGTCTTTGCTGCTGTGCTGGTTGAAACGCTAAAGAGGAGCTGTTGCTCGCGCGCCGCGAGGGACTTTCGCTACTTCTTGCGCGATTTCCCCATCGAGGCGTCCCTACAACTTGAGCTTTCAGCGTGGAGACGAGCTGTCGTCAACGACCGCCAGTCGAACATTTACGCTAACTCTAAATAACTTCACTCACGGATTTCAAAAAGCATGGAGAAAGAAAGAAAAAAATGTCTATCGCAAACTGTCGCGTCTTCCGTGTCGGACTGTCCCCACTGAGTCTGCGCGAAGTTGATCACGTGACCCAGATTTATAAACTCTATAAATCATTAATTACATTTTTATTTAGTATTGTTGAACGGACATATAATCAAACGTACTAATCCCCGTACATTGCCACAACACAATCTATTTAAAATTGATAGGTAGTTGCGCCAACAAAATAAAACATTGTAAATATTGCGCGTGCACAGCGCCTACCGATCGGGCACGAGACCAGTTCGTCAAGATGGCTGCCCACACTGCTGCGATGTCGATGTCCAAAATCCTTCATCCATTCTTGGGTGGACGCCTTGGAAATACGGCCAAAGTAAGACTCGAGGCTTCGCTGTAGCCACGTTGGCTGTTAACGTTGCTGGTGTTGTCTGACTTCGAATAAAAGTGTTATGTTGTCTTACGGCCTGTGGCTATTTCATGCACACAAGGTCATGTGGTAAATATGACGTTTATAGCAGTCTTCTTCCACGCCTTCTCATCTGCGCGCATACAGAGTTGCTTGGATTCGAGTTTTGCTGATGAAATTGGACCCCGTGATGGTGAAATACAGTCACAAACGCGCTGTCTAATCTCTCTACATTTTGTATTTCAGGTATTTGGTAGAACTCTGTCAAGTCACAAGAATAAGACCGGAAATAGTGTAAGTCAATCAAATTGCATCTCTGGGAATGAATCTTGTTGGAATGAGTAAACGTGGGTTGTCTGTAATGTTGTGTGTTTTTTTGTTTTTAATCCCTACTACGCATTTTACTATTCCCAAACTGTACCACCTTGGGTGCAACTTTTTGATGTGACCTTTGTCTGCTAAATACCGGCTTACCACACTCTTTAGCGGAGGAGAGGTTATAATACCTCCATACTGGCTACTTCTACCTATTATCTTATATTATGTGGCTTTCAAACTACTGCCATCTAACTCTTATTCTTCTCCTTTCCTTGCTGTCCGTCGTCCACAACAGAGAGACAACATTGTAAGTAGCCGACACTGCATCACTCGACTGCTACGCATCCCTTGATGAGCAAAGCCAGACATTCCCATTCATTTTGCCCCTGTTTGATGTAGAAAAACAACATATATCTTCCTATGACTTTAACCCTACTGTAGAATAGTTCTGGCCGATCACGTCTAACAAATAATGGATATTACCTCATTTAAGTTTGGTAACGGCATTGTTGTTCTTGTCCTAAGGTGATTTGTATTAAGCACCAGTTTTTTCCTTTTTAAATTTTCGTGTAGGTAATGTATAAATGTCAATTTTACAGCCCCCTCCTGCAAAATATGGAGGCAGACACACTGTGACCCTCATACCCGGAGATGGAATCGGTCCAGAGCTGCTCAATCATGTCAAAGAGGTTTTCAGGTCGGTCAAACTAAAAGTAAATCCTGTTCTGAGTGTTCATTACAGACTGTTCTGAGACTCCGCGTCCTCTCTCTCTCTCTCTCTCTCTCTCCCCCCCTCTCTCTCCCTCTCCCTCTCTCCATGCTGCAGATTCTGCTGTGTCCCGGTCGACTTTGAGGTGGTTCACGTCAACTCTGCCGTGGAGACTGAGGATGATATCAACAACGCCATCACTGCCATTCGTCGTAATGGGGTCGCCCTCAAAGGCAAGCGACCTGGTTTCTGGTGTAATGAAAGCAGAGCACAGCTGCGAGAAGCAGGTAGTATATAATAAGGAGATGACACTAATGTTTAACAATGTTAACTCTCCTGATAGGTAACATAGAAACCAAACATACCATGGCGCCATCTGTCAAATCCAGAAATAATCTTCTACGGTAAGAAAGACATGCTCAGTTCCCTTGACATGAGCTCTCTTTTGTCCGATGGCTTACATTTGTTCCATCATTTGTGCCTTTGTGTCTGCTAATGTCCGTTGGCTTATTGTTTATTTCTGATACCACAACCCGCACCTCTCTCTCTCTCTCTCTTGTCCATGTATTATCTATTAACAGCACAAGTTTAGACCTGTATGCCAATGTGATGCACTGCCAGTCGCTGCCTGGAGTTCAAACTCGCCACAAGAACATTGACATAATGATCATCAGGGAGAACACCGAGGGAGAGTACAGCAATCTGGAGCACGAGGTCAGACCGAACATAAACCCAATCGATGCTCTTTCTCCCGAAACATGTTTATGCGGTTTCCATAAACAACTCATTTCCTCTTTAAGTTTGATCTCCCAAGTAATTTCCTCTTTTTTTTATCTTCAATACTGCTTAGCATTATTTTTGAATATATTGTGAGAAAAATGACAGTTAAGAAAACTATTTGTGTGTGTGTGTGTGTGTGTGTGTGTCCACCTCTACTCGCTCACATTAGCGACGTGCAGGTACTTCCTGATGTTACCTCCTACACTGAAGAATGACCTGTCAGTCATTTGCCTCCCTTTTCTAGAATGTATCTGGCGTAGTGGAGTCTCTCAAGATCATCACCAGGACCAACTCCTTGAGGATTGCAGAATATGCCTTCCAACTGGCCAGGGAGAAAGGTCGTAAAAGGGTCACTGCCGTGCACAAGGCCAACATCATGTGAGTTACTGAGACGGAACCGTTTAGGCACCTGAATCTTTCCTGATGTTCGGAGTTTCTTGTCACGGGAAATGCTGAGTTTGGCCTTTCTCCTCACACAGGAAGCTGGGCGATGGTCTGTTCCTTCAGTGTTGCAGGGAAGTGGCATCGGATTACCCAGACCTCACTTTTGACAGCATGATTGTGGACAACACCACCATGCAGGTGACAAAGGATAAAATGACATACGCCTTTGTTTTTAAAGGTGCCTTTCTCTAAATTATCCAACCACTACTTTTGTTTGTCTTCAAGTTGGTGTCCAAGCCCCAACAGTTTGATGTGATGGTGATGCCCAATCTGTATGGCAACGTGGTGAGCAACGTGTGCGCAGGCCTGGTGGGGGGGCCGGGCCTCGTGCCTGGGGCCAACTACGGCCGTGACTATGCGGTCTTTGAAACGGTGAGTGTTTGGTGAAGTTATGGTCAGTGAGACATACTGGGAGGCCGCATGTAATGGCGTTTTGTATTTGAGATATCAAATAAAAGGTTTAGGATTTTTAAATGATTTACTACCCTGTGCACACAAAACACTTCCCGACACAAGTCTTTAAAGGCCTTATTTTCATAAAGGGGAACAACATCACAGTACAAGTCAACACCAACCAGGAAATGTTCATGTCGGTTGATTTTAATTTGATTAAAGTGTGTACTGCTGCTGCTACAAGTTCAAACCGGGCCACACTAATATGCCAGATGATTAGTCCTTGGATGACGACAACAGTATTTTCACAGCTGGATGTCAGAACTTGCACTGTACTATAATGCTGTTTCTGCTTTATGTAAAATATAGGTGACATTTTAGCATCTTTCTTTTGTCGTTATTTGGGGTTGAATCCAAAGGGAAATCTGTTACATATCTTTAATGTTGTGATTTTTTGTTTTTTACAGGTTATGAATTATAATGAATACATTTTTTTAAGTAATCCTCCCAATCCTGGTGATGTCTGTTTTTTTTGAAAATGTATCTTGAAATGTTATTAAAATATGACATTAACAATGATATATTATGACTATGACTCGGCATTTGTGTCTATCAGGCTACAAGGAACACGGGGAAGAGTATCGCGGGAAAGAACATTGCTAACCCAACGGCCATGCTGCTAGCCAGCTGCATGATGCTGGACCACCTTAAGTAAGCTCTCCTCTTCATGCTTGAACTGCTCACGTGATGAGCAGTTGTGATGCTGTAACTGTGGTTTACCATTAAATGCGTCTTAATACAAGTCCTGCTCCTGTGTGTGTCCAGGCTTTATGACTACGCAAGCATGATCCGAAATGCCATCCTCAGTACTATGAATGAAACCAGGGCAAGTATACATACATACATAGATTAAAAATAAAATGTATATAAAATATGTTTTTGTTTTTTAAGTTGTTTATTTTTTCTTTCTGTTTTGCAGTTGCACACAGCTGATCTTGGGGGTCAGGGCACCACATCCGAGGTGGTCCAGTCCATCATGAGGGTCATTCAGAGTAAAGGGTCGCTCACATCCGAGCTCTAAACACACACACACACACACACACACACACACACTTGCTCAGACTCAACAGGTTGTCCGTGCATGTCTGTAGCGCTGAGTCCTCTTGCTGGCATCACAACATTTCCTCTTTTTTGTTGGTTTTAGGTGTTTAGCCACACCTGTGTTTCACATATAGTGATGACCTTCGGTTTACCATTGATCAAATTCCATTTTCACTTCCAGATAATGCATCTTACTGATAGAGCTCATCGGGTTCATTCAGTTGAAAGTCTGTGGTCTTACAAATTGTATTGAAAAAATATGAAAGTGACCTACTGTGGCCTGACACGCGTTCGGGTTAGAAGTATATAGAATATCCCGATATGACTGTGGATTTTCCACTCTGCATCATTATTTATTTTCCACATTCAGATTATTTTGTAGCCTTTTTATTCAACTAAAATGTGCTTCGATACAATATCTTAAATATCTGGTTGCTTGATATAAATATACTGTTGTGTGTGTTCACATCAGATCAATTGTACTTATAAAGTGATGTATGTATTTTAGTCTGACCAAGCAAGAGCTCCTCAAACCAGATATGAAATGTACTCTTTAATGAAATCTGTGGGCGGCTACGTATACTGTACAACACAAATATGATCAATAAAGAAATATCTACCGTATCAGGCTTTCTTGGTTTGAGTGTGAAACATTTGTCAAATGCGTTTTAAAGGTAAGGTTGATTTTACAACTATATACACGCTTTCCTGAGGGTAAAATGTATAGCAAGACTTGCTCTGTGTACTTTATAAACTGGCAACGCAGCGACGGCTTCATAAAACAGGACCTTTCATTGTTAAGCTTTATGTTGATTCTTTGCCTCGGCTTCAAAGACGGAAGCTCTTTTGCCTCCTGCTGGGAACGAAGCTCACTGATCCATACGTTTGTTTAACAATTTTACGCTGCACGAACAACTTACTCGCAACATTAAATAACGACGTTCGGCTTTGCCTTCCACCACCAGGTGGCAACAGCACTTTCTGTTGCCACTGACCTGTAACTTTGTTAAGTTGTGCTCAGCGTATGCATGTGGGCTCCGCGCCGCACGCTGTCTGACAAGGACTTAAACGTGAGTGTGAGAATTCCCTGTGGACCTGTGTGTGTCATTACTGCACAGTCAGGCTAGAAAGGTCAAGGGAAACAGGCAAATTGATGAACATTGGGGAAAAAAATACTCTGGTTCTTTCAATGTGATTTTGTCTATAGAATATGTTTGGCTTATTTTTGGCTTCTCCTCATTTATAGTGAACATAAACCCTGTACGCTAGTTTCACCTGGTAAAAACAAACCATCAGTTCTTTTTCCATTTATTTCCTTTTGAGCATATTCATTATTAAAAGCACTTGCCTGGCAGCTGCAGGAAGAGCAGCAGATAGACTCCATTGTTGATGAGCGGCGACCTGCTCACAACTACTGTACAAATCTTCCCAGCTCGCCTTCTTTCTCTGACGCGGTCAACAAAAGACACATCCGATTGTAATTAGTCCATGCCAATTTATCACGGCTCCAATTCTGTGAGAAAGTTACAAAAATGTTCCTCTGTTTAAAATATTTTCTTGGTGGTGAGGCCCTTTTTATAGATTCAGTTGCCTTCGGGAGTCAACAATCGTATCCAATGGCGTAGCTTGTGAACCGCGCGGGGAATTACTACGTGTGTACTTTGGCCTCTGCCGGTTGGCCCTCATTAACTCATCATCAGTCACTGACGCAGAGTTTAGAAGTAATCAATCGTTCTTGTAGAGTTTCAACACCCTAGACCAGCTTTTTCTCATCATCTTCTGCACTGTTTACCTCACTTTACCTCACCATCAGCTGTCATCACTGCACGTTACTACACACACTCTCTCTCTGTCACCCCTGCTGAGTCCCCTCTGAGCCGCCGCTGGAACCGGCCCAAGAGGCAGATGTTCAAAAGTTTGTGGAGAGAGAAAGAGATGCCGCAAGGAATCACCGGCCATTCCAGGCTTTACGGGGCGAAATGTGCGCCCTGTATAGACCTGTGAAGGAGCCCGGTCTGCCACGCAGAGATGGGTTGGTTCACCCAACTTTCAGAAACCAAAACTCTCGCCTTCTATTAAGCCATAGAGATGGTTTGGGGTGAGTTATTAGCTTAGTTTATCGATATCTATCTCCGAGGTTTGCTCCACCATTCCAATACAAATGAGGTATATGGAATTTAATGTAAGGATGCAGACAGCATTGAGAAAGCGCATTTCAAAAATTCAATGCCAGCTTTTTCTTTCCAGAACCAGAGACCCTTGAACTTTAGCTCACAGAACTCTTTTCACAGCAGGTTTTCATAATCCACAATAATGGAAAAAGCTCCAAACTTTGAGCACCACAGATATTGTATTCACCTCTATTGTATTAAGGCAGAGGGACAACTTTATTTAAAAATTGAAGCTGTCGAGGCGATGGTCTAACAATGCTGTTGTATTGCTCTGCTACTTGATTGACGTGACCAGCCGATGAGAACAGCTGATCTGATGACGACAGCGGGATATCCTGAGACGATGTGCGTGAGAAGCGTGAGAGGCAGGAAGTATGAAAAATGAATAACAGGTTCAGGCATACAGAAGAATAGCAATAAAAAAAAAACATGTAAACAACATTTTCTGTCAAATCACAACACTTATTATACTCCTGATAATTATACTAATTATTAGTCATCCATGTGGTCTAGCTGGCTCTTCATAAGAGTCCCTCTCTGTCTGTCACTCTTTTCACACACACGTTACTCATGTGGAATTTGATATGCAGCTCGTAACTTCCACCTCAAATGAACGTGACCCCTCCTCTCGGGTCGAGCACCTCTGCTCTGCCTCGCGCTGCATCGCAGGTGACCAGAATGAGTCAACGTGCCTGTGATCAGGCTCTGTGGCGCACAGCTGCATCCAGTCAGCCGGCTCTGCTCTCTGTTAATGGAGCTCGTTCCTAACCCCGAAGCTGTGGCTTAGCTACATTAAGTTACGTCAGTGGTCAGCTATTTGCCATTACTTTGGCCTCGCAGCGTGTGTTTCGGATTCTTGGTGTGTATATCTCTTTACGGGGACAGACAGTGTCTTCCTCGGCAGCCACAGCCCCCATGGGAGGAAGGATGATGAACGAGTAGTTGGGAGAAGTTAGCAGAGATGTTTGCTCGGCCGGAAATGGATGTATAAAGAAGGTCAATGGGGGGGCATCCAGAGGACTGAGGAGAGAGAGCCCGGGCTTGGCTGGGAGATAAGGGGGAGAACCTGGGTATTGGGTGGATTTAAGGAGGACGGGGAGGATTTAGTTGGAAGAGGGATGAAAAAGAGGGTGGCGTATGGAGCAGCTATAGTTTGATACCCCGGGGAGTTCAGTGGGCAGTTAGCTGTTATCCTTCAAGATAAAAAGAGATAATAAAACTCTCTTTATCAGTAGCTGCACACTGTTATATCTTTACAGGACTGACTGGGTAACCAGCTAGATACCGTGCTTATACTCGCGGCTCTGCTAAAAGTGGACGGATGCATCAGACCAGTTTCATTTATCCGTTTACTATTTTTGCTGTAAGATAATTCCTATTTGATGGCTGATTGCTTTCCCCCCTGCAGAGCATGCATCCCTCTAACTGCTGAGGATCCAAGGAGCATGTGCAGGCCAACCTGCTTGAACAGGGTATATATATATATATGTATACAGATTTGCATGCGTTTACAGGACTCTTAGCTCCAGCCAGAGAAAGGGTGTCCTCTCCATGAACGCTGGCCTCGGGGTGCTTTATTGCATTGTGTCTAAATAGGAACCTGTCTGTCTTACTCACTTTTCCTGTCTCACACACGTTTTTCCCCTCTCCCCGGTACTGAAAGCCTGCTGGCACGGTCCGAGTGAGGGGAGCCAGTGAGCTATTTTCGTTTGGTTTCATGTTCATGATAAATTAGTTGTGTTGCCAGCTAGGTCTTCTGAGAATGTTGATGTGTTGTCCCTCATCAGAGGGAAACGGTTAGATCACAGCTGCACTTTGGCCAGATGTGTACTGCAGAGGAGGAAAGGGAGGGAGGAGAGGTAAAGCAGTGATGGGCCATTGATGGGCTATTTGTTCCATCGGAAACCATTTCTACATGCTTGCCAACGTCTCCTCTGTTCTCTCTCTCTTTCCAATCTCTCTGGCTCTCTTTTGACCTCTCCATAATGCTGTTCAATATTTTACCATCTGCGCCCTTGCTGTGGGTTCAGGTGGCATTGCCAAAGCTACGTTCCCCATCAAGGGAAACATGCGGCACTCATGACAACCTGCATTACGCTGCCGTGACGTCATCGCGACTCTGCTCCCCTTAAAATCGGAGCGTCTTGGCACTTCGACAACTTTGGCAACACCCCTCTTTCCAGCTCTGTATTTGCCAGTTGAAAAATAACTGTGTGTTCTTTTGGTTGCCAAAACAAAGCTTGCGACACTCGTGTAGATTAATCTAATAAATGTCTTGAGTGTTATCCACAAAAAGTGACTCAGCTCTGTGAGCGTCCCTTTCCTCAACCTGGCCGGGACCCCACCTGCTGCCAGATACATGTTATTAGGAGGGTAAATACTGTGTCATGCTAAAAGACTTGTGCAATCCCCCAAAAACTCAACCCAAATTAGAACTGTGACATTAAAATGTTTTTTTTTCTTTCTTCAATTCCAACCATCCTTCCTGTTGTACCATTATCCATGTATTGTACTTAAAAGCCTTAGTTAAATGGAATCCTCTGCTACTTCTCCCTTTTCCCCTCTGTCTCATATCATCTGACACTATTTCCTCTTTTCTACCTACATTGACTCCCTCCCTTGTTTTTGACCGTCTGGAGTTCTCTCCCCACCTCCTCGGATGAAGCATCTCTAAAGAGTTTTGATGAAAACTGATGTCTGCAAATCCACTAGAAAGCACAGCTTTGATTATATATCTTGATTCACTGTGACAGCTCTGCAGGATTCTTGTCTGCATTGCTCTTCGTAAACAGTGTCTGGTTTTTGGAGGAAATCTGATGTCTGGGGCCAGGTGGGGGCAAAATGTTCTAAAAGAGACTTAAGTGTTTTTCAGGTTCTGTGCACAAGCAAGACAATATGGTATTGAAAATGTGCTGATGAGAGAATCAAGAATCAAGGACTTTCCACCGTGGGATGGATTTGTGCGGTGCACGGACCTGGGAAACCAACTGTGAGGCTGCAGACAGGAAGCGCAGTCAGATTTGAACTATGGCGGCAGCAACACACCTGCGGCAGGATCAGTGACATACCCGATCCGACTCGGTGCGAATATGAAAACCCAGTCTAGCAATGAGCTTCCATCTGCTGTTTCATGTTGTCTTCTTTGAATCGCCTACCGATCAATCCCGTCTTTGGATGAATACAGAGGGAATGAAGCGGTAAGCCCATGACTTGCCCACGACTTTACCTTTATCAACTGATGTACTGCCATTAGGTTTTATCACTTAAGAGTGTTTGTCTTGCTTGAAACAATGTCGGTGTTTGTATTTTCATTACATGTATCCTGTTTTTAGAAGGGATGAAGATGCAATAACAGACAGTAGTAGCATTATGTTGCCCTTGTAAGGGCTTTGTTTATGGATAAAGAGTGATTTTTGAAATATACAATTTTCAACATTCATATCCTACAGTTGTTATTG